GGCGGCGGCAGCGCACGTGGCAACCCCCCGCGTTTCCTTGCCTCCCATCCACCGGACCCCGTCCTGCGCTTCACTTTGTTTAGGGAGGGGCTGCTCACTGCTCATTGCTCATTGCTCATCGCACACTGCTCAACGCTCATTGCCCTATATCCCACCCAGCCGCAGGACTCTACTGCCGCCCGCGCCCCGCCCCATCTGGCCGCTTGCGCGCCCCATCCCCCCTCGATGGGGCCCGCCCACACCGGGGCCTCCCCCCTCCCGACCACTGCTTTCTCAACGGCCCCGAGCCGGGGCTGCCCTCATTGCATACATAGTGCGCCTTTCCCTGCTTTTCTAGTGACCTAGCGTTCCGCACTGCCGTTTGGCCAGCCCATGCTCCCGTACCGTTGCGTTTCTCCCCAATGCGCCATGCCACTTTGCCAGTCATACACACGTTTCGATGCGTGCCCTGTCAGCTGCTTGCGTTGCATGTCGCCTTGCTCCACCCCTGTTTTATTGCTTTCTCTGCTTTCGCCCGGTTCCCGTCCCGTTTCGGCGGGGAGTCTATGTTGCAAGCTAGTTCTTGCTTTACCAGACTTTAAGCCCACACAAGCAAGCAAGGTAGAGCCTGAGGGCTGGACGGAGGTGTCGGCTGGCTGGGAGGCGGAATCCGAGGCAGATGGCTCCGAAGGCTGCGAGGAAGAGTCGCTGGGCTGGGGGGCAGATGGGTTGGATGGCTCGGAGGTACCCGACTCGTCAGCGGGCTGGGAGGCGGAGTTGGTGGGCTGCCACGCGGATGGGTCGGATGGCTGGGAGGAGTCGGTGGGCTGGGAGGACCCGGAATCATCGGCGGGCTGGGAGGAGTCTGGGATCCACTCGCTGAGGCAATTTGTCGCCGCAGCACAGCTGCAGCAGCTGGCCTCAAGTCGCATGATGGCATCGCATTCTCCAGGCTCCTTTTGGCATTTGCTCAAGCACTCCTGCATGCAGGCCCGCCACGCCGAGGAGCTCAGATACCCATCCTGAATGAGGCAGCCTGGCATGCCTGGCGTGCGCACGGCAACACCAGCGCCAGTCACGGCATGAACACGTTGCCTCCCTCCCCTGGCTGGTCCACATGCACCAACCGGCAGCAACTCACATCCGGATCCTTGATGGCATAGCTGCCAGCCGGGCAGCTGATGTCCTCCAGTTTGGCCCTGGCAGTATCCAGCACCTCATCGACAGCATTTTTACCGTACTTCACAGCATCTATGCAGTCATCCATGTGGATGAGAGCGCCCGCAGCCCCGCCGGCGATTGCCCCATAGGGGCCGGCCAGTGCGCCCCACCTGGCACCCTTGCCAATTGCCACCCAGCATTTCCTGCCGTTGTAGATGGCCTTAATAATGTCTGGAGTTTCCTCGATCACGGCTCCAGCTACAGCTCCCGCAACCTCTCCTCCCTGAGTTATCATGTCATCGGCAGCTTGGCCAATGTCCTCAATAGCTTCTCCTACGTCGCCGCCCACAACAGCACCAACCACTTGTCCAGCAGCAGCGGCGCCATCGCCCACGGCGCCCGTAACAGTTTCGATGCCGTCCTGTATCATGTTTCCTGCTCCATCAACCAAATCTCCCAGAACATTATGAAGCTGTCGCCCTGCATCATGATATGTGGCAGGGTGGGGTGCGCAGTCAGCGGCGGCAAGCGGGGCGGGAGCAATGCCAACCGCTGATGGCATCCTGCTAGACTCCGGTCCTCAAGATGATAATGAAACCGCATTCTCTGTTGGGTCTACTCATATGGGCTTGGGTGCGGCGGTGAGCTCATGAACGGAGGGCCCGGAAGGGTTTTCGGATAGAGGATTCTGGGGCCCTGCCCGCTCTTTGGACATCCCCACCCGAAGCATTGACTGCCTTGCTTACCTTCAGCCTGCAGGAGGAGGCCCAGAAGGCTTGCAAGTAGGGCAATGCGATGGAGAACCATCACTTGGGCAGGCAGCCGTTATCGGAGCTACCTCAAACAATCTCAAATGTGATGCAGAGCAGTCTGAGAGGGCCGGGGGGCTCGGCCACACATGTGGGTGTGGGGGGCTGCGTGCCCCACCAGGTGGCAGCAGGACTACGTGCACAACAGAGCCTTTGGAAGAGCTGACTTTATGCAGGTTTAAGCACCTTTCTATGTGGATGGCACTGCATGCAACCAGCAAACAGGCATGGTTGTAGTGGCGGCTTCGCCGCCGCCGCGGCGCGTAGTGCGGGATACTGGCTGCAGCTGGCCAGCGCTCAACTATTGCCTGCCAAACAAGCAGATGCAAAGGTGAATGTTACACAGGCTGATTTTCGTCAGTGGAGCAGACAGAGTCAAGTTGCAAGAAAGGAAGAAACAGAATGGAGCAGCACCAGAAGCGCATCACCTACCGCCGAGCTGTTGGGGAGGCAAAGCCACGGCCGAAGCAGGACCTGAAAGAGTGCCAGTGGCGGTGACAGCCGGTTCAGAAGGTGCAGCCAGGAGCAGCGTGCAGGGCAGCATGAAAGAAGCAGAGGAAAGGAAGGGCAGGCCGGCAGGCAGATAACGGGAGGGGCAGCCAATACCTCTGCCAGAGAAGGAGCAGGGCAGCGATGGAAGCGAGCGCTCAGACAACAACCTGCGGAAGGTGCAGAGTTACACAGGACGGGGGCAGCGGGCGCCAGGTGCGCAGCACAAGGCGCTGATGTGTGCTTGGGAGGAGGCCTCGACCTGCACTGCAGATTGCCGCTGCCGTGACCTGCATGCTCAAGTGTCCAGCGCCGCCGCCAGCTCGCTCGTCGCCATCTCGCTCGGCCTGCCAGGGCGTATTCGAAGGGCTGAGTGAGAGCAGAGGATGTTTGCCGTACCGCCTTCCATCTCCCATCCACACATCCAACCATCTATGACAAGCCAACTGCCCGCCACCGTCGCTCGCACGCCAGGAAGCAGTGTGGCCCCTAGACCCCAAAGTGCTGGTTGTAGATGGGCGTGAACTGCAGGCAGGGGAGCAGGGGGACGGGCGCAGGAGCTCAGGAGTGCTGCTGGGGGTGCAGTGCCGCAACCTGCAAGCTCAGAAAGCTTAGAAGTCATTGCTGGCAAAACGGCTGCCCAGGCCGGCAGCGCAGCCAGGCCTCACCTGGAAGTCCGCTGCGATCTGGCGCGCCGCAAACCAGCGGCCGTGCAGCGCCCGCTGGGCGTTGGCGGCCGAAGAAATCGCTGTGAACTTCTGCAGCAAGGGAGCAGAGGAAACGGTGCAGCAGAGCGCTACGTCAGCAGAACAGCTGTGGAGACAAGGATGACAAAAGCGCTTGAGTTGACTGACAGAGGAGCAGGCCCTACAAGCAGCAGCATGCCCACCTCACTGCCCAGCCCCGGGGCACCCACTCTGGCGCACACTCCCCTCCCGCAAGCCCTTCCCATGACTCACCACGTAAACAAATCCGCGCGAGTTCCTGTCCACAAACACATGCTCCACCGGCCCGTACTTCTGGCACTCGCTGCCCACATCCTCTGCAATCTCCGCATCCCAGTTGTCCGCCGTCTCCCTGCGGCAAGGGCAAGGGTGGGGGTAGGCAGGCATGTGAGAGAAGGACTGGGGGGGCTCAACTGCCGCAGCACAGCACGCGCAGGTTTGATAACATGCCGCACAGGACCAGCGGCACTTGGCCCCTGGCTGATGTGACCCCCCCACCCCACCCCACCACTCACTCTGCGGGGTCGAACATGTTCTTCAGCAGCAGGCACTGCGTGGGGATGGGCGAGGCCGGCCCCAGCAGGCCCTGCTCTAGCGCCAGCGCCGAGGGCACCAGCGGCTGCTGCGGCGCAACCTGCGGCAGCGGGATCTGCGGCACATTGGACACATCCAGCCCCGCGTTGGCGGCCAGCTTGCTCATCAGCGCCGCTCGTGACTGCGGGGCAGGCAGGGGGGGAGCAGGGACACCAGTCAGCACTGCTGCAAGCCAGCCGGGACCTGCTATGAAGAGAGCAGACGCAGCAAGCCAGTCCAGCTGTGGCTACAGCCCCAAACAACCTAAATCCCCTCGCGCACCTGCCCCGTCAGTTTCAGCCCGCCGCCCGTGCCCTCTGCCGGCTCGTCCAGCTGGTCCGCCACCTGCTCCGCTGCCGCCATCGCCACCGGCAGCGGCGGCGGCGGCGGCGCAATGGCCACCGCCTCCACAGGCGTCTCCACATTGGCCCAGCCCACCCCCAGCTGGTGCCCCACAATGTCCAGGCCGCTCAGGTTCTCCTTGGCCTTGGTGGCGTCAGACAGCAGGCGGTACCTGTGGTACAGGCAGGGCAGCGGAAGCAGGCGCGGCGCAGCGGGCACGGCGTTCGGAGCAGAGACGGCGCGCTCGGAGCAGACTGCAGCAGAAATAGAAGCGCCAGTGGGCGCAGATTTGCCCGCATGTGGCGATGCGCAGGCCATAGCGCGGCTGGGCGAGGCAGCGGGCACTCACTGCACAAAGCCGTTGCCGGTGGGGCGCGCCGCGGTGTCGCGCTGCAGCGTCAAAAAGTCCAGCGCCCCAAACGGTTCAAAGATGGGCCGCAGGTCGGTCTCTGCAGCAGCGCAGCGGGCACAGCAGCACAGGCGGGTGAGCAGGGAGCGCGCCGGCAAGGGCACGTGCTGGCAAGGGCATAGCAAGCTAGTGCACGGGCAACACAGCTGCAAAGAGCTCGGCCCAAGCACCGCGGGCTGCAGGCACCCACCCGTGATGGAGGTGGGCAGGTTGGAGAGGGCCAGGCGCGCGGGCCCCGCCGCCACCATGGGCGCCATGGGCATCGCCAGCCCCACCATCCCCGGCATGCCCGGCGGCATAGGCGGCGGCAGCAGCGGCGCGGCCATGGCCCCCGGCCCCAGCTCCCGCTCCAGCTCCTTCTGCTGCCGCTTGGCCTGCTCCGCCGCCTCCCAGGCCAGGTTCTTTTCCGCCTCGCTCATCTTGACCATCACGGCCTGCCCCATGAGCACCTGCCCCGTCAGCGCCAGCGCGTTGATCACGTCTTCCTTGCGCTGGAACTCGATGTAGGCAAAGCCCTTGGAGCGCCCCGTGGTCTTGTCGGTGATGACCTTGATGTCGTTCAGGGGGCCTGCGGGGGCGGGTTTAAGGTGGGGAGAGAGGTGCATGTGTGAGCCTGTGTGTGCGTGTGTGGCGTGTAGCAGGCTAGTGCGTGTGTTCAGGGCAAGGGGATGGTGGGGGCGGGGCCAGCAAGGCCAGGGGCGCCAGCGCCGAGCCGCCACCCCACCCAGCGCACCCGCTTTGATGAAGAACTGGAAGATCTCCTTCTCCTCCGCGCGCAGCGGCAGGTTGTAGGCAAACACGGTGCGCGTGTCGCGGTCGAGCGCCTCCATCTCCGCCGCACGCTCGCGCTCGGCGCGCACCTCTGGCGGCGTCACCTCCCTCCGCCGCGGCGGGCTGCGCGGGCGGCGGTAGGTGCGCTCTGGGGAGCGCGGGCGCTCGCGCCGCCGCTCGCGGGACCGCTCCCGCTCCCGCTCCTTGCCGCGGGAGCGGTCGCCGCGGTCGCGGCTGCGCGAGCGCCGCTTGCGGTCGCGAGACTTGCTGCGCGAGCGGCGCTTGCGGTCGCGGCTGCGGGAGCGGCGGCGCGAGCCGGAACGGTCACGGCTGCGTCGTCGGTCCTCCTGCAGGGCACGGCACGGCGGCAGGGGTGTAGGTGAGCAGCAGGCAGCAGGTGCATTTGTAGAGACGCCGGCGTCGGCAGCAAGCCCGTGGCGGCAGCCGATGTGCAGCATGCCGGGGCGCCATCTCTCCAGCGCTCACTCACCTTTGCTCCCTCATCCCCGCCGTTTGCCTCTGCTGGAAGCGGCGGGGCGTCCTGCTCCATCGGCTGAGGCGGCAGGGCCTCCTGGGCGGCGTACCTGCGGCAGCGCGGCGGTCAGCGTGTTGATCAGGCATGCCAGCAGGGCAGGGCGGGGCGGGAGCGGCATACAGTAAGTGCTCCTTACTCTGACATCGCCTCGCTGGGCGTCCCTAAGCCCCCGATTGCTGCGAAGGTGAGCTGGAGGTGCAATCAGGAGTATCAGTCTGACAGAGGGGCGGCGTAAACGCGCATTTTCCCGCCTAGAAAGGGGGTGCACCCATGCCGGCGCGCCGCGGCGTGAGTCAAGGGCCGACCCATTCCCCACCTGTTCAATTATAACTGCAAGTTCATCGGATCAAGGCCAGGGTGGGGGGCACGCAGCAGCAGCGCCCGCCACGATGAGAAGTCCCGCTGTGACTCGTTCTACGAGCCAGTTCTTCAACCCCACGGCGCACCCATGCGTGGTGAGCGGAAGGATGCGAGCGGTGCAGTCGCATTGCAGCACACGTTGCGCATGGCACCTGCCGCCGCCGCCCCTTGTCAGTCGGCTGCGCCGACTGACGGGCCGCCTTCCTCTGCACTTTGCTGGGTGGTTTCTCTGGTTTGCTGCATGGTTGATGTGCTGAGGGTGTGGTGAATCAGGCCTAGCATTCCCTGCCGTGTGACGCGCTGGTGGGCCGGGGAGCGGCCAAGGATGGAGGAGCCGGCCAGCTAGCGGAGTCAGGGCAGCTGCCAGTGGTGCATGAATCAGGGCAACCGGGGGCAGCTGCTGAATCCTCCTCTGTAATCTGCAGGTCATCAAGGTGGGCACCTCCAGCCTCATCCGCGCCGAGCAGGGCAGCCTCAACCTGTCCAGCCTGGCCAGCATCGTGGAGACGGCACGTGACCTCAAAGCACACGGCTTCAACGTCATCATCGTCTCCAGGTGAGCGGGCTGGTGGTTAGCGGGCTGGTGGCGATGGTGGCGGTGGCGGTGGCAAGCATGGCCTGGCCTGGCATGGCGCGGCATGGCAGCAGAGCACCTTGCACGCAGCCGGGGCATGCTTGCAAAGCGGTGGCGCTTGCCGTTTTGCCAGGAGGCGCCGCCGGCCCAAGGCCACCAGCCACGGGCCCCTTCCCCTTCCCTTTTGCCCCACCCAGCCCTGCTCTGCCCTGCAGCGGCGCGGTGGGCGTGGGCTGCCAGCGCCTGCGCCTCTGCGTGCGCCCCGACAGCCTGGCGCAGAAGCAGGCGCTGGCGGCTGTGGGGCAGGTGCACCTCATGCGATACTACGACGACCTCTTTACCGCGGTGGACATGGTGAGGAGGTGGCCGCCGCCGCCGTGGACCCCCTGCTGCCCGGCAGCTGGCACACAACAGCCTTCCCTTGCTGGCTGGGGGGCCTCTGCCTGGGGTGCAGGCAGGCGCTGGGTTTGACGACCCGTCGTGCACCCTCGCCCCGCCCGCCGCTGCGCGTGCAGAAGTGCGCGCAGGTGCTGCTGACGCTGGACAACCTGGCCAACCGAAGCCAGTACATCAACGCCAAGAACACGTTTGAGGAGCTGCTGCGGTGAGTGGGAGTGCACATGTGTGTGCAGGCTGTGTGTGTGGGGAGACCGCATGAGTGTGGGTGGTGCTGACGAGGATGGGGACTGTGCGGGAGGGGCATGCCGATGAGGGGCATGGGAGGCGTCGGGGAGAGTGACAGGCACCGCCAGCCTCAAGGCCGGCCAGGTGCTGGCCCCAAGGGGCTGAGCGCCGCCGCATTACTCTCTCCTGCCCCGCCTGCCCCGCAGGCTGGGCGTGGTGCCCATCGTGAATGAGAACGACACGGTGGCGGTGCAGGAGCTGCGCATCGGGGACAACGACACGCTGTCGGCGCAGGTGGCCACCCTGGTGCAGGCCGAGTGGCTCTTCCTGCTGACCGACGTGCCCAACCTCTTCACAGCCAACCCCAGCACCGACCCCGAGGCGCAGCCCATCTACGAGGTGCCAGACCTGTCCAAGCTGCACGTGAGCTGGGGCGGGGCTGTGGTGCCTGTTGTTCCCGCGCCTGCCACGATGCCTGGGCCCCTGCTGGCTACCCCCCTGCTGCTGAGCGGCCTGCCGGCTCCTTGCCGCCGCGTGTTTGGCAGCGGCAAGCCTGGGGAGGCTGCCCCTGCTAGCAGCCAGGCCGAGCCGTACCGTACCGCCCCTCCCTGCGCCGCCGCAGGTCGACACCACCACCCGCGGCACACAGTGGGGCACGGGCGGCATGGCCACCAAGCTGACCGCGGCGCGCATCGCCACCGCCGCCGGCTGCCGCATGGTGATCTGCACCGCGGAGGAGCCGCGCAACATACCCAGGATCATCGCGGGCGAGCGCATCGGCACCGTGTTCCACCCCACAGACGTGCCGCTCAAGCAAGTGGCGGCCGCTGTCGCCGAGCTGGCATAGCGGCTGGCAGCTCTGGAGGGCACATGCATGGATCTGCAGGATGGTACAACAAAAATGCAACTCTCTGCGCCTGCTCCCTCGGCCACCAGCCCCGCCTGACCGTCTGCCCCGCACTGCCACCACCGCCGCGTGCAGGGGCCGCAAGCGCTGGATTCTGAGCGTGCCTGTGCGGGGCGAGGTGTGGCTGGACGAGGGGGCGCAGCGCGCGGTGCAGGAGCGCAAGAAGTCTCTGTTCAGCGCCGGCATCCTGGAGGTGAAGGGAGAGTTCGAGGCACAGGTGCGCTGGCTGCTGCACACGGCGGCGCTGGCAGCCGTGGCTGGATGCATGCTCTGGGGCCCTGGGGCCCTGCCTGGCACCGTTCTCTTGTTGCTGCTGACTGGTGCGCTGGGTGAGGCGTGGTCAGGGTGGAGGCATGCCCAGCCCTGCCCCGTGGTGCCGGTCCCATGCATTCGCTCTTGATGCCACCAACCCCGCGGTTGTGCCTGCTGCAGGACGCGGTCAGCCTGTGCGATTGCCATGGAGAGGAGTTTGCGCGGGCGCTGATCAACTACGCTCAGGATGAGGTTGACAAAGTCAAGGTGGGCCGGGGCTGTGAGCGGCGCATACACGGCAGCAGGCGAGGGGCAGGGCGGCCTTCGAGGCTGCGGCATGGCAACCAGCAGCGAGTGAGGAGGAGGATGGCCTCTGTAAACGACAGCTGGCCTGTTTGTGTGGACTACACGTTGGCTGCCAGTGGTGTGCGGCATTCCATGAGCCCGTCCCCCCTCGCTTTTGCTGCAGGGCCTGAACAGCCGCGAGTTTGCCTCAGGGCTGGGCTACATGGGGCAGGAGGAAGTGTGCCATGTGAGGCGTGCGGCGGGCTGCCGGCGCAGGCAGCACCGGAGTCAGTGGTGCTAAGCTGGTTCAGCTACAGTATGCCTGCACGTCAGCGCTGCTGCCACAGTCAGCTGTCCTGCTTGCCGTGGGCATGCTTTGCCTTACGGTTTCTCTAATCCTTGCCTCTCTGCTGCTGCAGCGCGCCAACATCTGCTTGCTGCTGACGCACCACGACGATTCAGGTCAGGCCTGCAGCAGCTGTGCTTCCCGCTGGAGTGGTCGGGAGGGGCTCCGGGGTGTGGGTGTGCGCGAGGGCGCCGGCAGGAAGGCTGCAAACCACACAGACTGATCCGGTTGCTTGCTTCCTCTCGTGCAGACCACGAGCAAGACAGCGGCCACAGCCCCTACGACGGACCCTCCCGCTCCACCACGCCCCCCATTGGCTCCATCCTCCCCGCGGCGGTTGCCGCAGCAGATGCGGCGGTGGCGGCAGGCACGCGGTCTCCTCCGGGCAGCGGCGGCGGCCACCACACGCCGGGCAGCCACAACAGCGCGCGGCCCCACCTGCCCCCGCGGCGCCCGCCCCACAGCAGCAGCAGCGGCAGCATCGCCTCCACCAGCAACAGCTTCCGCCAGCAGTATGAGCAGCTGGAGCAGCAGCGGCAGCACCAGCTGGAGCAGGAGCTGGCGGCGCAGCAGGCTGAGTCGCAGGAGCTGGCGGCCCGGCTAGCGGTGCTGCAGTCGAGGTGAAGCCCTGCACTGTACCGCAGACACCTGTGGATCTGTGCATGGGTCCATTTCACCCTGTTGTCCCACGTCCCCAGCCCCGTGCACCATGCTCTGTAATGCCCACCTGCCCACGCCGGCTCCAAACAGCGTCCCGCCTCCATCGCCCTGCCACCGCCGCTGTGCGCTGCGCGCAGGGGCGGCGGCACGCCTGTGACAGCGCAAGGCGTGATTGGGCGTGCTTCTGGCACTACTAGCACCAACTGGGATGCTGAGCTAGCAGCTGCTATCGCCCATGAGAGGCAACAGGAGCAGCTGGCGGGTGCTGCAGCAGGGCAGCGTGCTGTTGCAGCAGGGGAGGACGTCACAGAGCAGGGCTGGCTGCCTCGCTGAGGTTTCAATTGTCGGTGCACGATGTAATGCTCTCTCTGCAACGATGCTGCCAAGCAACAGCATGTATCAGCGCTGCTTGCAACTCGTACCGGCGCCCGCGCGCGAAACTGCCATGTGGCGCTGAGGTGGAGCTGTCTTGAGTCCTTTGCTTAATGCAAACAGCCGGCAGGAGGTCCCTTGTTGTTCGTTGAATGCCCTGCCGGAGGTATGGCGGAGGGGAGCGGTGGGGGTGGTGGCTCACAGCCAAAAGTGGTCTGGGCTGGGAGGTGCGACGATTGCCTTGCTGCAGAGCCTGTGCGGCTGCTCACCCACCTTGTGCGCGCCTTGTTGCGAGTTCGCTCGCCGCCGTGGAGTGGCCGGGCCGCCCAAATTCAGCCTGGTGGCAGGGTTTGCGCGCCGTGCGCGACTGCTTCGTGCATCTGCAAAAGATGCGGCAGTCGCCAAAGGGCTTGTGGCCCTGATGGCGGCTGCATCACCGATTGGCAGCTGCCGCCCTGCCGCCCTTGCCTCGCCGCCCGCAACCACCCCTGCACGCTGCAGGCTGGAGGCCGCTTTCGAGGCCGAGGTCAAGCGGCTGGGTGGCGTGCAATCCGCCCGGCCCAAGCAGCTGCTTGATGCCCTGCGTCCGCAGGTAGGCGATGGGTGGCAGCGCAACACCGCCTTGCTACCGACATGCCGTGTGCTGCCCCGACCCTTGGGCCGCTTTAGTCACGCTTACTGAGCCTGCGTGTTGGGCGCCCTTCCTCTATCTATGTGCAGTTTCCCGAGCTCAACCTCCAGCTGCAGGTCGGTGGGCCTGGTTGCGTGCCTGTTGTGGGCGATGCCCCCAGCCATGCGAGGGAGTGGCCGTGCTGTAGCGGTCGTCACCCACCAGCTCTGTTTTTCTGCATCCCTGTGGCTGAAGAGTTGCAAGTGGCACTTACAAACGCTTCGCAAGCGGGAGCAACGGGAGTTGGAGTGGCTTGCCACCAACTCTGGGCCCGTGCGATGGACGGGCAAGTGAGTACGGTGGTGTGCTGGCCGGCAGGGGTTGTGGGTACTGTTCCCGGCTGGCCCTGGCTGCATCCCATTCCGAGGCTGCTCTCTATTGGATGCCTGGTGCAGGCTCAAGGAGGCATTCACAGAGGCTGTGGACCTCATGGGGGGCGTCCATTCCGCCCGCCCCAAGGCAATTTGGGATGCGCTGCATCACACCTACCCCATGCTCACGGTGCAGGTCAGTTGGCTGGATGGGTTGATGGCTAAGGGCGTGCAGCCCCATACTCGGAATTGCGGCAGGGGTGCTTGCGTTGGGCTGCGGTGGTGCACCTTTCCTTGTCGCGCAGTCACGCTGAAATCCATGCTCTCCATGCCGCCCCCTGCAGAGCATCAAGTGTAAGTGCATTCAGCGGCAGTGCGCATTCAGCGTAAGTGCACCAAGTGCAGAGCATTAAGTGTGGGTGCGTTGATTGTAAGTGCAGGGCACTTGCAGACGCTGCGCAAGAAGCAGGGGCAGGGGGGCGAGGGCGAGGAAGACGAGACGATGCTAGAGGGCGACAGGTGGGCCTGCGAACAGCTCTGCCTGTGGCGTGGTCGTCGGGTGGTACTTGCCTGGCTGCATGCTGCCGCCAGACCTGGGCCGCCAGGCTGGCTTGGTTGTGTGTGATGTGGCTAGCTGCGGCTGGCAACAGCTGAGAACACATTTTCTGTCCTGCTGGCCAACAGTGCATGCAGAAGCCAGGGCGACACGCCGTCGGTGGGTGGCACGTCGTCTGACCAGCAGCAGGGGCCTGAGCGGGGTCCGCTGTCAGCAAAGCGACAGTACTCTGCGGATTCAGGAGGCAATCCCCAGCAGCAGCAGCCGCCGCCGCAGCAGCAGGCCCAGGAGCAGCAGCAGGAGCCGCCGCAGCAGCCCTTGGTCACAGCGCTGCAGCCTCAGCGCGGCGTGCCGCCTTTGCCGCCACCACCGCCTTTGCCGCCGCCACCGCAGCGGCATGAGCGGCAGCTGGGGGTGGGTACTGGCAGCACCAGCCGCGGCCAGGTGCGGGAACCACAGGAGCAGGAGGGCGAGCAGCAAGGGTGGCAGCAGCAGGTCCAGCAGCAGCGCCAGCTGCGCCGGCAGCAGCTGCAGCACGCTTTGGTGCAGCCGCCGGGGAGCGCCAGCTGGGGGATTGACCTGGCGGCGGCAGCGCAGCAGGCGCGGCGACGGGCCACCGCCATTTCGCGGCATGTTCGCGTGGTGAGCTACCCTGCATGCCTACGGGCAGCAGCACTGCTTGCCTGCCTGCCGTGTGCATCATCTGTTGGCAGGGTTCAGAAGCAGTTGGCGCTGTCCTTCCGCCAGCCAACATCCCCAGTTCGTTTGTAGAGTGTTAGAGTTGTATGGCCGCAGCCTCCTCAGCCTGTCACGTGCGCGGATGCCCCCTGCCTGTGCACCTGCTGCAGCTGATTGCCGAGCTGGAGCTGCACGCTGCGGGGCAGGCGGAGGCCGTACATCTGCTGCAGCAAGAGCAGGCCAGCGGCAGGGAGGTGACTGAAGCCACGCTGCTGGCGCTAGCAGACCAGCTGCAGGGCGCACAGCCAGGCGGCTCCGGCCCCAGCAGCGCCGCCGCAGCCACGGCCGCAGCCGTGCTGGCAGCAGCGCGAGCGCTGGGGGCGCTGACACCGGCGCCGGATGGCAGCGCCGGCGCCGGCGAGGCGGGCGCTGACGGCGGCGGCCTGGGGCACACGCGGCGGCGGCGAGACACCGCGGTTCTGGGCTCGCTGGTGCCGCTGGTGCGGGAGGGCGCGCTGGCCGCCGCTCCGCCTGCAGACCCCGGCCACAACCCCGCCACCTGCCGCGTGCCTGGCTGCCGCCGCTGCGCATACCTAGACCGCCGGGCGGGGCAGGAGGCCGAGCGGGCTGGCCAGCAGGCAGCAGCCGCGCCAGACTCGCTACCGCAGCATGTGCAGGCGCCACCAGCGCCGGCCAGCACCTCGGCACCGGCTGCGGCTGTGAGCCAATGGGTCCTGCAGCAACAGCGCCTGGCTGGCCTGCCCGACTGGCTGCAGCAGCCGGGAGCGGCTGCGGCGCCGGGCGTGCGGCTGGCCACGACGCCCGGCGGCAGCGGCAGCGGCAGCGGCGGCAGCCTGCCTGGCAGCGTGGCCGCGGCGCTGGCAGCGTTCCAGCCGTTGCCAGACGCGGCCCAGCCGCTGTCCATCTCAGACAACACGAGCTCGATGAGCAGCCTGGAGAGCCTGCTGAATGCGGCGGAGAAGATGGAGATGGCGGCGAGCATGAGCCGGAGGGAGCAGTCGGCGCTGCTCGACCTGCTGCACTCTGACCCCACCCTGCTCAGCAGCGCAGCAGCAATGGTGGCGGCCGCCACCGCAGCAGCCCAGCCGCACACAGCGACAGGAGCGCCACCAGCCATGCCCGCCGCCGCAGGCGCCATGCCCAGCCTGACGACATCGGCGCAGGCGCAGCTGGCAATGATGACTGCAGGCATGGGGCGCTCGCCAACCCATGCATTTGCTAACCAGATGCTTCCCTCCTTGTTGTGCGCCCAGCAGCCAGCTTGCAGGAAGGTCTCAGCCATCCAACACCGGCCCTTTTCTTCCCTGCTGCCTTTGCCCGCAGGCGAGCTGCTGGCGTTGCCCACCCTGACGCTGGCCCCGCCCCCAGCCACCAGCCCCACGCCGGCCATGGCAGCGCCCTCCACCCAGGCCAGCCCTGTGTCCACGCACCAGCCCGGGGCTGCCCACCCTGCTCTAGATGCCACATGTGCGCACGTCTGATGTGGCGCTGCGCTCTGTTCTGTGTTTTGCCGGACAGCTTCTGCTTTGGGTGCATGCCAGCACTGCCCCGCTCGCGTACATCCCTCCACATGACCTCAGCCCCCAGCCCTTCATCTCCTCCCATGCGCCTTGCGTGCAGTGTGGGGCGCCATATGCCGTGCCGTGCCAGCTAGCAACGCGGCCGGGCAGCGCGCGATGGCGGCCTGGCTTGTTGAGGCCGGCGCCACTACGCCACGTGACGTGGTCAGCCTGCTGGACTCTTCCCCTCTGGTGCTGCAGCTGGCCCATGAGGCAGCCAAGGCGGAAGGAGTGCGGCTGATGGAGTGGGCTGCGCTGCTCAACACTTGCAAGCAGCTGGGGGCGGCGCCGCGGTAGCCGCCGGCGGCGGGCTGGCCACAGGAGCCTACCCTTTTCTGAATGACGTTGACCTACTCACCTTCAATATTTGATTGTCACCCTCCTTCTTGTACACCCTTTCTGATAGCCATCATCACATTACTCCTACTTTTCCCGTTTTCTTTCCGGGCACCGTACCGTGCATGACCCTCTTTGCCCTGCTTGCTGCTCTTGTTGCTTGCTTGCTTGCATGTTGTTTCACAAGACCTCACAAGACATCTTGCAGAGCGGATGCATGAAAAATGCAGAGGTTCCTGAAGGCCAGGAGGAGGGGTCTGTACAGGAAGGGGATGGAGAGGCAACAAGCGCCAATGCGGCGAGGGGGTCACGGCTGCTGCATCGGCAATGCGCCGAGGGCGGTCGAAAATTGGAGGCTCGTACAAATCAGTGGGCGGCGGCAGGATCAACGGCTGCCGCGCATCCGAATGATGGCGGGTGTGCCGTAGCCGGGTCCTGTTGGTAGTTGAATGTACTGCTAACCAGTAGGCAGGGGTACAGGGCGAGCAAATGCAGGGGGGCAGTAGCGCCGGTTCTGGTGGGAGATGCACGAGTCGTCAGGCAGAGATTTGGGCGCGGCGCTTGAAGGGGCTGCCGGTGGGGCTGCTGCCGCCCTTGGGCAGCTGGATGTTGGCAGGGGTGATCCAGCCGCTGCCGCTGCTGGCGACGGCGAGGGGGCCTACGGCGCTGCTGCTGCTGGCGCCGGCATCGCCGTCAGAGCCGGTGCTGCGGCTGGGCCCCCCCAGCAGGCTCAGCAGCTGCTCGTCCCGCAGCTGCCAGCAGCAGGTGAGGTCCAGGTGTGCCAGGCACGGCAGGAGCGGCAGCGCCGCAGCCAGCCCCTCTGCCGTCAGCAGCTGCGCCTCGGACAGGCCCAGGCGGGTCAGCAGGCCCAGGCGCTGCGCCAGCACCCGCAGGCTGGCGTCGGTGACCGCCTGTGGGCACCTGCAGGGCATGATGTGGGCGGGGCGCAAGTACCATGTTTGTGCGAAGGACGGGACGCAGAGCTCGGAGCAGAGCAGAGCAGCGTGAGGCATCCAAGGACCCCTAAGGCACCACGGCCACCATGCCACAGGATTTCGGCTGCGTGCATGCAAGGGCCTGGGTGGAGCTGCAGCCAGCTGGCCGGCTGGCGGGCCCAACCTGCACAGAGACAGCGAGGCGAGGCGGTCCAGATGAGCCAGCTGCACCACGCCGGCCGGCGTCAGCTTGTGGCAGCCGGTGAGCTGCAGGCCGCGCAGCTGGCGACAGCTGGCCGCCAGCTCAGCCACCGCGCCGTCGTCCACGCCAGTCAGGCTCAGGTCCAGCCAGCGCAGCGTACGGGCTGCCGGGCCGGCCGCCAGCGCCTGCACCCCCCTGCTGCCCACGTGCGCGCAGCCGCAGGCCGCCAGCTGGCGCAGGCTCGGCAGGCTGGCGGCCGCCGCCAGGCAGCCGTCGTCTGCCGCCGTGTGGCTGATGTCCAGGCGGCGCAGGCGCGGGCAGCCGGCCGCTGCCTCCAAGAGGAGCGTGGGCGACAGCGCCACGCGGCTGCCGGCCAGGCACAGCCACTCCAGCGCGCCCAGGCAGCGCAGGGAGGACAGGTGGCGGTCCGTCACGCCGGCGGCGCCGCCCAGGCGCAGGCAGCGCAGCGACGCCGCGTGGCGCCGCAGCGCGGCGGCAAACCGTGCGGCGGTGGCGGGGCGCTGCCAGCTGTCCGCCTCGGCGTGCAGCTGCTGCAGGCGGGCGGCCGAGGTGCCTGTGATGGCTGGGTAGGAGTCAAAGTGCAGGGCCCGCCTCGCGCCCGAAGAGAAGAACAGCTGACGCTGCCAGGGGGCCTGGTGGGAGTGCTGCGTGGCCGCCGCCGCCGGCTCCGCATCCAGGCAGCAGCCGCCCAGGTCCACCGCCGACAGCCGCCCCGCGCCGGCCGCCTCCAGGAAGGCGGTACAGGCGCGCAGCGGCAGCGCGGACCCCGCGGCCGAGAAGGTGTGCAGCTGGCGGAAGCAGGCGGCCGCCTCACACAGGTCCCGCTCGTGCAGCGACGTGAGGCGGCGGTGGGGGGGGCCCGCCGCCTGCGCCGCGCCCTCCCACCCGCCGCCGGCGCCGGCGCCGGCGCAGCAGCAGGGGCCGCAGCCGACGCAGCCGCTGGGTGCGACGCAGCCGCCGCCGGAGCCGCCGGCGCCGATGTCCAGGTGCGTGATGCTGCTGCCGCAGGTGGCCGCCAGCAGCTTGAGCTTGCTGGGGTGGCAGCAGCTGCCCGCCAGCGACAGGCGGCGCAGGCGGGGCAGGCGCCACAGCGCGGCCGGCAGCGCTTCGGGCATGGCCGGGAACTGAAGCAGGTGGGCCATGTGCTCCAGGTGCAGCGAGGTGAGGCCCTGCATCTGCAGCAGGCGCAGGCGGGGGCCACGGCAGGGAAGGGCTGGGGGCGGAGCAGGCACCAGGGGCGGGGCCGAGCAAGGGGAGCTGTGCGATGGGCTGGCACTTGCCGCGCCGGTCGGCCCAGCTCCTCACACGCCCGCATGCGGCCTGCGGCCGTCTGCTGGAGCACTGTGCGCCATCCCGGGCCTGCCATGCTGCCTGGCACTCCCGCCCCGGTGCTTGCTTCCGCCGCCCCCTACCTCTGTGATGGCCAGCCAGCACTGGTCGGTGAGGCCGGTGCAGGCGCTGATATCCAGCGCCACCAGCCCCACATCCACCGTGGCCCCGCACCCGCCCCCGGCCTCCTCAGCCTCGCTCCTGACGGATGAGGCGCTGCTGGTGCGGGCCAGCGGGGCGGTGCTGCCGCGGCGCTCCGCCAGGTGGCGCAGGCCCCAGTCTGTCACCTCGGCACTGCCCCGCACGCTGAGCTCCCTGCACGGCACAGCGGGAGACGGCGCGCCGCCAGGCGTGGGCAGAGCAGCCAGCTGCAGCAGGTGAGGCAGGGCTCCCGCACGCGCCCCACACCTGCCGTCTCTGCTCCCCGGCCCTCACCTGAGGTGAGGGAGCGCCGCAATGTGGCGCATCGCCACGTCGTCCACTCCGTCGCCGTCCAGCACCAGCCGCCGCAGCGAGGCGAGGCGCGGCAGCAGGGCCGACACCTCGGGATTCAGGCTGCAGCAGGGAGGGAGAGGCACGGAGCATCAGCGGCTGGCCGAGCGGAGCAGAGGTGCGGTGCAGCGCAGGGCCAAGTGGTTTGTGCTGCTGCACTGGCTGGGCATGCCCTGACCAGCTACTGGGGCCCGCTTCAGGGCACTGAGATCTGCAGGCCAGGGACCCCTGTGGCCGAATGATGCAGCTGCGCTGCCGAGCTCACCCGAGGGCCAGGGCGCAGTCGGCCATGTCTAGGGAGGCCAGCTTGGGGCAGGCCGCTGCCAGGTCTGCCAGCAGGCTGCCACGCAGGAAGGGGCAACCGCGCAGGCTCAGAGACTGCAGCTGCTGCAGGGGCGGCCCAACCGCCTGCGGGCTCCCCAGGGGCGCACACAGCCTGCCCTCCGGGCTGCTGCTGCTGCCGCTGCCGTCGGCGTTTGAGGGCCGCGCCAGCACGGCAAATGCCGCGTCCTGCACCGTGCTGCCGTCGGCTGCCAGGCTGCGCAGCGCGGTGCAGCAGCGCAGCGCGCGCTGCAGCCCTGCCGGCGTCAGCTGGAAAGCGCCGCCTATGTCCAGCGCCTGCAGGCGCCCGCCCAGCTGGCGGCAGGCCGCCTCCAGCTCCTCGTCACAAAGCGCCTGCCCCGCACCCCGGGCACTATAGTCGAGAGACACGGCTTGCGGGAAGGCGCCCAGCTGTGCGGGCTTGCCCTGCGGCAGGACGAGCAGCATGAGCTGTGAGAAGGAGCCATGCAGGCATCGGTCCAGCGAGCAGTCAAAGGAGGTGGGGCTTGGCACGCACCAGCGGCTGGAGCGTGGCGGGCGCCGGCGTCAGCGCGTGCCGCCAGGCGCTGCACGTGGCTCGCAGAGACTCCAGGTGCGCGTTGGATTGCCTCGACAGGCACGCCTCCACCTGCAGCAGGGCGGACGCAGGGTCAGCAGTCTTGGCGCGCGCAGCCCCCACATGTTCGTCGGCCCCTCCCCCCACCGGCTTGGACGGAATGTGGCGACGTGCGATCACCCCCAGGGAGAAGCAAAGGGAGGGGTCGGGGTTTCGAGCAGGGGCAAACATTTGAGATTCGCCCGCTCCACGGCTCCCTGGCACCCCTCCAAGCCTCTACCGACGCACTTACCAGCAGCACGACGTCGGAGGGCAGGGACGCCCAGTCAGGGGCCCGAGCCGCACCCTGCGGCAGGGCAGGCTCCATTCCGTCTGCCGGGTGTATAGCAGGCTGCCACTGTTGCTGCCGAATGCCCGAGAGTTTCGAGGGATATGCAGCCTGCCCCCGTATGGAGCACGCAGAACTCTTCCACACCTGCCAGCGAGGCCGCCACCACTCCCATCCCATATATGCCCGCCTGGGGAAATCGCTCATACAGGGGGAGGGCCCCGAAGGGGCCGAAAATACAGGGGGAGGGGGGAGGGAGGAGGAGGGGAGAAGGAGGGGGAAATTGGCGCGCGCAGCGCGCCGCGAGCACCAAACGGAAGGAAGTTCGCCCCACGCGGGCTCGGGGCCTCGGCTCTGAAGCGGCCTGCGCCGTGTCATTTACCTCCTTGTGATCGCTGAAGCTCGAGCAAAGCAGTGGCTAGCTGAACAAGAAGACGGGCGAGGGTGATGCCCGAGTGTTCCCGGTCTCCAGGCGTCCTGGCGCGCTGCAACACCCCCCAGAGAGTCCCATGTGTAGTAACAGCCAGGAAAGAGCTCTGAGGAAGCTGATCGCGCCAGAGGGCTTCCGCCGCCGCCGCCGCCCTTGCATTGCTGGCAGAGGGTTGGGCCCTCCAGGATGCAGCAGCAGTGTTGGCATTGGGCTGGGGCATGCAGCTGCAGTGTTGGCAGAGGCTGGGGCTCTCCAGCATGCAGCAGCAGTGATGGCAGAGGCTTGGGCTCTCCAGGATGAAGCAGCAGTGTTGGCAGAGGCTGGGGCTCTCCAGGATGCAGGAGCAGTGATGGCAGGGCTGGGGCAGGCAGCTGCAGTGTGTTGGCAGAGGCTGGGGCTCTCCAGAATGCAGCAGCAGTGATGGCAGGGCTGGGGCAGGCAGCAGCAGTGTTGTCAGAGGGCTGGGCTCTCCAGGATGCAGCTGCAGTGTTGGCAGAGGCTGGGGCTCTCCAGAATGCAACAGCAGTGATGGCAGGGCTGGGGCAGGCAGCAGCAGTGTTGGCAGAGGGCTCGGCTCTCCAGGATGCTGCAGCAGTGCTGGCAGGGGCTGGGGCATGCAACAGCAGTGCTGGCAAGGGCTGGGGCTCTCCAGGATGCAGCAGCAGTGCTGGCAGGGGCTGGGGCAGGCAGCTGCAGTGTTGGCAGAGGTTGGGGCTCTCCATGATGCAGCTGCAGTGTTGGCAGAGGCTGGGGCTCTCCAGGATGCAGGAGCAGTGATGGCAGGGCTGGGGCAGGCAGCTGCAGTGTGTTGGCAGAGGCTGGGGCTCTCCAGAATGCAGCAGCAGTGATGGCAGGGCTGGGGCAGGCAGCAGCAGTGTTGGCAGAGGGCTGGGCTCTCCAGGATGCAGCAGCAGTGTTGGCAGAGGGCTGGGCTCTCCAGGATGCTGCAGCAGTGCTGGCAAGGCCTGGGGCTCTCCAGGATGCAGCAGCAGTGTGGGCAGGGCTGGGGCAGGCAGCAGCAATGTTGGCAAGGGCTGGGGCTCTCCAGGATGCAGTTGCAATGCTGGCAGGGGCTGGAGGCAAATAAGATGCAGGCTGAGGCGGGCATGCAAGAACAGGAGTTGAGGGAGGGAGGTAAGTGCCCAACCATCTGCATGCTCTGACATTGCGCCGCGCCGACGGGCCTTGCATTTGCATGCCCCCTTGCTCCACCTCCTTGCAGTGTTGCATGATTACATCATGCGCGGCGCTGGAGGCTGATGCCTGTAAAGTTTGACCACATAGCAGCGATTCGGTTGGAGGTTGCCGCCGCTCCCGCCCCTCCTGCCGCCGCTCCTGCCGCCGCTCCCGCCCCTCCTGCCGCCGCTCCTGCCGCCGCTCCAGCCGCCGCTCTCGCCGCTCCTGCTCCTGCTGCCGCCCCTCCAGCCGCCGCCGCTGCGGGGCCTGCTGCTGCGGGCGATGCCTCTGGCCAGGCGATGCCTTGCCGCTCCAGCTCTGCGCGCCGCGCTGCCGCCGCCGCGGCGCGCTCCTCGCTGCTCCCGCTGCCCTTGGCGCGGAAGGCCTCATCTGCCGTCTTGGCCTTGCTCCACTTGCGCGACACCTGCTGCCGTTGCTGTTCGGTTAAGCGCTCGTTGAACGCCTTGTACCACTTGCACTGCAGGCTGTGCACGGTGGTCAACTGCACAGGCCAGTCGAGGTAGTAACGGCAGCCGCGGCAAAGGTTTGGGCCTTTGCGGGCAGCACGGCCTTGGCTACGCCCAGCATGCCCCTGCCCGCGACCGCCGCGCCCAGCAATGCCGCTTGACCGCTGCTGCTGCTGCTCCACCAAGGCCGGCGCGGGGCTGAGCACGATGGGGCCAGAAGCAACGGCGGTGGCACCGCCTGGGGTACCGCCGACAGCTGCCGCCGTTGCCGCCGCCTCCGCAGCTGCCGCCGTTGCCGCCGCTGCCGCCGCCTCCGCAGCTGCCGCTGTTGCCGCCGCTGCCGCTGCATCCGCGGCAGCCAGCGTAGCCGCGGCGGCGGCGGCTGGCGCGTTGGGGTCCTGCGCAGCGGCTGCTGCGAAGCGCTGCTGCTGGGCCTCGTAGAACTCCTTGAGGAACTTGCCGGTTGTGGGCTTGAGCGCTGTCGTGGTGCAGCTGCGGGCAGCCGCATCAAGGCGCGGCGCCAAGCCTGCCGTCCACTCTGCCGCCAGGTCCTCCCACCGCTGGCCGTCCTGCGGCACTCTGCCGCTCCGCGCGGCCAGCAGCTCCCAAAGGTATGCATACGTCTCCTCGCAGTGCGGTGGGGGGAAGGCCAACGCCACAGCCGGGGCGCGGCGGACGATGGAGTGGCTGCGTGTGGCGCTGCTGGACCGGGCGCCAGGCGGCGATGCTGCCGTCGCCGTACGCACCGTGCGCCGCTGACGCTGGGGGCTGCGCGCCTCGCTTGCATCCTCGTCGCTGCTGCCAGCAATTTCACTCCAGCGCCGCCGGTGCTGCGGCGTGCGGCGTGGCCTGGCACCTGCCTGTTCGGCGCCGTCGACAGGTGGCCCCAAGCCCTCTGCAGCACGCGCGGCCTGCAGGGAGAGGAGGGGACGGCGGGGCGGCGCGCTCAAGAGCGTGGGCGCCCATGCATTCACTGCTGAGGAGAGGGTGCTGCGCCGGCAGGCCCCTGCTGCAGCGCCGCCAGCCCCCCGTTGCTGCGCCCCCAGCAGCCCCCCTCCCTCCTGACCCCCGCACCCGGCTCTGCTCCTCGGCTGGCGCTTCCGCATCAGCAGGCCGCCCCGAGCCCTCCGCAGCACGCGCGGCCTGCAGGGAGAGGAGGGGACGGCGGGGCGGCGCGCTCAAGAGCGTGGGCGCCCATGCATTCACTGCTCAGCAGAGGGTGCTGCGCCGGCAGGCCCCTGCTGCAGCGCCGCCAGGCCCCCACCCTGGCCCCCGCACCGGGCTCTCCTCCTCAACTGCGTACAGTTCCCAGTCGGCCGCCACAGCCCGCGCAGCCTGCAGGGGAGGAAGGGCAAAGGGGCATCGCTGGCTGAGCGGGAGCGCTCAACTTGAGGGTGGCCGACAGGCGGCAGATGCGCAGCGTCACGTACCGTGCCCGCCACCTCCTCTACCAAGTCGTCGGCCTCCATCCAGCTCTCCAGCTCCGCGCTCTCCTCGGCCCTTGGCGTCGCCGGCTGCAGCTGCGCCAGGAGCGCCTCGAGCTCAGCTGCCCGAAACATCGCCTGCAGTGCGCCGCCCGGGTCGTTGAGCTTGGACTTGGTAGTAGCCTGCTCGAGGCTCGCCTTGAGCCGCCGCTGCGTGCGCGCAATGGCGTCGGCAGTGCTCCCGCTGCCACGCGCCGCCGCTGCCGCCGCATCGCTCGGCAGCTCCCCTGCCAGCGCAGCCAGCGAGCGCGGCACCAACAGGCAGCCGATGAAGTCGGCTGCAGTGAGGGGGGGCTTGGGCTCGCTGATGCCGGGGAACGGCAGGCTGCCCTCGGGGCAGCCCGCCGCACGCGCAGCTTGGCGCGCATCGTACAACAGGTGATGGTCGCCGCAGGGGTACGGCTTGAACTTGTCTGGGCGCGTGCGGGGGCGCGCCTCGACGGTGTACCTGGGGCCAGGGGACAAGGGGCAGGGGGTATGGTAGGCTGAGGATCAGGGGGGCACATGCGAGATGCATTGACAGCAGGGCGGGGCGGGAGGGCGGCGCATGTGGGATGCGTCCAGCAGGGCAGGCCCCCCTCCCCCAATGCCGCCCCTCAGCGCGCCTGAACTGAAAGTTGAGGATGGCGGCGTCCGCGTTCTTGGGCCCCATCTTGGTACCGGGCACAGCAGCCCGCATGTAGCGGTTCAAGCACTCCAGCTGGCTGGAACTGCGGATGGTGCGCGGTTTGCCGTTGGCGTCCTCATAGTACATGTCCTGGGTGGGGAGCGGGTCTGCAGGAGTGCAGGGGCTGCAACCATTGGGTGGGTGACGTGGCGGCGGTTGCATAGGGCAGCTCCTCAACCACAAGTCATGCCGCCGCACAGCCACCGCTGCCAAGCTCACGCACCCTCCAAGAAGCCTACTGCGATGAGTGCCTCGCTGCTGGTGATGAGCTTAAGCACGGCGTCGGTGATGAGGGGCTTGCCCGTGATCTCGCAGGTGGGGTTGGCGGCGGACCAGGCCTTGGCCCAGCCCTGGAAGCGGCGGAGGCCGTCCTCGCGTAGGGGGTGCTGCCAGCGCCTGCCCTTTGCCGACCAGAACCGGCGGAACGCCGGGTCCTTGGTGGGGAGCGGGGCAGCAACGCTGAGGTTGTGTTGCTGCTTCCAGGCATTGACGAGCTCGCGGTCCTTGCTATCGTAGATGAACGGCTTCTGGAGTGCGTCGCGTAGTTCCGCCATGGCAGCGCCTGCATGGAGTCAGGGCACGAGGCGAGGGCAATGAGTGCAACAGTATGCGCTGCAGTTACAACGCTGGTGGACAGCCGGGCAGCGTCGCAGCCGGGCAGCGTCGCAGCCCCCTAGGCCGCTGGCCGTTGATGCACCGCCCGCGCATGATCGCCGCTGCCTGCTTGCCCAGCCCCGCACCAGCGCTCCCCCGCCACACGCACATTTAACCCTGCAGCTCACCCCGGGCAGAGTGGTTGTGCGGCATGGCGTCCGAGAAGCGCTTCAGCACGTGGAAGTAGTCTTGCTTGACGATGGCCTCAGGCCAGACCTCCAGGATCACCCGCATCATGCCCTGCGGCCAGTCCACCCACCAATACAGCGGTTGCTGCAGGAAGGGAAGCGATGCGAGGCACCGGGGGGTGAGGGGTGAGGGGGTGAGGGGTGAGGGGGTGGAGGGGTGAGGGGGGAGCGGGTGGGGGGGGAGGCAAGCAGCCGCCCATGCGTCCCTTGCCCCCCGCCGCACTCACCTGGCCGCCGCTGCGCTCAATGTTGTCCCGCAAGCGTTGTAACGCGGGCTTGACCTCCTGCATGCTGGTGGTCTGCACGCCGATCTGCTGGGAGTCGGGGCGGCAGGGGTGGGCAACATGGGACGGCGGTGGGGGTTTGGGGGCAGCAAGGGGCAAGCGACCAGCAGGCACCGATGAGAGCGGCGGAGGGAGCAGGGGAAGGTAATGAGAGGTAGTGGGCTCAATGGCAGGCGGCCAGCAAGAGCGGCAGCGCCGACATGCAGCGCCGGCAGAGTTGTTGCACGCACCGAGAGCATGACCTCGCCCACCGAGTTGAGCATGTTGAAGATGGCCTCGTACGGCTTGCTCCCGTTGCTGGTGATCTTCTTGGCGGTTGCAAAGGTGTGGTCGCAGCTCACAGCGCGGTGGGGGCCCGCGTCGATGCCCGCCAGCACGGCCCGCTTCAGTTGCCGCCGCTCCTCCATGTGGACATCCAGCATCGTGCGCACGTAGGTTGCGCTCAGGAACTGCATGTGGGCAGGCAGGGAGAGGAGGGCAGGGGTAATGCGCTGTGGGAGAGGAGGGGGCTCTCTGAGAGACGAGGGGTGCCCACGAGTCCGTGGGAGGGCAAGCCGGTCGCGGCGGTGGCGCGCCGCTCCCTCGACAGCTGGGTGGTGCCGCGCACGCTGGCAGGCCGAGCCCCGCGCCGGCCAGGTCGACTCCGCCCGCTCCCTGCTTTCTCACCGGCAGCGGCCAGTCGTGCTCGGCGGCCGCTTCCACATCTGCAGGCAGCACACGATGCTGGCCGCCAATGCGGCTCATGCCGTAGAAGTCCAGCAGCACCTGCACGCGCCAGGCCTCCATCCTCGTGCGCACGCGCTGTATGGCGGCCTGCGGGGGGTGGGGACGAGACGCGATGGATGGGCAGGCGACGGGCTAAACGACATGCGATCAGGGCCCCTCGCCCCAATCCATCGGCCCCACCCACCCCAGCACCGCAGCGGTGCCATGAACACACCTCAATAGAGAGGCCAGACTCGTAGTCCAGGATGAGCTGGGCCAGCAGGTCCTTGTGCAGGGCACCCTTCTTGGAGAAGACGGCGGGCACCGCGTCGGCAATGAAGCCCAGGTCAACGATGCGCAGCGCGGCGTACAGCTCCTCACTCGTAGTGCTGTATTGGCCTACAAGCAAGGAAGTGTGCACTCTCACAGTCAGCTGTGCACACTCACAATCAGCAGCAGCCAGCCGCCGGGGCGCCGCAAACGCGTGCTCGGCCACCGCATGGCCGCCGCTCCCTCGACTCACGGCTGCAAGGCTCGCACTTCAGCTTGAAAGGCAGAACATAGGCGGCGCCTCCAGGCATCGCCAGCTTGCGGATGTTGGGCAGCTGCGGCCCCTTGGAGATGAGAGTGAACTTCAGGCAGTTGGGACAGGGCAGCTTGGCGTGCTGCGGCAGCGGCCCGCCCTGCGCCGCCGCCGCCGCCGCCCGGAGCGGGCCAGCAAAGTGCTGCTGCAGGTTGAGCGCCACGAAGTTGCTCCGGTGCATCAGCGCGTCGCCCAGCGTCACTGCCCGGCCGTGGGCAGCCGCAAAAGCAGTCGCCTCTGGCCCTTCAAAGTTGAGGCGCGGCTGGGGCGCGGTTGCAGCAGCCTTATGCTTGCCGCCCAGCCCCAGGACGTGCTTGAAGACGCACTGGACGGCGCGCAGCTCAGCTTCCTTGCACCCCAAAGGGTCCCCATCCGCGCCGCCGCTGCTGTCTCCCGGAGGGGCCGCGCGGCCCCTCCCAGCGCTCATGAGTGATGTTCAGGTGCTGGTGGTGCGGCGGCGAAGCAGGGGAACGGGAAATGAGGGAGAGAAACAGGTTGGGGAAATCGCAATTTCCCCTCCCCCTGGTGCGATCATCATGATTTAAGTAGGCTCGATTTTTACACGCCCGATGAAGAGCGGTGCGCGGTCTAGCAGAGGCACCACCTGCGCCCGGTGCCAGCGCCGCCTCAGCCGCCGCCGCTGTTGCTGGCCCAGCGTCGCAGGCGGGACGGATCCTGATGGCTGCGCACCAGGCCTTGCCAGTCAGCCAGTCGTGCCTGCAGCGCGGGCACCAGCTGCTGTAGACCGCCGTCTACCACCGGCGACGCCAGCGCCCGCTGCACTGCTGCCATGGCTGGCTCAGCATCGCCCACCCCTCCAGCAGCAGCTACCGCAGACACCGCCTCCAGCTGCTGCTGACTGGCTGCCAGGGCAGCGGTGGCAGCCTCCAGTGCAGCCACAACGTCGTCAAACTCAGACTGGAGGCTACGCACCGCCGCCCTCTCGGCCAAGCCTGCGGCAAGGGAGAGGCATTTGGCAGGATGGTCGTGGCGCTGCTCTACAGCCCCAAGCAGAGCAAGGCAAGAGCGCAGCAACGAGATGCAGGGCAGGCATAGATGAGTGCAGACAACAGAGGTGTGGTAGAACCTGCAACAGCCGCAGCCCCCAGGCAGGAGCGCAGCAGCGAGGCCGTCAGCGGCTGCCGCCGCTCAAACGCCGCCTGCAGCCGGCCCTGCACCGCAGCCACATCAACCATCCGGGCGGCGGGCAGCCCATGGCTCCTCGCTGTTTGCACCTGGAACACAGGCGAAGCAGGGTGAGTAATGATGTAGATAAAAGCGATATCTGCATCACGCATGCAGGGCAGCCAACACCAAGCAGTTGCAGGGCGTGGCGGGGCTGGGAGCAGCCCTGGCGGCTCACCTGCGCGTTGTCGCCGCTCAAAAGCAGCACGGGGAAGGAGGCAGCCGTGAGCGGCCTGTTTGCGGCGCTGCTGGCACCCTCTCCGCCGCTGCCGTTCGTGCTGGAGACCTCGTCGATAGCGCTGCTGCTGCTGCTGCCGCTGCCGCAAACCTCCCGCTGGAAGAAGAGCGCCACCTCAACAATCCTGTGGTCTGCCCGCTGCCCCTTGGTCCCCACATCCACGCTGCGGCTGCCCGCCACCTGCCCAGCAGGCAGTGTGCATTGTGTTTGTGTAAGGGGCATGCAGTTGGGAATTGCTGGCAACATACAAGCGGCAGCTGCGCGGTTTGCTGCCTGCAGAGGCGGCAGGTCCGCGGCAGGCGCCTCACCGCCGCGTCGTGCTCCACAACCAGCCCCTCGCCCTCGTGGGAGCCCAGCACAGTCAGGAAGTCGGCGCCTGCGATCAGTAGTGGCAGGGCGCAGGCAGCACAGTTCTGGGGCAGGGCCAGGGCCAGGAGGGGCACGTGGCAGCCCTGTTGCTGCGACCAGCACCACTGTAGGATGTGGCAGCGGCTACGCCTCAGCACGCAGCAGCGCAGGCCTGCCCCGCACCAGCCGGGCCGTAGGCGTCCAGGCCCTGCCCCAGGAAGCGGCGTATCGCGGGGCGCACCGCCCCGTCATTCTTCAGCCCATCCAGCTGCTTCAGCACCGAGTCGGTCACCACCAGGAACACCTGCGGGTTGTGTGTGTGGGTGGTGAATGATGGAGCGGGGCGGAGCAGCAGGGTCGAGGCACAGGGAGCGGGGAGGGAGTGTACGGGCATTGAAGCAGGCGGCACAAGCAGCACAAGTGTGTCGAACGGCAGGCTGAGAAGACAGATGGCACGACTGGCAGCGTACACACCTGCTCATGGGCGGGTAGACTGCGCCCAAAGCGCCCCTGCTGCGCCAGCTGGCCCAGCAGGTCGAGAGTGAGAAAGGTGGGGATGGAGACGTTGGCGCCTGCTCCCAGCATGGGCAGCAGGGCGGATGTGTCTGGGAAGAGCAGCAGCGGCCCGCTGCCCGCTGGGGTGGCGGGCATGGCAGGTGGTGGCGGTGGCTGCAGCGGCGATGCTACACTCTCGGCCGTCGACTGGCTGCTGCTGGAAGCAGCAGGCGCAGCATCAGCGGCAGGCTGCGCCTGCTGCAGGCGCTGCTGGCTCCAGCCGCGACGTGCGGCCTTGAGGACTGCCGCCTCCGAGGGGAGCTGGTACTGGCAGCTGCAACACCGGGTGGGAGGGGACGAGGGAGAGGACTTGATGCACCAGGACTGAACAGCTCCTTCTGCTGGTGGAGGCTGAGCTCCCTCTTGCAACACCATCACGGCAAGCCAGCGCCCGTCTCACCTGACCCACGGCAGGCGGGCATGGCAGGCCTGAACCAGGAACTGCAGCGCGTTGCGCGAGCCGCGGCTAGCGGGCACGGCAGCGGCGCCCGCGGGAGTCGCCACTGCCGCCGATTGCAGGTAGGGGGGCAGATCGGGCAGCGAGGGGGCTGCGGCGGCATGAGCAGGCAGCGCATCAAGCAGCGGATCAGAGGATGGCAGCAACAGATGGCACTGGGATCATATAAAACATGCGGAAAGAGAAAAATGTCAAGACTCGTACTTGCATCGGGCCGAATGGCGGTGGGCACGTCAACCACCAGCCCCCGCCGCATGTGCAGCTCTTCCAGCACCTGCGCGCGCACACACACACACACACATGTGGCAGCAGGAGGGACGGCGGCATGAATGGGGGGTGGTCGGGCGGGTGCTCACCATCACCTGGCTGTCTTGGTTTCCTTGGCTGTACCTGCCCACTTCCACCCACCTGCACCAGCCCCTCCAGCGAGATTCGGTTCCACTCCAGGCGCAGCCACAGAGGGCGGCGGGAGCCTGGTGGAGGCGCGCCGCCATTGCTGCCAAAACCGGCAGCAGATGCCCCCTCTCCTGCCGCTGCCTCCGAGCCGAGTGCCTCCACACCTGCGTCCTCAGGTTCAGCGCTACAACTGCTGGTGTTGCTGCCAGCAGCTGGCTCTGCAGCTGCCGCAATGGGCACAGCCAGCGCTTCCAGCAGCACGGCCGCCCCCTGCAGCGTCATCAGGTTGTGCGACAAATGCACCTGCGAGTGGAGGCAGCAATCATCAGGCGGGGCAAAAGTGTGGATATTGCTGCGCGGATTTTCCCCGCAACAACAGCAGAGGCCAGGCGGCAGCAGCACACACCGCGGGAAGCTGTAGAGGGGCATACCTCCACCATGCCGGGGTGTTTCTCCAGGATGCGGGCCACCTGCACAGCCCCCTCGTCGCCCAGGCGGTTGTCAAACAACCACAGCTTGCGGACGGATGCGGTGCCGCACGCCTCCTGGCAGCACCATTCAGCTAGCATCTGAGCCTCCCTACACAAAGCGGCAGACAGGGAAGCGGGCCGGGGGGCCGTTGCATTGCAGGCCATGGTGGCGTTGGCAAAACCACCCATCCTACCGCCAGGCTGCCTACCCTCACCGATCAGTCAGCGACATCCTTTCCAGCCGGATGGACAGCTGCACAGGTGGCGCAGCGCCCGGCAGTAGCGCCGGCTCCGTCTGCTGCACCACCGCCACTAGCTCGGGCGACTGCAGGGCGGCCTCCGACACTGGCCACCAGGTTCGGCACCCAGAGGGGGAGGCAGGCTCCCCCGAGCTGGCTGGGCTGCCGATGCTGCCAGACCCCGGAGCACTGCCTGCACCCGTGACGGAGCCACCGCTATTCTCCGCGGCCAAGCTGCTGCCGCCGCCTGCAGAAGACTCTGCTGCCGCCGCGTCTGCCAGCACGCCAGCCCAGCCCAAGTCACTGCTGCAGCTGCTGGCTGAACTGCTGGCACGGCTAGCAAGCCCACCACCTGGACTACAAGCAGCGACTGCAAACACCGCCTCATCCCCTGCCTCTGGGCTGCCTGCTGCTCCTGCCCTCGACCCTGCCGCATCCATATCTTGCTCTGCCAGGGAGCCGGCTCGTTCCAGCCGCTCTACTGACACCGGCGGCCTGCCCAGCGGTGGGCTGGAGGGCAGGTGCTCTGCCGTGACTGGCGGCGGCCTGGCCGTCATGTGATGTGGCTGTGGCTGCTGCTGCAGTGGTGGCGCAGGGGGCGGCGGGGAGGCAGGCGCGGCCAAGGGCTGCCCTTGCTGCGCCTGCTGCTGGTACTTCCAAGCCACAAAAGCGGAGAGGCCTCGCAGCCAGGCCGCTGAAAAGCGCTGCCCATCGGGCGGGCCCACCTACAGCGGCAGGCAACCTCAGCTTGAGTGCCAGGAACAGCAGGACTGCAAGACAGCTGTCCAGCAGCTGCGCACCTTCCACAGCCCCTTCTCCTTGTCTCTGTCAAATGACACCGCCTCTGCACCACGCCCAAACAGCTTGCCGCTGGCCGCCCCAAACCCAGCGTTCACGCCCTGCGGGCTGGTGCCGCCACCACTGTAGCCTCTGCCGTAGCTGCTGGCAGGGGAATACCGCTGCTGCTGCTGGCGCAGCTGAGGAGAGGGCGTGAAGGATCGTCGCCCGCCACGCCCCCTGCCACCGCCTGGATAGGGGCTCCCCCCTCTGCCCCTTGCAGCGGGGCCCGCATCGCGGCCGGAGAAGTCGCCTCGGCCGCCCCTCCCTATGCCACCCAGCGGCGGCGGAGGCGGCGTGCCAAACCGCCCCTCGCCGCGTCCAGGTGCGCCCCTCCCACCTCTGCGGCGGCCAAATTCCTGCAGTGATGGGCAGATGCTTCCGCAAGACTGAGGCGCAGAGAAGCGCAGGCGCTCGGCGTCAACCTGCTGGCGGGACCTAGCGCCGGCTAGGCACAGCACTCCTAGGCAAGCCACCGGCATCGGATCGCCTTGGATGATACCTACGAGCACCCCCAAGGGACCCACCTCGCGTGAGGAGCCTCCCCTCCCGGCCATCTTCTGATCGGCACCTCCCTGGAGCTCCACCCTGGGGTGGCTGTCTCCCAGACCACACCAGCTAATCGAAAATTCAGAGTGATGCAAGACTTGGGCCTTGCTGAATTGCGCAGCACGTGCTGAGCCACCCAGCAGAAGCGGGTTGCAATCGAAACAGCCCGCCTCCCCTGCCCAGCACACCGGTACCTGAAGGCAAACCAGCTGCCCCTCCCACGCTCTGCCACTGGCAGCGAACCCGGCAAGCTGTTCAAGCAGGGGATGCAGTCGCTCCAAACCTGGCTGGGAGGGGGAGCGCCCGACAAGGAGCCGCCGGCGGGGTCCAGCGTGCTCAGCGAATGGAACAAGTATAGCAGCGGCGGCGCCGCAACCGCTGCACCCGCCGGCACCGACCCGCTAGCTGCAGCAGAGGAGGGCACCTCAGGTGTGGACTGATGGCGCTTTAGGAGCAGGTGGCACGGCCTGGGAGGCAGGATGGCGCGCGCATTGCCGCAGCGCATTTGCACCGTCGGCCATTGCTCGACCGGCTGCGAAGCGGGGAGGTCTAGTCTGTTGCCCACCCGCCGCTGCTCCATGCGCCACCTTTTGCAGCCAAGAGCCTGCTGTCGAGCGCAGTCAACCTGGTTAGCGGCGCGGCCAGCAGCGCGGCGGCAGCAGCGAGCGGGGCGGCCTCAAAGTGAGCAGCCTGCCGAGCCGATGTGCCCATCCATCGACTCTCTGGCCCGCTCCGAACAGCGTCCTTAGCCCCCACCTCTCTCACATGTTGTTCCTCGTGCCCTACCCCACCCTGCACCTGCAGCGTCCCCAGCACCACGCAATGGACCTACTTTGCTTTCTTCCTGGGTTCAGGTGCGGCATGGGGGCCACGTACAGTGTGCGTGCAACCCCACCATTACCTTGCGCTGTGTCCAGTGACCTTCCGCGAGCCCGTGCACACCTTTTCTCGCCCCACAGGTGCCCTGTTCCTGGGCATGGCCTTCTTCCTCTTCCTGCCCATGATCATCCTGGCGCCCGCCAAGTTTGCCATGACCTTCAGCATCGGATCAGGTAGGCAGGCAGGGCTGGAGCTGGAGGCACGGCACAGTGTATCATGCTCGTTCTTGCACCACACCTCATCCTTTACCCCACCCCTGCCTGCCCCCGCAGCGCTGGTCAGTGCATCCCTGGGCGCGCTCAAGGGCTGGAAGACCATGTTTGGGCACCTGGCCTCCCGCGACCGCCTGCCCTTCACCGCCGCTTATTTTGGCTCGCTGGTGGCCACCCTCTACGCGTCCCTCATCATGCACTCCTACCTTCTCTCCCTCCTGTTCTGCGGGGCGCAGGTAACGGGCCGCAGGGGGCGGGGCGAGGCAGCGGGGAGCAGGGCGCCGTGCTTTCCTGCTAGGCTCGCCTGCCAGCCCAGCCGTGATGTGCCTCCACCTGCTGATGTCTGCGATGTTCTGACAAGGGATGTTGTGCTGTGCTGCCTTGCAGCTGGTCACCCTGCTTTACTACATTGCCTCCTATTTCCCTGGCGGCACTGCTGGGGCGCAGGTGCGCATGCGTGGGGCGCAACCAGAGGCGCAGCCGCGGCTTTTCGTCTCCCCAGTTGCAGATCTGCTGCTCGCCTCTTGTCCGCACCCCAGCAGCCATCTTGCGTGCCGCTCACTCGCCCACCCACCTGCCTCCTACCCGTACAGTCGGTGCTCGGCTTTGCGGGGCGCGCCAGCATGTCGCTGGGCAGCAGCGCCCTTCGGGCAACCTTCAGCTCCTCGGGGCGGTGACGGCAGCGGCGGCGGCAGGAGGCAGAAGGCGCCTGTGAATGAAGGCCGGTGGCCATGGCAGGGGCCTGACATTGCTCTGATTGGAAGTTCCGAGGCCTGAACGTGCCCCAACCACATTTTTCCACACGCTGGCATGCAATCATGCAAATGGCACCAAGTCTCTATAGGGTCTTGAAGCTGCCATGGACCACAAAATTAGCAAGAGCAGAGCGTCAAACACATGATATAGCAACAGATAGAGCATCAAAGCAAACGAAGCATGGACAGTAGAAATGGCGACCTCGGTGGGCCAGCAAACTAGCGCTCAACACACCAACAATGCCACTGCTGCGCGTGCTGTCGATCAATGAGCACAGCGCCATGATCTCCATCAATCACTGCATCAGGGCTGCCTCAGCACGTCGCACACCGCCTCCACCTGGGGCAGCACCGTCTGAAGCAGGTTTGGCTTGCTGAACACTGTGACCAGGATGCCGCTGGGCAGGTAGTGTGCCGTCATGCCCAGCTGCTTGCCACGGCTTACCGCACACACACTGCCTTCAGACTGCTGCACAACCACGGCTCTCTGGCCGCACACGTCCAAATGGTCTGGTGCGCCGGCTGCTGCATGACGGTGGAAAATGCAGGCGAAGCGGGGCGGCTCTCAGCAGGCGGTGGAGGAAGCGACGGCGGCGAAGCTGCAGCTGCAGATCAGGCTGCTCTGCGCGCATCCCTGCCATACACACCTGTGTGAAACAGAGTGTGCAGCTGCTGGGCGAGCGGGGCGGGCTGGTCGCAGCCCTCCCTCCAGAGCTCGTCGCTCAGCTGGCCGCAGCTGGCCAGACAGGCGCTTGTGTTGTGATCCAACAGTGCGTAGGATATCAGTGTGTTTTTGTTCAACAGAGCTTGCAAGGGGGCGTCCCATTGGGCCATCTGATCAGAATGATCAGACTGACCAGTCTGCCTTGTCTCACATTGCCCAAACAAAGCCACGAGTTACAGGCGCGGATGGACAGCGCCACATCAGGCCGGAATTGATTTTGCCATGAAGGCAAGGCGGGACAGCGGCAGTACCTCTGCAACTCCGCCCCGCCCACCAAAAGAGAGGCGCGCTCACTACTTCCTTTGCTCATTGATGAGCGCGTCTGTTGCTTCATGGCCTTGTGTTGTGCAACGGTTTACAGAGCATGGTAGAAATGGCAGGAAATGCACTTGAGAGCGGGAGACGAGCGGGAAGAGCAACAACAGAAATGAACAGCAGTCACGAGCAGCAGAGGAAACAACAAGCAAAGCAAACATTTACAGCAGGGGACAGCTGCCAGGCGCTACCGCACACAGCAGCCACGCCCCGGCACTATCGCCGGCGCTTGGCGAGCGGCGCGGCAGCAGTGAGCGACGCCTGCCGCCACTGCTGCTGCGCCATGTGGGCGGGCTGCAGGCTGCGGGCGGGCTTCAGCATGTCTGCAGACCGCTTCACGCCCGCTTGCAGGCGCTGCTGCAAAAAGTCTCGTGCGGCCTGCGACGGCTTGCTGGCCTGCTGCGCGTTGAGGACCCGCACCACCACAGGCCCCACCTCCCGCTCCACAATCTCCTTGCGTTGTGGCTGGCCCAGCACCAGCAGCGGCTGGCCTGGCTGCTGCTGCTGTCGGCGCAGCTGCTCCGAAATCAGCCGAGCCTGCTCTGTCGTCGGCACGGTCCTGCAGCGGCCGTGGCAGTGCGCGGCACCAGCACCAGCATCAGAATAATTATTGGCGAGGAGATGCTGTGCAGCACAGGCGAGGCTTGGGCAGCAGGTGTACGGTTGGGAAGGAGCCCGCACTCGAAGCACTCACCGCTTGTTCCTAGCAAGGGCAGCGAGCACATCATCCGGCAGCAGGTCGAGATCCTCTTCCTGCTCCTCCTCCTCCTCCTCCTCCTCCTCTTCCTCCTCCCCTTTTGCACCCTCCTCAGCAGCTGCTGCTGCTTTGGCCGCCTTCGCCGCTGCCGCTGCCTGCCGCTCGGCCTTGGCGGCGCGCAGGCGCTCCTGCTGCGCCGCTCGCCGCTCCTTGGCGGCGGTGCGTGCTGCCGCCTTGGCCCCCGCCTCATCCCGCCGCCGCTGCTCCGCCGACTGCTTGCCGGTGGCTAGGGACACCTCCTCAGGGGCATCGTCCTCTGCAGCGTCAGTGCAAGCAGTAGCAGGGGGTGGTGCAAGGAGTCGGCGGCAGCATGCGGCAGGCGGTGGCAGCAGCGAGCAGCGGCAGCAGCGGCGGCACTGCCCCCACACTCCGTGCACCCCTTGGGCGGCCCAGACAATCTCCGGCTCTCTCGCACCACGTGCCGCAGGCCCTGCTGCAGCGCAGGCTCTCCTTTGCATAGTCGAATGCACTGCATGCCCGCCGCTGGCCACCTCCACCGCTGCCCACCGACACTCAAACACACCCGAGTCTTCCGAATCGTCTGCTGGAGCCGCAGCTGCGGCCGGCTCGGCTGGCAGCTCATCGTCCGCCCTGCGCCTCCGTGTGCCCACCATGATGTCTTATTCTGCAGGTGGTATGCAGATAACTGCCCTCTGGGCATTTGGGGTGCCCCGCCCCATCACCCAGGCCACGACCGCAGCACGGCCGCCCGACGTTGGCGAACCAGGCTTCAGCTCTTTGTTTCCTTTCCACATACCGCTTCTGTTGTACGGAGGAGTCGGTGCAGGTCATAACCCCAAGGCACTTGTGCCCTGGCAAGTTCCCCTTCCTGGGCTCACACCCCTTGCCGCCGCTCCCCACATCCGCCTTGTGAGAGAACCCTCGGTCGTGTCCCGGGCCGGCCAGGCCAGCAAAGGCGCCTGCTTGGGCAGCCCACCCGCCGCTTCGCCAACTTGGGCCGCCAAGCTTCCAGAGCACCATAGCCCGCACGTAGCTGGTGAAGCCCATGGCTGCCCTGCTGGAACGGGAGCTGTTTGGAACCTTTGGAACGCACACATATGCCACCAGCATGACCACCGCCGCGCCCAGTTCCAGCGAGGCGGGCAGCCTGCCGCGGCGGCCACTCTTGCCACCACAGCCTGTGCCAGTGCGGCACCAGGCAGCAGGCGGCGGCCAGAGCTGGGAGGATGCCGCCACGCAGATCTCGGCGTCGCCGGCCAGTAGTGACGTCACCGAGCAGTTTCTGGACTGCTACAGCGAGAGTGAGTTGGAAGCAGTACCGCTGTCGGTAGCCCTGACCTCTGCTGGTGTTTTTTGTAGGTCGTGCATAAGGGCATCCTGCCAGCACCGTGTGCCAGCCCCTGACTTCAACCCCACCCCGTGCCTTCCCCCATCCGTGCAGTCCCCAGCGCCTCCAGTAGCCTGGGAGATGACGGGGGTGCGGCGGTGGAGGAGCTGATCAGCCGCGCCCTGCCCCGCCTGTCCACATCGCCCGCGGCCGACGCCCTCGCCGCCGCCAGCAGCAGCGGCGGCAGCACCGGCAGCTCCGCCACGTGGCAGCTGCAGCAGGAGCGGCAGCGCCGGCTGGCGGCAGAAACGGCGGTTGCCGACCTGCAGCATCAGCTGGACGACATCTCAGCCGTCCTCTTTGCCTTCCGCAGCGACAGCAGGAGCAGCAACAGCGGCGGCGGTGGCGGGACCGGTGCACCCCCAGCGCAGCAGGCCGTGCACAGCGGCACCAGCCCCGTTGTAGCGGCAGTGCTGGAGGGCGTGCTGCAGGAGGCAGCGGGGCGGCGGGCCCAGGCTGCAGAGCAGGCGGCAGCCCTGCAGCAGCTCCTGGCCGACAGGACGGCGGCGGCGGCGGGAGAAGCCCTGGTGGCGCGCTTGGTGGCGGGCATCTGCGCTCGTGCGGCCACGGCTGCCGACCTGGAGGCACAGTGGCAGGCGGAGCGGGCGCTGCTGGAGCGGCGGCTGGAGCAGGCGGCACGCATGGGCCAGGCCATGCTGAAGCACCAGAAGGAGCACAGCGCGGGTGGGCTGCACAAACCTTTTGGGATGCAGCGGCTGTGAGTTGCCAGCCCTCAGCTGAGGAGGCGCACAGAGGGGTCCTGCCAACCTATGCCTTGCCCCGCTCACGCACACTCCACCTGCCTGCTCCCGTGCAGAGCCCGAGCCCTGGCGCCAGCAGCTGCTCAACACCGCATTTGCGGTGGGGTGCAGCATCCTGGGGGCCGCCGCCGCGGTGGCAATCATCCGACGCGCACAAGGGGCGTAGCAAGTTGCAAAGGCGCCTGCCGTCTTGCCCTTGCCCGCTGTGTGTGGCTGGCTGGAGCCTGCTCCAGAGATCTTGAAGTACATCGATCACGATATTCAACCCTTGTTTGTTTAAACACAAGATTTACATTCACCCCCTGGCTGCTGTTGCATGCTTGGATGCCGTGTGTCACCACCGCCCGCATGAACCCTCCCCGCTGCATGTGCCCCTCATGGTCCTGAACCCTCGTAATGATCCTTGCTAATTTATTCCTACTGCGTTGCTGCAGTCGAGTCCCTTGCCCCTGTTCTTCCCTTGCCGCTAGCACATTGTTTTTTCTCATCATTCAAGTAGTGTAACCCTTGCTTGCTTGCCGACTCGACTACATTAGCAGCAAAAATGCCAGTAACCCCAGCCTCACTCACTAAGGGCACCGCATCATGGTTCGTCGGCCGCGGCCCACGTGCTGCAGGCTGCCTGCGCTGCCCATCCACCACCACCACCGCCCCTCCTCCCACCGCTGCCGGTACTGCCGCATGTCGCCGTCCACCTCCACCACGGTCTGCAGCACTGTCTGGAGCGCGTCCCACCTGCTCCCAGTGCACGCAATGGGCAGGCGATGGTGTTGTTGTCGGTGGGGAGCTGCTAGTGATGGCCAGCTGCTATCAGCCAGCCCGCTTACCTGACAGCAAGGTTGCGATCCTTGGGATAGGCTCCCTTGCGCCGCATCCCCATAACTTCCCTTAGGCCGGGCGTCCAGGCTTCAGCATCACACACCGAGATGAGCCACCAGAGAACAGATGTCTCATTGTCCTGCAACGCGGCACAAAACCCCTCCCACGGTGGTTAGGCTAGTAGCAGGGCAGGTCCCAATCGGTTGGGTTTCAGTTTGCTGCCACCCATGGCCACCCTGGCAAGCCGCTGCACACCACACCTCCATGTTTTTATGGGGGTACTGCAGATGGGTGCGGCGCACATCAAAGCCATACGGCTGCAGCTCAATCATGCTGCTGCCGGGGCGCATGAGCCAGGCGTTGGCCATATTGGCGCCGTGCACTCCCACAAACACATCCGCCTGCTGCGCCGCCGCCATGCCAGTGAACAGGTCGTTGATTTCAACCTGCACAACACCACGCAGCAGCCAGAAGCGCTGTGTTAAAGTGAAGCATGGGGACTACCCCTCCCAGCCAATATTCTGCACAGCATCGGCAACAGTGCGCACCTCTCGACAGCTCCCGCGCACATGCCGCCCCGCTGCTGTGGTGTGGCGCCATGCGTTGCACTGCTGCACCAGCTCGCGCACATTCAACAGCTGGCGGTCGGCGCTGGCGCGCTTGTGGAAAATGACGCGAAGCACCTGCTCGCTGCCACTGCTACTGCTGCTGGGCAGCACTCCCGCATTGGAGCCGTCCCTTCCAGCCGGCTGATGCTGATGCTGCTGTGGTGCGACCACTGCCTCTGATGCTACGGCAGCAGCAGACTGCAGCTGGCTGGCATAGTGCCGCACCAGGTGCTGCCCCAGGCCGTGCAGCGGCCAGCTGGTGATGTTGATGCCTTGGCTACACACAAACATCTGCTTGAAGCAGCGCTGTGGGCTGCCCTCGTAGCTGTCTGGTGGTGGTGGTGGCATCCCAGCGCCTGCCCCGGCGCCCTGCAAAGGATTGAGCGGAATGTAGCCGCCTGGTACCTGCACTCATGAAGCAGTGTGTGCGTGTGTGTGATGATGTGCACGAGCCCAGCGCGGGACCAAAGTATGCAGGCTGGTCTCACACAAGCCGCACAGTGCCCCCACCTCTCGCGAAGGCAGGCGGTTGGTGAAGTCAGCCCAGGTCTCCACCCGCAGCCCCACCATCGGCTGCATGATGTCGTAATTCATGGCCGGTGCCGCATGCCCCTCTGCCGTCACCAACACCCACTTGATGTGCCGTGCCCAGGGCGTGGCGCGCAGCACGCTCCACACCTTGGCTGCATTGTCCCGGAAGAAGTGCGCCAGGTTGGCATTCCACATGGGATACCTGCGGGCTCAGGTAGGTGGTACACAGGATACGTGTTAAGATAGGGCCCTGGGAGAGGGTGCGACACTCGCGACAGGAATGGGCCAGGCCCAGACGTCGACGTGTGTGCTGTAAATGCTCACCACACGATGGGCACGGTGCAGGCGGAGAACAGGGGCTTGTTCAGATAGGATGTGCCCTCGGTGCTGCTGGCAGGGCGCACACGGATAGGTGGCAGGGAATAGCGGTAGTCCCGTCCCGACTGCACTCAATAGGAGTGCTGACCACAATGAACCGAAATCAACAACATGATCAATTCGTTGCAGTGGTGGAAGCGCCACACACTCACACTGTTGCGGTGCAGGAAAATGTACTTCGTTCGTTTCTGTGGCGGGCTGATGAGGTATGGCGCCGTACCCGGGCTGCCCGGCCCCATGCGGTGCTCCTCGCCATACAGAATGACGCTGCCCTGATCCACGCACACGTCAGTCAGCAGGGAGCAGCTCTCGGCCCACTGCGACGGTGTGACTGTGGGGGGCGAGTCGCAGGCACGGCGACTGTCGCTGCCTTTGCCGCCATGTTGCGGTGCGGCCGCCCCATCTGCGCTCGCTGCTCCCCCTTCTGCCAGGCGCGGAGCGATTTGGCAGGGCAGCGGCAGCTGTAGACGCTCCTGAGCGATCAAAAACAGCGTGAGGGCCAGGAAGGCGAGCAGCAAACAGACTGCAGCGGGCCGCAACAGGCGATGACGATCTCGTGGCGATCCTGGGGCCATCTGCATTGCAGCGGACACCATGCAGCGATGCAGGGGGGCCTGCCATTTGAACCCGCCACGCCGCCACCGCCAGCGAGGCACGGCGCGGCACAGCACTGGCCAGGCCGAATTTTATTTGCTTTGTGGCCCGCCTCTGTATGTGGGAGGGAGGCTACCAGCCAGCATCTAGTTGATGCGATCTTGAAAACGCAAGCCAGCACCGCGGAGGCCCGTGGGCACGGCTGTGTAAACTGTGGCACCGGGGGGTGCCGGCACCAGGTGGAGAATGCTACATGGTAAGCTATTCAATGCTTGGTCAAACAGAAAGAATGGTTAAGAATATTCACATCAAATTGAGGCGGATATGCGAGGGCTTGGATGTCGCAACCCCAGCCTCACTCAGGGCACCGCATCATGGTTCGTCGGCCGCGGCCCACGTGCTGCAAGCTGCCTGCGCTGCCCATCCACCACCACCACCGCCCCTCCTCCCACCGCCGCCGGTACTGCCGCATGTCGCCGTCCACCTCCATCACGGTCTGCAGCACTGTCTGGAGCGCCTCCCACCTGTGCAGCAGTGCCGAGCACAGCATGCGCGGCGTGGTTGGAAGCGGGGCTGCTGGCGTGCCTACCGCACACCAGCGTCGCAAGCTTAGCCTGGCCTTTCTGGGGTCCGTCGCAGCCGAAAACCTGCAGAGCTGTTGCCGTCGAGGACAGCAGCCAGCCTGCATACCTGACGATTAGGTTGCGGAATTTTGGATGGGATTCACTATGCCCCAGCCCCGAAGCCTCGCCGGCTCCTGGCGTCCAGGCTTCAGCATCACACACCGAGATGAGCCACCAGAGCACAGAGGTCTCATTGTCCTGCACCGCGGCACGGACTAGCCATTGCAGTAGATTTGGGCCCGCAATAGGGCAAATGGGCCACATCAGCGGACTCTCCTGAGGCTGCCAGCACTGCCGTGAAACTCTCACAAGCGGGCCGTGTGCCGCACCTCCATATTGAATAGTGGATACTGAAGGTGTGCTGGACCAGCGTCAAAGCCATACGGCTGCAGCTCAATCATGCTGCTGCCGGGGCGCATGAGCCAGGCGTTGGCCATATTGGCGCCGTGCACTCCCACAAACACATCCGCCTGCTGCGCCGCCGCCATGCCAGTGAACAGGTCGTTGATTTCAACCTGCACAACACCACGCAGCAGCCAGAAGCGCTGTGTTAAAGTGAAGCATGGGGACTACCCCTCCCAGCCAATATTCTGCACAGCATCGGCAACAGTGCGCACCTCTCGACAGCTCCCGCGCACATGCCGCCCCGCTGCTGTGGTGTGGCGCCATGCGTTGCACTGCTGCACCAGCTCGCGCACATTCAACAGCTGGCGGTCGGCGCTGGCGCGCTTGTGGAAAATGACGCGAAGCACCTGCTCGCTGCCACTGCTACTGCTGCTGGGCAGCACTCCCGCATTGGAGCCGTCCCTTCCAGCCGGCTGATGCTGATGCTGCTGTGGTGCGACCACTGCCTCTGATGCTACGGCAGCAGCAGACTGCAGCTGGCTGGCATAGTGCCGCACCAGGTGCTGCCCCAGGCCGTGCAGCGGCCAGCTGGTGATGTTGATGCCTTGGCTACACACAAACATCTGCTTGAAGCAGCGCTGTGGGCTGCCCTCGTAGCTGTCTGGTGGTGGTGGTGGCATCCCAGCGCCTGCCCCGGCGCCCTGCAAAGGATTGAGCGGAATGTAGCCGCCTGGTACCTGCACTCATGAAGCAGTGTGTGCGTGTGTGTGATGATGTGCACGAGCCCAGCGCGGGACCAAAGTATGCAGGCTGGTCTCACACAAGCCGCACAGTGCCCCCACCTCTCGCGAAGGCAGGCGGTTGGTGAAGTCAGCCCAGGTCTCCACCCGCAGCCCCACCATCGGCTGCATGATGTCGTAATTCATGGCCGGTGCCGCATGCCCCTCTGCCGTCACCAACACCCACTTGATGTGCCGTGCCCAGGGCGTGGCGCGCAGCACGCTCCACACCTTGGCTGCATTGTCCCGGAAGAAGTGCGCCAGGTTGGCATTCCACATGGGATACCTGCGGGCTCAGGTAGGTGGTACACAGGATACGTGTTAAGATAGGGCCCTGGGAGAGGGTGCGACACTCGCGACAGGAATGGGCCAGGCCCAGACGTCGACGTGTGTGCTGTAAATGCTCACCACACGATGGGCACGGTGCAGGCGGAGAACAGGGGCTTGTTCAGATAGGATGTGCCCTCGGTGCTGCTGGCGGGCCGCACATGGATGGGCTGCATGGAATAGCGGTAGTCCCGTCCCGACTGCACTCAAACCCATGTCACACTTAGTAAGGCAGAACCATGGACAACAATGGGGGGGCATGCCAGGGGCTGCTGACCCGCACATCATTTTGCGGATTGCACAGAGTGACACACAATAACCTTGAAACCGCTGCAGCCATCACACGATCAGCCGCAAACATGGAAGCATGACTGCAGCTGGCAGCCCCTCACGCTGTTGCGGTGCAGGAAAATGTACTTTTTCCAGTCGAGGGCTGGTTCAATGAGGTATGGCGCCGTACCCGGGCTGCCCGGCCCCATGCGGTGCTCCTCGCCATACAGAATGACGCTGCCCTGATCCACGCACACGTCAGTCAGCAGGGAGCAGCTCTCGGCCCACTGCGACGGTGTGACTGTGGGGGGCGAGTCGCAGGCACGGCGACTGTCGCTGCCTTTGCCGCCATGTTGCGGTGCGGCCGCCCCATCTGCGCTCGCTGCTCCCCCTTCTGCCAGGCGCGGAGCGATTTGGCAGGGCAGCGGCAGCTGTAGACGCTCCTGAGCGATCAAAAACAGCGTGAGGGCCAGGAAGGCGAGCAGCAAACAGACTGCAGCGGGCCGCAACAGGCGATGACGATCTCGTGGCGATCCTGGGGCCATCTGCATTGCAGCGGACACCATGCAGCGATGCAGGGGGGCCTGCCATTTGAACCCACCACGCCACCACCGCCAGCGAGGCACGGCGCGGCACAACATGTGGTGCGCACCGGGCGGTCGGCCGGAAAAAGTCGCATCTGCTTTGTGGCCTGCCTCTGTATGTGGGAGGGAGGCTACCAGCCAGCATCTAGTTGATGCGATCTTGAAAACGCAAGCCAGCACCGTGGAGGCCCGTGGGCACGGCTGCGTGTGAACCCTGAAGGCAGCCGGGCTGGTGCTTGGTCAAACTGAAAGAATGGTAGGGGAGGTAGAGAACAATTGAGGTTGATACGAAAAAAATGGACACACAGGTCACGATTCACAAGGACGTAGCGGCGGGCAGAAACAACAAGGTGCGAGGGTGCGGCAGAAAACATCAAGCAGTTTGATAGAGGGGCAGCAAGGAGAGTAGTGGCCTTTTATTTTTTTGCTGGATTGTGGCTGCTTTCACTGGATGACGCCCTGCTCTCTTGCTGTCTTGCACGTCATATGCAGGTCGGGGCCCGCATAGACTGTCTGCGTGGCGCTGCTGAGCCACCACCAGCGGCCGTCCTGGAACAACTGGCGGTACAGCTGCATGTCGCCTCCCACCTTCACAATGTCCTCCAGCACAGCCCGCAGCGCCGGCCAGCTGCAACATGCAAAGGGCGGTGGCACAGTGTGTGAACAGCCAGCAGGCGCACAGCTGTGCTGGCAAGGGTGTGCTGGCCATCACCCCGCATGCATAACAGTCTGTGACGGTTCAGTGATTGACCAAAGACAGACTACATACATATAATGTAATAAAATCACCATAACCTGGGAGCTGCAACTGCTGCACTGCTGGCCCGCCACGACGCCCATGCCCTCTCAGCACCATTTGCTAACCCGAGCCAGACATGCAGCACTCACCGCACAACCAGGTTGCGATACTTGGACCAGCTCTCGCCCTCGGTAGCGCCCCGCTCCCGCTCCTTGCCCTCCCTCCAGCCGGGCGTCCACGAGCCCCTGGGATCGCAAAGCAGCAGCTTGTAAAACTGTACCTGGCTGTCGGCATCCTGCAAGCAGGCAGAGCAGGACGAGGCGGGCAGATTGAGGCACAGGGGCAGGGGCACAAGCAGCCAGCCAGCCCAGATGCCGGCGGGTGGCCTCACCTTCATGTTGCGCTCAGCCAGATTCAGGTGCGGCTGATTCTCCTCAAACTCAAACATCGTCAGCTCCACGATGGCGCTGCCGGGGCGCATGAGCCACGCGTTGGCGATGTTGGCGCCGTGGGCTCCTATGAAGATGTCTGCCTGGTGCGCCGCCGCAATCCCAACCTCTAGGGTGCTCAACTCAACCTGAGAGGGCATGCAAGGCAGCAGGGGCAAGGCTGGTAAGACAGGAGCATGCATAGAAAGGCAGAGGCAACGGCGGCCATCTCAAGGCCGCCAAGCAACATGCTACGCGCTGGTAGGGGGCAGCAGCCCCGCAAGGCACGCACCTCCCAGCACAGCGCGCGGACGCGGGCGCCAGAGGGCGCTGTGTAGCGCCACGCGTTGCACCGCTCCACCAGCTCTTTTGAGTTGATGAGCTGGCGGTCGGTCAGCAGGCGGGGGTCGCCGCCGCGCTTCTGGAAGACGACGCGCACCACCTGCTCCGCCGCCGCCGCTGCCTTTTGGCTGCCGCCTTTGGGTGCCTTGTTCAGCTGCTTGAGCACCGACACCGGCGGCGGAAGAAGCGTGCTGCCTTGCTGGCCGGGCGGCTGCGTCTGGGGCATGGCCAGGACCAGTGCGTCGCCGCCATAGTGGCGCACCAGCATCTGGCCGTACTCGTGTAGCTGCCAGGTGCGCGTGTTAATGTCGTGCAGGCACACATACATGGACTTGAAGCATCGCTGCTGGGTCCCCTCGTAGCTGGGCGGCAGCTGGTTCCGGCCGACGGGGCGCTTGCCAATCTGCAAGAGCAGCGGGGGTGGGGGTGGTGGGGGGTGGGGCATGGAGCTGAGGCGCTGCCCTTGCTCTGCGCACATGCATGGCCGCCAGCTGTAGTAGAATGCAGCAGCAGGGGTGCCAAAGACAGCAGCGCCAGGCCAACTGTCCTGCCCCGACAGCAACAGACACAGCAGGCGCTGCGTGCCCTCTTGCCTGGTCATCTGCCAGCCGCACAGAGGAATCTGCCAGCGATTCTACGCTCATGTTGCTGAGTGGCTGCCACAGGGCCAGGTTCATGAAAGAGAAGGCCAGGCCGCCGCCCGTCTGCAGCAGGACCTTCACATGCCCCGCCCAGGGTGTTTCCCTCAGGGCGCTAAAAAAACGAGCGGCATTGTCTGCAGGCAGCAGGAGGGGTGCATGGTCGAGTTGGCTGCAGGTGGTACCATGCACTCGTACAGCAAGAGATGCCAGCGGCGCCCAACGCAGCTGTGGCATCAATGTGCAGACTTGCCCAGGCCAACGTCAGCACCTCCCACCTCTAAACGTGTGCGCAAAGTTGAAGGCATTGTGCTGGTAGAACAGCACCGGAACCGTGCAGGTGGAGAAGGAGGGCTGGTCCAGGTACTGGCGAGGCTCGGTGGCGCTGGCCGGCCTCGTGGGGACCGCTGGCAGGCCCCACTTCAAGTCTGCATTGCCCTGCACACACCCAAGCAGGGGGGGTGGGAGCTCAGCAGCGGCACGCAGCTGGGGCCAGGCCACGCCAGCCGCTGTCCCGCCAGCCGCAAGAGGGAGGTTAAGTGCGCACCATGCGCCAATAGTGGAGGTAAAAGGCTGTCTGCTGCGGGTCTGGCACCAAGTCTGGCAGTCCTATGGGAGGCCCGTTGCCCCCCTCAGGCCTATACTTGGACTCATAAAGTATGATGCGACCCTGCGGCAGTGCAAATTCGGTGCCGTTTGCTGGCAAAAATGCCACACGGCGCCTTCTCCAGAGGCGCCTCTGGAGAAGGCGGGCAAGGCGTTGGCAATCCTGGAAGCATTCAAGCGGCTCACCTGGTCCAGGCAGACGTCCTGGAGCCGCACACAGCTGTCCGCAAAGGGCGACGCCTCGCCGACTGGCACGCTGCAGTTGAGCGGGGCACAGGGCGGGAGCGGTGCCTTCCGCACCAGCGGCCGCGCCGAGCGGCTGCTTAGCAGATCCCGGGACCCTTCTAGCAGGCCAATGTCCTGAATAAGACTCGACAGGTTCTGGCCGCGGAGCACAAGGGCGCAGACCACGAGGGCAACTGCAAGGGGCAGGACTCCGGCTGCTGTGCGCAGCACCGCCGTGCAGTTTGTTGGCTTGGAATCGCTCATGGTGGATCCGTGATCAGTTAGAAGGAGAGCAGTAGGGACCAGGAGGTGGGGGAACAGGCATCTGAGGCTGAGATGGCCCTAAAGCTCCCTCATCCCGCTCAATGGAACACCCGAGCCGCAAGTAAGATGCAAGGGGCGACGGGGGCGAGATCTGCTGCACTGTTGCAAGTTGAATTTGCAGGGCCACGTACCAGCTTTGCCTGCTGCCAGATGGCGTAAGGGGAGTGATCTCCATGGGCCCACCCAATGCCCTTGCTTGGCTTTCTATCCCATGCTGCTGCTAGTGAATGTGCATATGCACAGGATGCCCGCACAAGCCCATACAAGAAAAAATGCAGTGTGCAGTGGGGTCAGGTCAGGTCGGGTTTGTGTCAGTATGGGCGTCAAGAATGGGGGTGGGACAGGTAAACACGGTAAAGCAAGCCGCAATGAGCGTGGCTAATTTGTTTCTGTGTCATGACATGCTTCCAGTCAAAGGATCGTAGAGGCAAGCCAAGCCGAGCCGGAGTGGTGCTATCCTGCCCTTGCAGCCACTCTTGTCTTTCGCACCAGGCTGGCTTCGGCGGTATCCAGCGCCCAGCCCAGGTGCGACAGGTCCACCACCAGGCTCAGCTGCAGAGCGAGGGAGCGGGCATCCAGTGGGAGAGGGGGAGCCATGATCACTGGGCTATGAGAGGAGGAGGCAGCCCTCGTCAAGCCCGGTCCCCATCCCTACACCTATCCAAGCTACCCACCTCTTGCCGCTTCCAATGGAAGGTGCACAATTGGCTGAGCTGCTCGGGGCACTCCCCCGTTTCCAGAAGCGTAATCTTTTCCTTGCTGCAACATGAAAGAGCGCGAGCGGGCAGGCCAGAAGCCACACAAACATCGAAAGAATTTTAGCGGCACAGGCACAGGCACCCGCAGTGGCGGGGAGGCAGATCAGGCAGCTGGCCAGGCATCGCATGCCAGCTCCCCGCTCTCGCTCCTCCTTACATATTCCGTCTCACCAGCACCACAGCCTACTGCACCCCAGACCCCCGCCTCACCTGCTCAGCTGTTGGTACTGATCCTGCTTGGAGATGACCTCCCAGCGCATGTGCTGGCGGCTGGGGTCGGAGTTGTTGAGGGGCACAAAAGTGAGCCCCGTGAAGCCCCAGTCACGTGCCTGCAGGGATGTGTAGACACGTATATGAGGAATCGGAGAGTGCAGCGGACACGGGGCAATAGGGCTAATGGAGCGTTCTGACAGCACTCGCCTCCCCGGTCCGCCGACCCCCTCCACCCTCTGCCCGGCCGACACTGGCGCTCACGTATGCCTCTGCCCACACGCGCTGCAGGGAGTGGGCGCTCTCAATGTCTGGCGAGATGTGGATGGCCACCGCCTTGGGGGGCAGGAAGGGCCACAGGGCGATGGCTGAGCCGTGCACCATGACCAGGATGCTGACGCCGCTGATGATGCGCAGCTGGTCAGGGAAGGGGACGTCCTGCAAGGGGGAGGTGCACAAGGGAGTGCTAAAGGGACGGAGGAACAGGTGAGGGGATGGAGAAGCCGGGGACCTTCTTGAAGGAGGGGAAGAGCCACCCCAGCCAGCTGAGCACGCCTGAAAGCAAGGATCCAGCTGAGCAACTGACCTCAAAGTACTGCAGCCGCACGTCGTCCCCGGGGAAGCGCTCCCGCACAAACTTCTCCACGCTGCGAACGTTGAGCATGTGGCGGCCTGCAAGAAGGTGTGGCGAGCGCATGGGGAGGGGTGGGCGGAAAAGCATGGCGTGCCGGTCAAACGCGGCCCACCAGGATAGCACCTCGCCACCTCATCCACACCCATCCGCCCGCTCGCCCACCTGCTTCATAGGGCCTGTCGACAATCAGGACAGTCTTGCCCTGCACCCGGGCAGGCGTGTGCACGTCCAAGCCATAGCACGCCCCCAGCCGCTCCCGCCAGCTCTGGAGCGCCGCCGCCGGCATGCCGGCTCGCTTGTCCTTCCGTATCGCGCCGAACTCAGTTTCACTGAAGGGTGAGAGCGAGCAGGGCAGTCAGTGTCAGAAGGCAGCCACGGAGCGGTGAGCCTGCCCGAGACACTCCAGACCACACAAATGGTGAAACAACAAAGGCGTTCACAAACCAAGGGCAGCGAGCCCCCACGGGAATCTCGAGGCGGCGCTGCCCACCTGGCGCAGCCTCGCTGGGAGTGGCACTCTGGCCCGATACCAGACCAAGCCTTCTCCAGAAGCAGCGTCTGCAACATGGCATGGCAACACAATCAGCAGGCAGGTGGCATGGCACGCGAGGCCTACCCCAGGAACACCTCCACCCGCAGGCAGGCACAGTGCTGTTGCACTGCTTTTGCCCCCAATGTAGACTCCCTGCCTTGCCAGTTGCCCGCCCCAAATCAGCGCACTGCATGCACCTTGCTCTCCAGCCGCGGGTCGTCGCGATAAACGGCCGGCCAGCCAGTGACGCAGCGCGCCTGCGTGGCGTTGACTGGCGCCAGCAGGGCGCCCTGCTCCCGCGAGTGCAGCAGGAAGAGCTGCACCTCGCGCCGTGGCGGGTAGGTGCACTCCCCCAGGTGCCGGCACAGCGTGTTGTGCAGCGTCACCACCTGCCGGCGGGGCAGCAGGGGCGGCAGGGTGAGGCGGGCAGCAGCAGGCAGCAGGCCGGGAAGGGGGCACGCTGGCCCACGCGGTGCGCACTGCCTGCCCCTCGCTTTCCTCCTCCACCCATACCACTCACGTCTTCTCCAAAGTGATGGGCCAGGTTGTCCCACCGCTTGGTCACCTTCCAAAGCCAGGACAGGGGCACCCTGAACCACTGCGGGGTGCAGCGTGGAGAGTAGAGAGGCAGCTGGGTGGGTGGGAAGGCACGGAGGGGAATGGGCCAGCAGCAGCCGCGCCAGCAGACTGCCACGGCACTGATCGAGCTGCCGCTCTGGCGCCGGCACCCTACAACCCACCATCATCCCCTCTCAGCATCACATCACCCCACATACACCACACAGCGGCAGCCCACACCTCATTCTCCCCCTCCAGCAGAAAGCCCGCCTGGCTGCGGTGCAGCACGGTGGGCGCGTACTTCTCATCTGGTGCTGGGTGATAGGTCACATCCACGGCAGGCAGCTCGAGGGAATGGTCTGTGGCAGCATGGCATGGAAGCAACGGGGCGGTGAGAGGGGTCAGGCAGGGGCGCAGCATGACAGGGAGGCAGGCAGGAGCATAACGTGAGAGGGAAAGACAGGCGGGTATACATGAGATGGGGATGGGCGGGCTGCATCTGAGCGCACGAACCATCGGTCAGGTAGTAGGCGGTACCACGGTGCACGATGAGGCTGGAATACTCGCACACACGGTGGTTGGCGTCCTTAGTCGGCGTGCACTGCACATGGAGAGGCACAGGCACAAAAGTGGGCACAGCAGCTGTTCCAGCACAAGAGCCCGAGCAACAAAGGGAGGGCGGGTGGCGAACGTCTCGACCTGACGTCTTCTGCAAGTCAAAGCGTGCCGCCTGCGACAGCCCACCCGCCACCGTCCCTCGCCAGCCTTCCCACCCCGCATCCCCCCCCCCAGATCGCCGGCATACGCAGATCTTGCCTTGTGAGAGCTCTGGGGCAGCGCTTTGAGCCTCCGAGGTGCCTCCTCCAGTTGCTGCAAGTTGTACTGCCGCTCCTCGGACGCACCGAAGGCGTCAACTAACGCTGCTCCTGCCGCCTCTGACCGGCTGCGATGCAGCGCCCAGAGGCTGCCGGCCAGCACGAGCCCCAGCCACGCGGCGGCACGGCGGGAGGCCATGGGCGAGTGCCCCTTGCTGCTGCCGCCTTCGTGCGTCATGCACCGGTGCCGCTCCTGTGTGGCTGTATCTACGAAGGCTTGCGAAGATAATTGGAAAAACCTTCAGTTCTCCATCTGCGCAGCAGAGCAGGATAGGGCCCAGGCGCAGGTGTGGCTCGCCACCCAGAGCGCGTCAGCAGGCGGCGGCGGTTGTGGTGCACCATGTGCCTGTGCTGCCCGGGCCGGCGCGGCGCCCCTGCAGCGGCCCTGCTGAGGCAATCATCATGCAGCAGATGCCGCCAGTTCAGCCGAGGGGGATTCCCACGCGGAAGATGCAGGGCACCGCTTGTTGCTGTTGAGAGCCGCCAAACCAATGCAAGTGGACGCACCTAGTGGTTAAGTAGTTGGTGAAGTGCGCCAGGAAGAGGGACGGCCCAGTGGCGCGTCCAACCTGTGGCGGTGGTCAGGCTGCAGTGCGAGGGCCTCCAAAGACGTTGCAAGAGGGAATGCGGACAGAGAGAAGGCGCTGAGTTGAGGCAAACTGGATTGTACCATTGACGGCGGGGCGGGACAGTTCCTGCGACGGCAGCACCCGGTGCTTGTTGGCGGGTGGCACCTCGACATGAAAGTCCAAGCCAAACACGGCAGCACCCAGGATATTCAGTGTAAGACAATCAGGGCTTTCGGCACTGCCAGGGTGGGCGTTCGCCAACCGGGTTTGTGCCCTGCCGCCGGCGCCCGCGCCATCAACTAGCACGTGGCTTCAGGAAAGCCTTGCTACGTAAATCGATGCCCACAACAAAGCTGGACAGTCTGTTGTAGGCTGGACAGTCTGTTGAGGATGCACGTTGCACATTGCGCGCCGGCCGCAACCAGGCGGGACATGTCCGGCGGGCAACCCTGCAGTACAGTGGTCCAGAGGAGCTGGCGAAGCGACGCCAGGCAAAAGCAGCGGTGCCCAAAGCACCACAGCCCGTTTGCTTGCCTGCAGAAGGGTGGGGCACGCCCTCTACTAGCTCCAAGCGCCAACCACCCACCACTGTTGGCGCGCATTATCCCTCGCCACGCCGTTTACCACAAGTGTAGGAGGTGGGCAGCCGTCGAATTGTTGCGACGGGGAGTGCGCATGGGCGCGCAACATGTTGCTGCAGGTTCCCCCTGGAGAAAACGCGGGAGGCTCTCCCTGCGCGCGCTTGCCGAGCGCAGCAACACGCGATGTCGCTGTCACATTGGTGCAGGTTGCGCAGGCGGGCAGCAGCAGCGGCATGACGCCGGAGCGCGCCCCGCGGGTGACAGTGTCCACCGCCACGGCGACGGCACACATCCGGGTGCAAGCATCAGGGCCGCTGCTGGCCAAGGAGCTGCTGAAGACACCAAGGCAGCTGCCCCAGTCCTGGTGGGGCATCAATGCCAGCCGCGGAATGTAGCCCTGCCTTGCGTTGTTCGTCCGCCGCCGGCTCACCGCATGAAGGGCTTGCGGTTGTGCAGGCTCGACAGATGGTACTGGCCAGTGGTCTTGGTGGCGAGCGTGCTGCTGGCAATGTGCACGCGACTGGCAATGCACAGGTAGGAGGGCCGCTGTTGAGCTGGCTCCGATGCGTGCGTGGGCATGGCTCCACCGAGCTCATCCATGTGCTGCAGGGGCGCCGGAGCGGCAGGCGCGGCGCAGGGCGTTCACCTGCCGGCCCAGCAGGAGCTGTCGCTGTTTGAGCAGCAGCTGTATGGGTGTCGCACCTTCAAGGCGCAGCCCGTGCCGTATGTGGACACCAATGCCTCGCTGCGGGTGGTGGACACCTACACCCCCGAGCAGCGGAAGCAGGCGGAGGCGTTCACGGCAGCAGTGGGCGCATGCACCGACTTTGCATGCCTGCGCAAGGCCAACCAGCTGGTGAGTGGCCCGCGCAGCTGGGTTGGCGCCGCTCCATCCGTGTGGCGCTGCTCTCCGCCTGCACAAAGGCGGCGCCAGCTGTCTCCAGCTGCCTGGGCCGCTGAAATAAATGCCTGGGCGCCTGGTGCTCGCAGCCACGGGGCCCAGGCCAGTTCCGCTTCCCTCACTACATGGTGCTGGGCTTCCCCAAGTGCGCCACCACCTCCATCTACTGGTGAGCAAGCAAGCTGCCGCTGGGAGCAGGCGGCGCCAGGTGTTGCTGGTGGGGCTGTTCCCGGCGCTGGCAGCACTGCACGGCCCAGCTAGACACGCAGGTTCGCGTCGGGACCGGTGCCCACAGCGCTGACTGGCGGTTGCTGATTTTCCTGCCCGCCTGGCCTGCAGCCACCTCATCCAGCACCCTCAAGTGCAGTATGCCAAGGAGAAGGTGTGCAGGGCAGCGCCAGCAGCCTGGGTGGTGGGAGCCGGCAGGACTAGGCAACCGCCACGCCCGTCCATTGTTGGCTATACAAACCTCCCGCCCTGCCCGTCTGCAGGAGTCGCATATTCTGATGGACAAATGCGACGGACAGCTGTCCACCTGCTCGGCCGAGGTGCAGCGCGAGTACCTGGAGGTGAGATGAGAGAGGAGGAGGAACATGGCCCTTCACAGCCCCTGCCCTGCCATGCGTCATGCCCCGGGGGGTGCTGAGGAGGGACTGCACGGCATGGTCGCTGGCAGTCCATGCCCTCACTGCCTGCTGACCTGCTCCCACGTGAGTGGGCTGCTGTCGCAGGTGCTCAATCTGCAGGAGGCGTCGCAGGCACAGTTCACAAAGGCGGCGTTCGATGGCAGCACACATTATGCGCAGGTGAGAGGCGCGGCATGGCAGCACCTCACCTGGCATGCGCCATTTCCAGCCCTTGCTCATGCCCGGCCAGCCACCACCCGGGTTGCCTGCAGGAGGCGGAGTGGCTTGCGGAGCAGCTGGCGGCGGAGTTTCCTTGGGTCAAGGTGGTCATTTCCATGCGAGACCCCATCTCCCAGGCCCTGGCCATGTTCCTGCACAACCTGGGCCACAACCGGACGTGAGTGCCTGGGTGCATGCATGCGCTGCGTGCTGCACATGTGTGGAATTGGCAGGAGGTCAGCTGCTGACCAGGTTTCACGACCGCCTCCCGTGGCACGCTCCTGCAGTGCGGCGTGCTACGAGAAGACCGGTCACAGGGTGTACAGCTGCGTCATGGAGTCCCTGGGTGCGCTGCCAGCTTGCCTGTGATGACACATGGCGTTTGGGCAGAATGTGCATGTGCAGCAAGCTCTCCTCTCAACCGCCGCCTCCTGCAGAGGATGACAAGCGGGTGCGGTATGGCCCCAAGATCGAGCAGTGGATGAAGGCCTTCCCAAAGCGGGAGCAGCTGCAGCTCGTGCAGGTGGGGGCGGCAGTGCAGCTGGCTGGCAGGCCGGCAGCAGGCAGCCTGTGCACCTGCTTTAGAGCCAAGTCGCATCCACCTTGGGGCCGTCACTGAGAAAAAGGCTCTGCCACTGCCCACCCGTCCCACACACTCGCCCCACCTCACTTTGCGCCGCCGCAGTACGAGAGCCTGATCAGCAAGGCGACCATGAGCGGCGACCTGCAGGCCCTCAAGTCCTTTTTGCAGATGGACGAGCACCTGCCCTCTGACCGCCTGCCCCTCACCAACTGGAAGCACATGCGCGGCGACCCCAACGCGGTGAGCGTATCCTTGCACCCGCCAATGCTGCATCATGCGTCGGCAAGTGCTGCGCGAAGGATATCTCACGAGTCTCGTCCACGCCTCCTGACCCGCACGCTGTGCCGCCGCGTCTGCCGCCGCAGGTGGGGCGCTACTGGAACATGACGCGCACCGAGTACGAGGACTTGGTGGATGTGGCCAGGCGCACCACCAAGGAGTGCGTGGGCGCTGCCGACCCACCATACCGCAGCCACGTTGCGATGCAGGTGCTGTAATGCAGCGCAGTGCTAACATATTCGCGAGCCTGCTGCTGGGCCCCGGCCTGCCTTGCAGGGTCGTGAAGCTGCTCGACAAGCATGGCCAGGTAGACCAGGAGGGCAAGGTTGCCTGGACGCGGAACTGGGAGCGGGTGTGGAAGGTGAGGCAGACCACAGCTGTCGCAGCCTGTTCTTGTGTTGCATGCACATTGCTGGCAACCCAGGACAGGTCTGGGGACTACCGCGGCACTGGAATCAAGTCCGTGCCTGGCCCAACCGATGCTGCAGCAAAACCTGGATGAGAACTGCGAGGAGGGCCCAGCCGGCAATTGCAAGATCGTCGTGAGCTGACAGGTGCCGATATCAATAGCCGCACCCTCCCTGACTGACATACACTCGCCCGACCTGTGAATGCTGTTTTGCTGCCTTGCTGCTGCTTTACAGCCCCAAATGACCGACAATGCTGCCCAATCATCATTGACCGTTCTTGCGAATCGCTCGCACAGATGCGACTGCCCAACCCCATTCCTTGCATCTGTCGACCGTGCATTGCTTACCATCATGTTCAGACTTGCACCATGCTTATGCCACCCTGTAACAGCACGTATGAGCAGGAGTTCTCCTGGGAAGGAGCCTCCAAGCTTCAAGGAGGCCGTCGGCCGCCACATCAGCGGCTGACCTGGCGCCGCCTCTGCGCGTGATCTTTGATCGATCAGCGAGGTATCTGGGCCCACAAACTTGTCCAAATGTGATCGTCTATTGAGGTCAGAGCCCACCCAACATCTCTGTGTGCCAGCAGTTGTTTGCTGTGCCCCATGGCCTGGAGCGACAATGATGCGCGCATCAGGTCGCAAAGAATTTTGAACCAGCAGCTGCCGTCAAGGAGTTGCGGCGGCGGGCTGGGGCGGCCCGCAAGGGAGTCACCCAGTTCGGCGTGAAACAATGGCTCCCCCTGTGTTTCCTGGTCGCCCCGGTGATCGCGTTGAAGGCTCCAGCGCCGGGTCGCCCCGTCGTTTTCTGTTCGGTAAAGCCTGGGCTGGGCCGCCCCCCGCCGGGGGCTGCTTCTACCGCCGGGTTGGCGCCCCCACCGTCCCTTCGGTCCAGGATCACTTCTGACATTGTTCGCAGGTTTTGGGCAACATTCATCTTGTTCAGACCATAAATATTATCATCGTCTTCCTCATCTCCGGGTTGGTGTTGCGAACAGAAGACATCAAGCGGGCGCTGTCCTATTGGCCAGGCATTGTGTACGGCTTTGTGGGGATCCTCGCGCTGACACCCTTCCTAGGCTTTGCCTTGCGGGAGTTGCCTCTGACGCCGCCCGAGTTTGCCTCCGGCCTCACCATCTTTGCCGCCGTCCCGACCACCCTGGGCGTGGGCGAGGCGCTGGTGCGCGCCTCAGGCGGCAACGCGGCGCTGGCGCTGCTCCTGCTGGTGGGCACCAACGCGCTGGGCATCGCCACCATGCCGCCCTGGCTCAAGGTGCTGCTGTCAAGCGTGGATGGCTACCATGTGGCGGTGGATGCGCTGTCGCTGTTCACCAAGCTGCTGGCCACGGTGCTGGCGCCCGCGGTCGTCGGCAAGGTGCGCCCAGCCGCTGCCTTGGCCTGCCGCCGAGGCTGCACGACGTCAGCCTCATGCATGGGCACCCACTGGGCTGCCGATGCCTACGCAATGCCCGCAGGCGGCCCGCGAGCTCATCCGCCCGGTGGGGCGCTGGGCCACCCGGTACAAGCAGCCGCTGGGCATGCTGAGCACGGTGCAGCTGGCGCTGATCATCTGGCAGACGCTGAGCGGGGCGCAGGATGTGCTGGTGCAGCAGTCCTTCCTCGACATCTTCATCGTAATCGTGGCCGCCGTGCTCATGCACGGTTTCTACCTGGCCTTCAACGCCGCCGCCACGGTCTGGGTGCTGCGCATGCCGCTCAAGGAGGCGATTGCCGCCACCATCATGTCCAGCCAGAAGAGCGCCCCCGTGGCAGTGACCGTCATCAGGTTTGGCCTGGGCCGGTGGCTGGGAGTCCAACATGCTCTGCCGCCCACGCCAAGCAACACCACGGAAGCCCAGAGGCTACTAGACTATGTGCAGCATATGCGGCTGCTGCACAACTGCCATGCGTGATTAGCGCTGCCCGCTCCCTGCCCCATTGCTGCGCAGCTACCTGACGAGCGACGTGACGCAGCAAGGCCTGCTGGCGGTGCCCTGCATCGTGGGCCAGCTGGCGCAGGTGTGCGTCAGCTCAGTCACGAAGCTCCAACAAACTGCTGTCCATCCACGCCCCCTCATCATGACCAAACACTATGGGCACTGTTCCTTGCCCCTTGATTGCAGATCTTCATGGGCAGCTTCTTCGCCCCGTTTTTGAAACGGCGCGTACAGCGGCAGGAGGCGCTGGCAGAGCCGGCGCCTCCCGCAGCACCGACGGATGCAGCCACCACTGAAGCGGGTGATGATGCGGATCTGGAGGGCGGCAGCAGCGACAAGCTGGAGGCAGCGTCCAGCAGCATTGAAGCCGGCGCAAAGGACAGCCCCACAGATGCTGCGGGGCCGTCCGGGGCAAGCAAGCCGAGCGACAGTGGCGAGGTAGAGCTGCCAACGGCAGGCGCAGAAGCGGTGGGCACTGCAACAGCGGAAGCGGCAGCAAACACAGAGGCAGCAGCAGATGCCGCAGCAGTGGAGGCCGCGGCAGCAGCAGAGGAAGGCAAGAGTGCAGCTGCCACACCAGCCGCCCAAACCCCCAGCTAGAGGGCGGCGCATGGATGCAGCCAGCCGCTTGTTTTTAGGGTCCTGCCTCGAGTGGCCTTGATTTTTTTTGTGCCAAGGTACCCTGTCTGTCCATTCTTCCCCCATCACTCCACAGATCCTTTGCAGCTACCTCAACAGCAATCCAAACATCACCTGCTCCCCACTTTTTTGTGTGCTTGCACCATTTTTACTTACAATCGCTTCCGCTCATCACAGCAGTGTCCTCAATTTCTCGACCCATGAACAAACTAGCCTCGCTCTGCCAGGTGACACCAACAGTGCCATTCATCAGGCTGCACCTTCTTCTGCTTTCCGCTTGGCGCCCCGCCCGCCCTCATCGGCTGTCGCCGCCGCCCCGTTTGTTGCTGGCGCGACATCCGCTTGCTGCTTGTCTGCTGCTGCTGCCGCCTGCTCATCCTGCTGCTGCTCCCGCCGCTGGAGGTACACCCCACACTCCACATGATGCGTGTAAGGGAACTGCGGGGCAGGGAGGAGGGAGCAGGGCAGGAAACACGTGCAGGTTTGGGTGCAGGCCCTGGGGCTGCCCCACAGGCTGCCACAAACACTCGCCACAACCCCCACATACCTGGTCAAACATGGCGAAGCGCTTGATCTCAAAGAGGTCCCGCACCTCTGCCAGGTTGGCGTGCAGCGTGTCTGCAGGGCAGGGGAGCAGAACTGGCGTCAAGAGCATGCCAGGTCCTTGGCTTGCGGGGGCACGCCCAAGCCTACCAAGGCAGCCTGCAAGTTGCCCTGCTGTTTCACACGCTGCTGTGCCCTGCCAGCTCAAGTCGTCGCACCAGGGTTGCAGCTGATGTAGACCACGCTCTGGAAGTCCTTGAGCAGCTGCACGGTCTGGCTGTCCAGCCCCGCACGCGGCGGGTCCACCAGCAGCGTGGTGAAGGACAGGGACTGCAGGTCCAGGCCCTCCAGCCTGCACGGCAGCCAGGCGGGGCAGCCAGGGAGCGGGTGAGAGAGAGCAGCGGGCTGGCTGGGAACTCGTGCCTGAGAAGAGCCTGGGCCTGGCTGAGCTGCTGCCGGGCTCAGGGTTTCCTCACCCGGGCGCCGCACCGAGCTCACCTGCGCATCTGCCGCCCCTCCTTCCATGCCGCTGTGAACTCCTCGCTGCTCATGCGCGCCACAAACACGTTGCCCACGCCGTTTAGCTCAAAGTTGCGCTTGGCGGCAGCCACGCTAGACTTGCTCACCTCTGTGGCCACCACCTGGAGCGGGAGGAGGCCGAGGATGGGTGCAGATGGGTGCAGGCTAACAACTAACAGATGTGGGGCGAGGTACAGGCGTTGCGGGAGGGTGGGTGGCGGCGGCTGCCCAACGCCCTGGCCAGCTTGCTGCGTGTCATGAAAGGGGCTGGGCGTGGCACGGCTGCTTGCCTTTCTAAAGTTGGGTGCCAGTGCCACTGTGAAGTTGCCATTGCCGCAGTACAGCTCCAGCAGCTCGCCGCCTGTACTGCCGGCTGCAGGAGCAGCCAGGAGAATGCGGCGAGCGCTGAATCGGGATGCGGCAGGTCCATGCCGGCGACGACGCATGGCACAGCACCTCTGTTCTTGCCGTGCCGGGGCCTGCTTCACACCAGAAGTGGCACTGCTGCCCGCCCACCTGTCGCGCTGCGCGCCCAGCTCAGCATGTGCTGGCACATGCCGCCGTTGGGCTGGCTGAAAGACGCCTCCACCTGCACCTGCTTCAGCTGCTGGCCGTCCACGCTCAGCACCTCCTGCACCTCGTCCGCATCCACGCAAACCTTCTGGCCCCTGCGCCGCCCCCGGGCAAGCAGCAAGCCGCAAATGAGCGGCCTCGGCAATGCAGCTGAGCAGGCAGGCCGGCAGGCAGGCAGACGTGCCATGCCAAACCTCGCTCCCACTCTAACAATAACAATCGCACCTGCTGCGCCCGATGATCTGCGGCGTGGCGGTGCTGCTGGGCGCCTTGGCCAACACCCCTCGCAGCTCCTGCGCCGCCTGCAGGCAAGCGCAGCGGCAAGCTCAATGCTGAAAGTGAAGGGGTCACCAGGAGCCCTGGAATGCACTATGTGTGGCCACCCCGCCGCTGCGGCTGTTCAATGCCCGCCGGCTAGAGACCTCTGCTGCGGCGGCTGCCTGCCCTGCCCTAGGCTGACTCGCACCTCCTTCCACTCCTCGCCCAGCTTCTTATGATAGATCAGGCTGACCATAGACTGGCCGCTGAGGGTGGTGTGGAAGTTGGCCTGCGGCAGGGATACTTTGCGGGGTTGGTGCCCGCTCCAGGTTGATGCTAGACAACCGGGTTGCTTGTGGCTAGCCTGTCGGCAGTACTTCTGCCACCAGCAGTAGTCTAGTAAATTGATGGGCTTGCCTGGAACAGCTTGTGGCGTAGGATGGGGCTGGCCTTGATGTGATCCCGCAGCAGACCCATCAGCTCATTCAGCAGCTCTGCGGGTTGGATGAGCAAGCCGGCGTGCAGACAGGCGGGTGGCGGGCAGGCGGGCAGATAGGCAGCCAATGGCCGCTTGCTGGCCAAGTCAAACAGCCCCCGCTTTGAGTGCAATCCAGCCAGCCATCCACCTGAGGCCACCGGGAAGCTATCCACTCGCACATCCCGGTTCTTGCCCTCTCCGTCCTTCTCGTACATGATGTAAAACAGGTCATCCCCCTCATGCCACACCCGGAACTCCGCGCTGCAGCAAGGCGTTGGTGGGCACACTTATGGTGAGCCGCCGGCGGCTCGAGCCTCAGCGGGCCAGACAGCAGAATCTGAGCGGGTATTGGATGCGCATGGGCGCCCATACAGCCAGGGCACAGCAGCAAAGATGCCTCGCCAGCACAGGCAGCCAACCTCAGGGAGCTCACCGCATGCGGTAGTGCTCCGGGCGGCTGCGGAAGGCCTGCAGCGGCGGCGGGTTGAACTCTGCGAACAGGTTGCGGATGCGCTGCTCTTTGGCCTCCAGCTGCGAGTCGTACTGGCTGGGGTCAATCGCCGTCAGCGCGGGGCTGAACTTGGGCGGGGCGGGAGTGGCAGCAGCAGGCGGCGCCACCTCGCTGGTGGGCGCCGCCTCTGCCGCCGCCTCTACCCTGCGCCCCTGCGCTTTGGACCTCGTCATCTTGCTTAGCTGGCGCAGGCCCGCGTGCAGGCTGCAGCGGAGGGGCAGGAGGCGCAGGGAGGGGCCGGCAACAAGAGCCACCAGGACTGGCATGCCTTGGGACGAGCGACAGGGGCTGCGTCTGCCCACCAATTGCGCAATGCATTGACTTTTGCATGCAAGGGGGTGGTGGCCTCCCGTCCTGCCTGGTGTACCTGTGCCTCTTCTTTTCTCTGCTTTTCTCTTGCGATCATCGCCCTGTCATTCATCGCCAGCATGGAGGCTCCTGCAAGAGCAGCAGGAGCACCGCCATCCTCCGCAGTGAGCGGTGAGGCCCGACCAACTGAGCCTTGCCCAGGCCTGTGAACTGCTGTGTGAGATCACCGTGCCCCTGCATCAGCTGCCTGCATCGCAGAGGCGCTGCAGCAGCACCTGGATGACTTCACGCAGCAGGTGGCCGCCACCCGTGGCAGCCAGGCGGCGCTGGCTGCCGCGCTCGACAGGCTGCAGGCAAGGCGCAGGCCGTGTCTTTTGTGGTGAAATCTATCAGTCCATCTATTTACTAAGGTCATGCATGACGCACGGGTGCACTTCCATGACTTGCGATTGCCGCCATGCCCGTTCCCGCCTTCCTGCAGGGCGAGCTTTCGGCGGCAGAAGCTGCCCTGCCGGGCAAGGAGGCGTTCAGCGCCTCGGTGCGGCTGGTCAAGCTGCAGGGACGCATACATGCGCTGAACAAAAAAGTGGCAGAAATTGAGGTGGGAGCACACCTTGGCATGCCTCGCGCTGCACCACCTTGATGAGGGCCCACCTCCTAAGCAAGCTGGTGTGCTACTCCTACCTGGTCGCTCTTGCTGCTGCAGCACCGACTAGAGGGCATGCGCAGCCACCTGACGAGGCAGCAGGCAGCCCAGCAAGGCGGCATCAACACCAGCGCCGGCAGTGCGGGGGGTGGCAGCAGCGCCGGCACCGGAGCTGTCGGCGAAGCCACGTGAGCTGGGTCCTGCACAGCAGCCCGCCGTGAACACACCTGCCAGCTGTGCCTCGCGGTCAACCCATAGCAGCATGACCCACGCCGCTCGCCTCGGAGCTGGCAGACCAGCAGGGTCACCCCCGGGGATTTAGCACACGTCTGAGCATCAGCAGCGGCACCCGGCATTTTAAACCACGTCGTTCACACTTGCGGCATGCCCGATCGGTACGCTGTGCCGCCTATGACTTGTCCTGAAACCCCCTGTACTGTCTATTATTCCTGTCCCCTATGCCATCCACGCCTTGTTGTTGCTGCAGATCCATCGATGCTGGAGTGCGGGATATTTTCCCATGTGCTGAGACAATGCTGCCTGCAATCCGTGGGGCTTGCCAGCCGAGGTGCGACTCCCATCCGGCTCTGGGCAGCAAAGCAGCTCAAAGCTTGTCAGCCGCGCTGCTAGTGCATCGCTTCCAATGCTTCAAAGCCATACTCTCCTGCTGTATTCAATTTGGAGAGGTCAAGTGGTGGCAGCCACCGTCGACGCGGCTGCCACCGCCGTCGGGGTTCATGTGCCTGCCAAAATGTTACCTGCCTGTGTTAACTCTCCGGCGGCCACCAGCTTGCAATTCAATCATGGTGGCCATCACATCGCTCACTCGAACCCCCTTAGCGCTCCCCCGATTTCGTTTGGTTGGTGCCCCCGGTTGCTGCAGTACGCCTGGCTGAGGAGCACTTAGCGGAGCGGGGCGAGCAATATTACAATTTTGCTGGGCCGCGGTTTCGCTGGTCTGCAAGGCGGCTTGGGCGACCCGTCTGCAAGGCTCTGCGCAGCTCGCGCTCAGGCGCCGCCTGGCCGGCGGCAACGATGGCGGCAGGCAGCGAGAGGCTCAAATGGACTGCCCGGTGCGTCGCTAAGCCCCCTGCACGATGGCTCCAGCCAATGGCAGTCGGCGCCCACAAGCGGCCTGCTAGACGAGCCATCTAGAGCCTCATGCTGTTTCGAACGCTTCTGGATGAGCCAACATATGCGTGGGCGTCGCCAGCACAGACCCCTGAAAACCCAGCATAGGGCCGTCGCGCCGTTGGCGTCGCTGCAGCTGTTCGCCCCACACGCATCCAATCTGGTACATCCGTGCAGGATGGAGGAGGCGTACGAGGCGGCTCTGGAGCAATTGGGAGGCCTGGAAGTGGCCAAGCCCAAGGTGAGCAGGTCGAGCAAGTTGAAGGGGCAACTTACGCCGCGGACGCTGCCGTCAGGTGTCTTGATGCCTGTGCTGCTGCCTGCAGACTATGCTGGATGTCCTACAACCCGAGTTCCCCGAGCTCACGCTGCAGCACGTGAAGTGGTAAGGGTGCTTCCTGGCTGCAGCACGGACAGCCTGCTGCTGCCTGGCCTGCTTCCTGGCGGCAACGGGGCTTCCAACCTTTCTGCAGGCACTTGCAGTCCTCGCGGCGGCGGGAGAGCCGGGAGAGGGAGCAGGGCCCCAGCGATGCCATCCGCTGGACGGGCAGGTGAGTCTGCTGCGACGAGCAGCAGGCACAGGGCGGCGCTGGAACTATATACAGCTTCTGGCTCCATGCATGCCTGCCTGCCCGGCCAGCCAGCCAGCCAGCCAGATGCCCATGTACCTACCTACTGATGCTCGGCGGTGGGCAGCGCTCAGCATGCCACTGCCGCCCCGGCCAACCATCCCACTGGCATCGTGCAGGCTGGAGGCGGCGTACGAGGGGGCGGTGGCTCAGCTGGGCGGTATCTACCAGGCCCGGCCGCGGGACATCCAGGAGAAGATGCAGGGCAAGTTCCCAGACATCACTGCCATGGTGAGCCGCCTTGCACTGCATTCGGCTGGATGGACACAGCCCAGCCAGGCTGATGAGCCGCCTTGCAGCGCCAGTGCAGCGCATTGCCAGCGCAAGGCATGCTGGCATTTGTGTCGGTGTTGCCCGATCCGACTGCTTGGTGCTGTCGATCCTTCAGCAGAGCAGCCCTTGTTGTGTTCCAACAGCTTGGTAGCGCATGCCGTGCTCAGACCACATGATGCGCCGGCTCTGCCACATCCCGTCGCCACTGACGCTTGTACACACCCAGCACTGCCACCCTGCTCCTCTCTCCCAATTGCAGTCCATCAAGTATCACCTCTTTGCCCAGCGGCGGCGCGAGCAGCGGCTGCAGCAGCGCGGCGCAGGGAACGCGGGAGGGGCGGCCGCAGATAGTTCACAGGCGGCCGCCCCATCAGCGGCAGACGCACCACCGCCAGCAGCCGCAGCATCCGCAGCAGCAACAGCAGCCGCCGCTGCAGCACCAGCACAAAGACAGCCCACCAGCAGCGGCGGATTTGCTGCCCATCCTATGGATTGTGGGCAGGGGCAGCAGCAGCGGCAGCGGTATTGTTTCTTTGCGCACCCGGAGCATGTGCCGTGGATCCCTTTCACCGTGCCATCAGCAGACGAAGCGCTGGCCGTGCTTCGCAAGAACACGCAGCATTGCCGCCAGGTGATGACGCGCTGCCTGCTGGGGACGCGTCGAGCAAGGCTGGCACCGCCTCCACCCGCTAACCTGGTGTGCTGGTGTGGCTGACCGGCTGCCTGTACGTCCCTGCGTGCAGGTGATTCAAGAGCTGGAGCAGCAGGCGGACCAGCTGGCGGAGATAGTTGTGGCGCTGGAGGCAAGCAGCATCACCGCAGAAGCTGTCTTGGGCAGCCCTGGCGAGGACGACATGGCAAGCAGCAGAGCAGGCGCAACGCTAGGTGTGGCGCCTGGCGGCGGCACCTTGACGGCAGCAGAGCTTGGGAGCGGCCTGGCGGCCGCGCAGCGGCTGCTGGATACGCCAGCACAGATGGCGCAGCAGCTGCTGCAGCTCCTGCCAGACCTGTACCCCCTGGGGCCCGGTGGCAGTGCTACCATCAGCGAGGCAGCCGCGGTGCAGGCAGTTGGGCAGCGCAGCGACCGTGCCGTGGCTGCCCTGTGCGCCCTGCTTCTGCAGCAGGATGCGGCTGCAGGCCTCCCGGGAGGCCCAGCCTCTGGCGCAGCAGCGGCGGGGCCGTCAGGCGGGGACAGCGGCAGCCACGATGCCGCCGCCTGCACTGTACCCAACTGTCGCTTGTGCGGCTATGAGCGGCGCTTGCAGCAGCGGCGCGGTAGGCAGCAGCAGGGGAAGGGACAGCCTTTAGAGCAGCAGGGGCCCGCGCAGGATCAGCTGCTAGCACAGCTGGCGCCTCTCTCGCAGCAGGTGCAACAGCCGCAGCGAGCACTTGATGATATGGTGGACGCACCACTGCCGCTGGCAGCGCTTCACTCTCACGCCCCATTTCCTCCCTGGGTGCCGCCACCCTCGCAGCAGCCGCAGCAGCTGGGCCGTGGCGCACCGGGGCTGCTACAGACTGAGGTGCAGCTGACCCAGGAGCAGCTGGACTTGCTGGCTAGCCTGCTATGCCAATGAATCCATCCCACCGCGCCTCCTGCCTGCATGATTCCTCTGTATTCCTGAAATGCAAAACCTGTCTCCTCCCTCTTAACCTGTCGGCATTTCCTCAGCGGCGCCACCAGCGGCGCCAAACTTCGCTCGCTGGTTGAAGCAGTGATGTGCATGGGGTTGATTCAAAATTTTCAGCCATGCTAGAAAAATCAAAACTGAGATACGTTGAAGCTACATTCATCAATGCCCTTCAGCTGGGTCGCCGGAGCAGGGCGGTGAGTTGGGCTAGCGCATTGTCTGCGGCGCTGCTCACAGCTCCCGCCAGCGACCCCGCATCCTCCGCCGCCTTCTCCGCCTCCACCACATCGCCCAGCCTCCGGTCGAGGGCGGCCCATGTGTCGGCAAATCCTGCGGTTAGAATGCACAGCCAGGAAAGCATGAAGGAAGGCCCTGGAGTGGGGGCGGTCGAAGAAGAAGGCTCTCCTGCATCACCAGCAACCAGCAAAGCGCAAGCTACCTGGGGAGCAGTCGGTCAGCATGTAGAGCTCTGTGGCGGTGTATGCGCCGGTCAGCAGCAGCCGCTTGGTGTACCTGCACCGTACCACACACGCGGTACCGTGATAACAGGCAGGCAGGCATCGCAGACGGCCATGTCTGCGCTGCGGCTCGCCACGGTGCAGCCGGCGACAACAAGAGGCGCCAAAGGGCAGCTGCCCTTGCCGACTCACCAAGTGGAGTCTGTGGAGGCATCGCCCGCAGCGTGCCAGATGGCGTCAGCCAGGTCAGCATACAGCCGCAGCGTGCGGGGAGCCGCTGCGGGCTGCAGGCGAGGTGGTAAGAGGCAGGCAGGGCAGGTCAGCAGCCCCCACACAGCAGTGCTGGGGCTGGTCCCTGATGGGGCAGGGCTCCTGGCGGTACGAGTGCCAGCTTGCCTGGGCGAGGAGGCTGAGGGCCTGGGGCCAGTGGGCGATGTAAGGCTCCACCATGCGAAGCCGCAGCTGCAGGCCCGTCCTGAGCCGCTCCCTGCAGCACTACTGCTTCCACTGTGTGACAGAAGCATCACCAGCCGCATCCACAGAGCTGGGTGCAAGCACCATCCCCCAGATGCGCGGACAGCCACATTAGCGAGCAAGGAGACTGCACACCCACCTCATGTCCATGTCAGCCAGCTGCTGCTGCATGCCGGCCAGCTCCTCCTCTAACCGCTGGTTGCAGTCAGCCACAAACAGCTGCACCGCCTCAGCATCAGAGCCCAACATGCCCGCCGCTGCCGGCGACAGGCCCAGGTCGGCCGCCGCAGCAGCTGCAGCCGCGCCGCCTGCCCAGCCATGCTGAGGGACGTGGCGCAGCATCGCCTCCAGCAGCTGCCGCCGCCGCTGCTCGAAGTCCTCTTGCCGCTGCTGCTCCTGGTGGTGCTGCTGCTCGCCGGCATGGCCCGAGCCGGCAGCAAAGCTGCCGCTGGGCGCCTCGCCCACCCCGCCGCCAGCAGCAGCATCGTTGCTGCTGCTGCTGCTGCTGGTGTAAAGCCTCCATGGCTGCGTGGTGCGCCGGTGGTCTGCTCTACTGCCGCCTGCTGGTGCCGTCGCTGCCGCCGCCACCACCACTCGGATCAGTGCTTCTGGCAGCAGGCGCTCCATAGGCGCAGCTGCAGAGCCCGCCATGGTTCTACACAGGCCCAGCATACTGCTTCTGCAGGCGCAAGGCGGAGCGGCGAGAATGGTGGCCAAGTCGGCTGCAGGAGGCCCGCACACTGGCGTGCAATGCTGCAAAGATAGCTCGTAACGTCAATTGATCGAGATCGGTGCCAGAAGCCGGGCAGGCGGGCGGCAAAAGCCGGCAGCATGGTTGCCGGTTTTCCAACGCCAGAAAAACCTCCCAGTGACTGCTGCTCGCATCCATTTCCTTGAATCAACTCGTGTCGATCGCTCCCGCCCGTCGCAAACTCCATCCTCCCCCAACCGATCGCTCAGTTTTTGCCCAGCTGCCGATAGCAGTCCGCTATGCCGCCCAAGCAGCAGCAGCAACCGCAGAATCAGCCGCAACAGAAGCCACCCCCCTCCGGCAAATGCAGCGGCAGCAAGCCGCCCGGCGGTGACGGCAGCGGCAAACCAGCCGGCCAGATGAACTACTTTGCAGCTCTCGCTGGCATTGCCGATGCGGATGCACTCAAGGACGAGATTGCGGTCGAGGAGGAGCAGCGGCGGGCTGCCAGCAGCAGCAATGGCGCAGCAGCGGCAGCCAACGGGCGGCGCAGCAGAAATGTGGACGGCGAGGGCGGCGGCATGAAGCAGCCCTTGATTTGGATCGACCTGGAGATGACAGGACTGGATGTGGAGTCGGACCAAATCTTGCAGATTGCCGTGATTTGCACAGGTAGGCGGAGGGGCTGGGGGAAGGATGGGGTTGCAGGAAGAAGCTGGTGTGGTGGATGCCACACCAATGGCTGCCTGCTGTGCAGACCGAATTCAGCTGGACGTGTGCCCCAGCCTGCTGCTGCCACTTCTTTTCCCCGGCTTGCTGAGCTTTTGCCTCTTGCAACCACGGCACAGTGCCTAATGTCTGCTCTACTATGCAGATGGGGCGATGGAGGAGGTAGTGGAGGGTCCAGAGCTAGCCATCCACCAGCCAGAGGAGGTGCTGCAGGTGAAGCACCAGGGCTGCGCTGGGCAGCGGCAGCACCAGCAGCGGCCACCAGGCTGCCGCGCTGGTCCCAGCCTTTTCGCGGCTGCTGCTGCATGCATTGGAGGGAGAGGAGGTTGAGACCTGTCTGCATGTGTGTGTTGTCAAGCCCGCCACCTGCTGTGCCCGCCCGCAGACCATGAATGAGTGGTGTGTGGAGCAGCATGGCAAGTCTGGGCTCACGCAGGTGCGCACTGGCAGGGGCAGGGCACCGGCATCATGCTGGCTCTTTCCGCACCCCACCTCCCAAGCAAAGGCTGCCTGCGTGCAAAGCCGGTGCCGCCAGGCTGAATGCGGAGGCAAGGTGTCGTGCAGGCATGCCGCGACAGCACCACATCGCTGGCAGAAGCAGAGCAGCAGGTGCTAGAGTTTGTGCAGCAGCATGCGCCGGAGCCTGGCACAGCGCAGGCAAGCAGAAGGGCGCGCAGCGGCAGGGCCTGCCCGCCAACCTGCTTTCCGCATGACACTGCATTGCTGCCGCCTGTTGCTGCCCTGTGCCTGTGCCCACTTGCGTGCCTGCACTATCGTCCATGCTGCTCTCGTTGCTGCTGCCTGCCTGCCTACCTGCCTGCCTACCTGCCTGCCTGCCCGGTTCCATGCGCAGATTGCGGGGAACAGCGTGCATGTGGACCTGGCTTTCATGCGCAAGCACATGCCGCGCCTGGTGGACCACCTGAGCTATAGGTAGGCGGGCGGGTGGGCCATGCGCTTGTTGGCGTCAGAAAAGTACAGGCAGGCAGCGGCACTCTGCACACGCTGATGCAATCGCCTCCCACCAACCAATGCTGAGCGTGTGCAGGATTGTGGATGTCAGCACGGTTGGGGAGCTGTGCCGCCGCTGGTTCCCGCGGGAGCACATGCGCGCCCCAAAGAAGAAGAACACCCACACCGCGCTGTCAGGTGCGACTCCCGCATGGTGCGTGGATGCTGATTGGGAGTGGTGAGGAGCCGCAAGAAGCAGGTCCCCGACACAATGCATCACGCTCTGCTGCACTGCAGACATCCGTGAGTCGATTACTCAGCTCCTATACTACCGCCGATCCATATTCAAGAAATGGTCGGGCGCCAACCTGCCCTGAGGAACCAGCTGGCCATCAGAAGTACAGCAGCTCCGCACAGCCGCCAGCATACAAGGGGCAGCACAGAACAAAATGTGACATGAAATGATGATTATGTGGTCAGAATCATAACATTCTTGCGCATAAAACGAACACCATGAAATGCCTCAGCTGCCAGCAGTGTCGCCTCCAACGAGCTCACGCACGCTCCCTGGTGTGGATGAACACGCTGCCTTTGTTGCCGCGGCTGATCCTGAAGTCCTCTTCGAGGTGTAGCCACTCCACAAACCCGCGCCCATCAGCCTTCACAGGCAGCGGCAGCTTGAGGGGGCCTAGCTCCAGCACCACCTGCAGTGGCGCATCGCAGGCTGCTTGGCCCCACCACCAGCGCCTGCGGCAACACACCTCCTAACCATACATAGATGTGGTTGGTGCGCCCCTTCCAATCAACCCAGCGGCAGCATTTTTCCACTCACCTCGTCAATATCAACAAAGGTGCGCGTGTTGCCCTTCTCGGGGCCGCAGGCTGCGCATGCCCGCACCCGCACGCCGGGCGCCAGGCAGACCAGGTTCTCCAGGCGGCTGCTCTCAAGGTCGACGATCTGGAAGTTTTCCACCTGCAACGCACATGCCAGCCAGTTATGGAGCCGGTCGGCTGCAGTGGGCATGCCAGCTCGACGAGCAGTGCAGATTGCAATCCCTGCACAGCTGCCGCTGCCGCTGCCCACCGCTACACAAGCACACGAAAGGCAGCAAAAGGCAGCAGAGGCTGGAGGTCGCAGATGCAGCCCGCTGTGCACCTGGCTGGCCAGCGCCTTCTGCAGCGGGTTGGCGGTCTCGCCCTGCTGCATCCACACCAGGCGCCACGTGCCGCCGGCCAGGGGGCTCGCCGCGGGCGCCGCCTCGCCGCCGCCGCCCGCCACAACCTCCTCCGCCAGCCGCTGCACCTCGGCATCGTCCCGGCTCCGCCGCTGCGCCAGCACATCCAGCAGCCGCTGCTTCGGCGGCACATCCTTTGCAAGCACAAACAGCGTGCCCTGCACGCAGCGGCAGGGCAAGGGTGCGGCAGAAGTTGGGCGGGCATGCGGCCAGCCAACAACCAGCATGCCAGGAGAACGAAGCGCGCGCGCCTGCCCGCAGAGCCTGTCCTTGCCTTGTTGCCGCGGCTCAGGCGCAGGCTTCCATCAGGTGCCAGGTATGTCACGTCTATCCAACCCTTGCGCTCGTCTCCCAGCAGCTTGAACGGGACAGGATAGGGGATCTTAAATGGCAGCGACTTAAATGTGAAGGCCGCCCTGCACAGCACAGGCAGGCATGGCACACGGCCCAGCGCACATCTCACCGGCAGCATGCAACTGCTCGTGTGGCAGCACATCACTCCTGGCAGCTGGCCAGCACGCATGCTCGACAGCAGGGCAGCGGGGCCGCCTCTGCCGAAACCACGAGCCGCTTGGCTCACCGATCAAACTGGAAGTCCACTCGCAGGTTGGGTCTGGCAGGGGGCTGCGACGAGCTGACCCCCAGGATGCCAAAGGGGAGGCCCTTGCCGACGCGCGGCGTGAAGCCCGGCAGCGGCTGCGCGTCGGTGGAGGCCTCTGCCTCCACCCGCAGGAAGCCCACCGAGCTGCCAAAGTCCACCACCTGGCACACGCGCGGCACCTCCTCCCCTGCCAGCTCAATGTCCTGGTACACTGCAGGCGCAGCAGGTGGCATGATGTGGGGGGGGTGATGCAAGTTGTGGAAGCGACCCCTGGCAGGGGGCAGTCGTGGCCCAACGCCGAGAGCGCAACCAAAGCAGGATGCGCCGGGCGTGATGCCCTCCAGCTGGCTGTTTGCCCCACCTGCGAAGCTGTCCACGGCGGTGAATGTGCGCTGGATGGGGCTTGCGGTGCCCGGCCGGGTGGTGAACAGCAGGCGCCAGCGCCCCTCCAGCAGCGGGCTGGTGGCAGGGGCCTGGAGGAGCACAAGCGACACAGCAGCTGCTAGAAGGCATGGCCGCACAGCTGGTGGCGTGCCACAGCACCGCATCATCGGACACAATTACAATGCACTGACTATGGTACTGCTCCCTTGCTTAACAACCCCAGGCTCTCCATCCCCAAACAAGTCTTGCTGCTGGCCACCCCACCTGGACACCACCGTCGGCCTCGAGGATTGCGACCGCCTGGTCAAACCGGGCCTGCTGCTCAGGGCTCATGCCGCCCTTGCCGCGACCCTCCACACCCGACAAAACCTCCAACACCGTTTGCTGTGCACGCTCCACCTGTGGGCAAGGTGCATGGTGCATCAGTGGTCTGCATCGCTCAAAACAGGCTGCCCTGCTGGCACATCCCGCCAGGGCCTGGTATATCTGTGGCCTCTCCTGCATCCCCATCGCCTGGCTTTTTTGCCCACCCTGCGGCTGCACTCGCCTTGCGGTCGAGCTTCGCCAGGGACAGGACGCTGGGCTGCGGCCTGGTGGCTAGGGCCGTGGCTGCTGCTGCCGCCAGCGCCGCCGCAGGCTGCCGCCGCCCGCGCTGGCACTGCTGACGCAAAGGCACGAGGGCCATGCTGCTGCTGCTGCTGAATGCTGGCATGGCGTGCTGTCTGGTGCTCATCAGCGCCACAGTGCCCAGCGTTGCTGCAGGCATTTTTGCGGGCGCTCGATTTCGGGAGTGCAGCAGCTTCAAGCACCAGTCTTCAGGTTGTTTTAAGGTCTGGATGCAACAAGCAATTGATCAGAAGCGCTGGCTCGGGCCAGATTGCGAGCATTTCCTGTCGCTGCGGGGCCTGCTGAGCCTAAGTGGAGGCCAAAGGCCTGTAGAACTGCTCTCCACACCGAGTTGGACGTCTCCTCGCGAACCCGTCTTCCCAGTCATGCCATCCCCGGCCCTAAACGCAGCGCTAGGCACTCTGGGCGGCCTGGCCGCGGCGGCACTGGTAGCTTGGCCTTTGGCTATCTGGTATGAGGTAAGTTCTATACCATTGCAGGAACCCCAGGCATAATGTGCGGTGTGGTGCAAGACAGGGGCCCAACCTTCCGCCACCCGCCTTCCGCCCGCCACCGCCCTGCGCCCTCCGGGTGCTTCCATCCGCTCACATTTTGTGAGATGAACATCCACGCCAACTGCCTGCGCTGCCTGTCGCATGCGCAGGTGCGCAAGTGTGAGAAGCCCAAGCACACGGTCCTGCGCACGCTGGGGCAGAAGAAGGGGTGGTTTGGCAAGGTCCGGCCGGCGGCAGAGGTCCGCCTGTACTCTCCCTACCTGCTGGCTGAAGTGACACTGTCTGGCGGCAACATGGACAAGGCGCTGTCAGGTGGGTGCTGGCGTGCCCACCAGTACTGCAGAGGGACCTCAGCTGGCAAGCCATGCGACTGACCTGCTCTGCTTCCTGCTCTCGGCCCCCTCTTCTTCGCTGCTGCAGACGGCTTCCGCCAGGTGAGTGTGTGATGCAGCCGCTGCACACGGGCATGGCTTCTGCTCCCTGTGAATCAAGCTGATGAACTTCCAGGGCGGCGGGGGACCTGGGCTGACGTGTGCCACCGCGTTGCTGCTTGTTTCAGATCGCCGGCTTCATCTTTGGCAAGAATGTGGCAGCCGACGGCGCCTCCAGCAAGGTGGCCATGACCAGCCCCGTGACCCTGGAGATGGGCGGCGACAGCCAGAAGATCGCCATGACAAGCCCCGTCACCGCCGAAATGGGCCCAGGTGCGCGGCCAGGCCGGGCACCTCGAGCCCTTGGCGTGCGGGTTGCCGCCTGCTGGCTGTCGTGGCGTGCGTGTGGTTGACGGCTGCCGGCGCTGCTGGGCTGCATGGTTGAGGTGTGCAGGCAACGAGTTGAAGGTGTCCTTCATCATGCCCAGCCAGTACACCAAGGACACGCTGCCCAGGCCAGGTGAGCGGTGGCGCGCAGCCGCCTGCGCCTCTGCTGGCCTTGGCATGCTGGATGCTGCTGGCCTTGGCATGCTGGATGGGATGCCGCCCGGGGCCACGCCGCATTCCTTGACGATGCCGCTGCCATGCCGGCGTTGCGGCACCGCAGTCAACCCCAATGTGGTGATCAAGGAGATGCCGGCGCGCACGATGGCGGCGTTGGCGTGGCACGGCAAGCCCCCGCGCGAGGCGGAGGTGCAGGCCAAGGAGGCGGAGCTGCTGGAGCTGCTGGGCGAGGCGGGGCTCAAACCCAAGGGGCCCGTCCACTGCTGGCAGTACGACCCGCCGTGAGTTGCAGGAGGGCGGGTGGTGCTTGAGAACAGCATACCCAGTCCTGATACCCATGGCTGTCGCCCTGGCACCAAGGCAATCACCCACACTCGGCCTTGTGCTGCAGGTTCCAGTGGCGCTGGCTGCGCACCAACGAGGTGCTTTTTGAAGTTGAGGACGGCGCGACTGCCACCAGCTGATGAGGGGATTGTTGGGGAGGCACAGGCGTGCTGGCTTTCTCACGGCAACGCCTTGTCACAGACAAACGAATGTACCATAGAATTCAGGCCAACTGCATGTATAAAATGTCAGTGTTCATTCATTGTCCCGGTTTGTGTAAAGCTGCGCAGCAGTTCATTCAAAGTGGAGCACGCTTTAGAAGCCCCCCATGCCGCTGGCTCGGCGCAGCGCTTCGTAACTTGTCCAGAAAACCAGCTGCCAGGGCCCGAGCCTGGCCCAGGTTGGCAGGAAGCCGGCATACATGCCCCGCCATCCCTCTGCAATCCATGGCAGGCAATGAGCGTCAGCCGACCTCTGCATCGGGACCATGTCGCGCTGCTGCCTTCCTGCTGTCTTGCATGTCCTTTGGTAAACCCCGGCACTCCAGCCAAGCGCAGGGCCCACCTGTTCGCAGCGTGGCAGTGAAGCAGTGCAGCATGCCGCGGTAGGTGGGGTGCTGGTGATCCTGAGCCATCAACCGACTCTTCACGACGTCTGCTGGGGTGCTCACCACTGCGTGCATGCAATAAAGCAGGCCCCAGCAGCAGCGCACCACAAACGCGATGGGGTGCAAGGAGGAGTGGAGCAGGGTGGGAATGGAGCGGGGCCATCGCATGCATGCGACAGGCAAGGTATCCCGCTCGCTGTTGCTGGTGGCTGCTACCCACCGCTGGCACAGAACCCGCTGCACACGGAGCTGAGCGCATGAGCCCAAACATTGTCGCCCCCCGTCACGCCACTGTGGAGCACAGCCTGCTTTGCAGAGTCGTAGGTTGCCAGCTCTCCAAGGTTGACCAGCGCCGCACGCTGCACCGCGGGCAGGCTGCCCCGCCACAGCCCCACCATGCCCTGCTGCTGCACAATGGTGCTGAAGGCATGCAGAACGCCACGGTACCTGCAATTAGCACGACAAAGGATGACCCTTAGCGGCAAGCATGGCAAGCTGCGCATCGTAAATGCCATGCCGTCACTCACGTCCATTTTTTTCTCGCTTTTTTCTCACCTCCGATCCGCTTGCATGCGCACTTTAATTAAGTCCGCGGGGACTGCCACCAGCTGTGCCATGCCGCCTGAAGTCAGTCCGATTGCCAGGCTGGCAGGCAGCGGCAGCCTGGCGCTGGCTTGAGCGCCGGGGGCTGGCTGCAGCAGCCGCTGCTGGACTAGGCCGCGCAACTGTTCAAAGGCAATCACTCTGATGCCAGTGTATGGGACATGCCTCAGCACAGCCGGAGCCAAGCCGGCATACAGCCCCAGCAGGCCCTCGGTGCGCATCACGCTGGCAGCGGTGTGGTACAGGCCCGCCGGTCGCACACCCGCCACCTGCTGCTGCTGCCCCGCAAGCTGCAGCCGCGTTTTCAGCATGTCCAGCGGGTATGTGGCGGTCTCGGCGGCGCCGGCCGCCGCCGCCGACAGCATCAGCTTGGCAAGCAACCCGTGCTGCGCTTCTGCCATGGCAGGGGCGGTGGACGCCACCCGGTCGCACCGCCGCCGCCGCGCGGGGGCACAGGCGGCAGAGCCCAGGAACTGGACCGATCCAGGCTCCCAGAATTGTAGGGATGTAAACGTGAATTGAATAGCAGCAAAACCAGCAACAGGGAGGCGACGGGGGTTGGGCCGACGGGCATGCGTTGGTCTCAGCAATGTACCGTTTGCTGGCAGCAAACGTGGCCAAGATGTCGATCAAGTCGGTTGATCGTCGGCTTGACCAGGCTCCACTCTGAGCGCAGCACGCAGCAGCACCATCATCTAATACCCAAACCAACGCTTACCTCTGTCTAACAGTGCACAGCAGAGAGAAAGCGCTGCAGCAGCAGGCGTTGCGGATGCAAGCTAGGCTCATGGCCGCCACCTACGCGCAGCCCTGCGGCCTGGTGTCCCGCCCTGCTGCCACACCGCAGCGGGTCGCATTCAGTGCAGCAGGGGCTCGGGTGCTGGCGCGCGGGCGGCGGGCCAGGGTGGCCAGCGGCGGCGGCGGCGGCAGCGTGCAGGTAGGCACGGTCGTAACCCCGCCCCCTCATTTTCTGTATGCCTTAATAAGGGTTAAATAACCATGGTTAGCATACTTGGCTATTGCATGGTTAGAAAAATCTGTAGCCCACCCAAAGCCCCGCTATACCGTACTATGCCGTTAGTATGCCATAGTAACCGTACTATGCAACGGCAACGGCTCGTTGAATATGCCATAGTAACTGGTTAGTATGCCGTAGTAACTTAGTTATTAGTAACTGGTTAGTAACTGGCTAGTATGCCATAGTAACTGGTTAACCAAGTATGCCATAGTAACTGGTTAGTATGCCAATAGTAACTGGTTAGTATGCCAATAGTAACTGGTTAGTATGCCATAGTAACCGGTTAGTATGCTTAACCCTTTGACTCGTTATGGTGAATCCCATCCCTACGTGCAGGCCCCCTCCCTGGACGACCTCCGGGCGGGGCTGCAGGAGGCCATCAAAGCCGAAGACTATGGCACGGCGGCCAGGATCAGGGACCGCATCGCCCAGGTGGAGCAGGAGGACCCGGTGGTCACAGCGGAGCGGGAGCTGGAGCAGGCGGTGGCGGAAGAGCGGTTTGAGGTGGGCAGCCAATCAGCAGTGCGTCCATTGCCTGCCCAGCCCGGCACCAGTGTCTCTAGCCGGTTGGACCTTCGTGTCACAACAGCTCATTGGCCAGAGGTTAAATGGGGCAAAATGGTGTCTCTCTGCAGCACGCTCACCCTCCCTCCCTCACCTGCATGCTCCGCCCCATGTGCCGCAGGACGCCGCCAAGCTGCGTGACCGGCTCAAGGAGCTGCGGCCCCCGCCGCCGCCCCCTCCCGCTGTGCCCGCATTCGACACCACTGCCACCACCACCAGCGAGGAGGTGACGGATGGCGTACGCGTGGTCTGTCGCTCCTTCTTCGTTCCCAGCGAGAGCTCGCCCGCCCGGGGCGCATACTTTTTTGGGTGAGGAGAGGCAGCCAGTGGCGCCAGCTCTGCATCCTGCTGCAACTGGCACAGAGCCTGCAGCCACCGTTGAACTCTGCTGCGCCTGCACTTGACGCCCTGGCCCGCCTGCAGCTACCAAATCAGCATCACCAACGAGAGCCAAGATACCGTGAAGCTGATGGAGCGGTACTGGCACATCACAAATGGGTGGGTTGGGCAGGCAGGCAGGCTGGGCATTCAGGCAGACGGGCAGGTGGCAGGCGCTTACCTGTTCCAAACCTGGTCTTCCAAGCTTGTGTATTGCTGTGCCGAGTGTGCTTGCTTGATGTGCTGGCTGGCTCCGCCCCAGCAGCTCCCGCCGACTGCTGGTCCCTTCCCGTGCTGCCTGCCCTGCAGGCAGGGGCAAAGCCAGGAGGTGCGGGGCCCGGGCGTGGTGGGCGAGCAGCCCGAGTTGGCGCCAGGCGAGACTTTCCAATACCAGTCTGCGTGCCCGCTGCCCACGCCGCGGGGTAAGATGAAGGGTCACTTTGAGTTTTACGCGCGAGACGAGGAAACGCGGCAGTGGAACAGGTCCTTCCTGGTGAACATCGGCACCTTTGAGCTGCGTTCGGATGTGTGATGGAACCACTTTCGCCACCTTGTCCCACGCCTCTTGAATGTGCGCTGCCCTTCCTCTGCTTCCTGTTCTCCATCTTCTCTTTCTGAATGCCTGAATGAATGCACACAATCACTAGTCTTTACATCGTCTGTTGTCAGCCTTTTCCATTTCTGTTCCACTTGCCTGCTGAGCTTCTGAGCTCCTCTGCAGCATCGTCCATTGCCAACCTGCTGGTGCCTGCTAACACGGTCCTCTCACTCACCTTGCCACGACTCTCAGCGTCTGCTATGCAAGTTAGTTTACAGAAGGCAAATGCTACAGCGGGGTGCTGCTAGTGCTACAGCGGGTGTGCCTCTGCGGGGCTGCTGTCAACTCGTGTGCGGAAGCAGGCAGGCAGCGCTTCATTGTCAGCAATCAAACAAACATGGGTGGCCCCGCGGAAGGGGGCCGCAGAGGGAAGCAGACAGGGAGAACAGATGGGGCACGGCTGGAGAGCCGTGCCCACATTCATTGGCGAAGCGCCGGCGGACAGCCGCTGAGGCGGCCCGCCGCCTCCTCGCCAGGTGCCGCTGCACCGGCGCTTGCTATGTGCTAGGTCTGAGTCAGGTGCGTGGCTTGGGCAGCGCTGCCAGCTGCAGCTGGCGTCCTCATGCCGTGATGTCCTTGCTGCGCTTGGCGGCGGAGGGCACGCCGGAGCTGTCGGCCTTGCGCTTGCCGCCGCGCCCGCTCTCTGCAGGGAATCAGCAAGGGGAGCCACGCCAGCGAGGTGCGCACGGCATTCAGCCACCCAGGCGAGCCATCCCGCGGCCGCAGCTGCACCCTGCTTGCCTCCATCGCAACAGCCCAGCCCTCCACCACACAGGCCATCCACCACCAACAAGCGCCCACCCCACGCACCCGAGGGCGCCTGGCTGTCGCCGCCGCCGGCCTTCTTGGGGCCGCGCGCCTTCTTGGCTCCCGCCGTCGCGTCGTCCTCCTCGTTCTCCTTCTCAATCAGGCGGATAAGGGTCTCGCAGCGCCGCGACAGCTCCTGAGGCGTGCGGCTCTTGAAGAACCAGTCGAAGCGGAAGCGCCAGTGGTTGCGGATCTCCGCCTTGAGCTCGTCCCACGCGCCATACCCCAGCTTGTGCATCATGCACACCTGCGGGGGGTGGGTCCGGTGTGCATGTGTGTGCGTGGCTGGGTTGGGGGTGGTGAGGACACGCGTGCATGTGTCGCATGGCAGCGTGGCGCGAGCATCCACCAATGCCACACGGAGCAAGCAGAGGCAGCAGTGCGTGGCGGCATCCCGCCACCCACCAGGAAGCGGTCCTCCTCTTCGGTGTACGCCTTGCCCTTGGCGGGACCGTACTGGATCTTGAGCTCCTGCACCAGGTTGGAGCAAGCAGCGGAGCGTGTGCATGCATTGAGTGAGCAGCAGGGCGGGCTATGGCAGGCACAGCCCTGCGTCCACAGCACACCGCAGCGCAGGCCTGCCGCACCTGCCACGGGTTCTTGTACTTCTCCAGCTTGGTGGCGATGGCCTGCATGATGTCCTGCTGCCGCTGGATGCGCTGCTCGCCGCGCTCAATGTTCTTGATGTACTGCGGGCGGTACATGGTGCACATCGCGGTACAAGTCAGGGAAAACGAGTTTCCCGGCGCACCGCTTGGAGCAACCGCCAGCAAGCGGCGACCGCCAGCGGCAGGCGCAGTTCCCAGCCCCATGTGCCGCCAGCAGCTGAGTCGCAGGCGCCAGCTCAGCAGCTACCCACCCACCTTCTCGTGGTCGTTGATCTCGGTGTACCGCTCCCAAAACACCTTGGCATACGCGCGCACCTGCGCAAGGGGCGGGAAGGAAATGCGTCATGCGTGTGAGTTCGGGGGGTGACGGGGCGGGTTAGGGGACAGCAGCAGCGGGCGGCCCGTCGCTGCTCCATGCCCCTGCCCACCCCCAACTGTGCTTTGCCACAGCCCCAGCCGTACCCCACACCAGCACACACACACACGCGGCCCCGCACCTCCTCCTCGCTCTTGGTCTCGATGTCTCGCGCGATGTCTGCCAGGCTGGCGCGCCCGTACTTCTCGCAGGCGCGCACAAAGGCATTGAAGTCGCGGCGCATCCAGTTGGAGAAGCCCTCCCCCAGCAGCGCGTCGCGCTCTGGCAGAGGTAGGGAGGCAGGGAGGGTAGGAAGGGAGGGAGGGCATCGTGAGGCGGGAGGGACGCAGGATATGGCAAGGCAGGCGCAGGAGTGTGGGCCTTTCTTCGCTGTTTTCTTGGCCTCCTCCTTCCACATCTCCTTGCCACCACCACCCAGTGCACCAGCGCTGCCCCGCACCCGCCAACTCCTCCTCCGACAGCGGCTGCGGGTCGTCCTCCTTGGGCGCCATCTCCGCCGCAATGGTCTCGTCGCTGGCGCCCTGCTTGCGCATGGTGTCCTCGCGCTGCGGGCAAGGGGGCGCAGGCAGCGTGGGGGCGCCGGTGGCATGCTGCTGGCGGACACGCAACCTCACCCAGCACTCCCTCTCAGCAGAAGAAACGCGATGGCCTATCATCCACAGCGAGCAGGAAGGCGCCGCCCGATGCCAGGCATCCAGCGCTTCAGTCAGCGGACCCTGCCCTTGGCTGCCTGGGCTGCCCCGCCCGCCCTCTCACCTGCGCCTGCGCATGCTTGTGCACCTCATATGTGTTGTCCTTCTCGTACAGCTCGGTGAGGCGGGCGACGTTGAAGAACTGGAAGTCCTGCGGTACACATGGGGCGGTACAGGACGGGGGTCGGGCGAGAGCCGATGAGGAAAGCCCAGCAGCCAGCCAGGCGCTCCCTCTGATCATCCACCGCGCCCCAGGCACGCCCCCAGCTTGAACATCCCTGCCTGCCCATCCCGCCAGCGCGGCGGCGTGCCTGCAGTGCGGGCATCTTTGGCAGCTTGGGCCCCGTGTTGCGCGGCCCGTACTCCCGCTTCTGCAGCGCCATGCGGTAGAACTCGTTCTCTGCGTAGCTGGCCACGCGCTTGCGCTCGCGCTTGGGCGGATCCACCCAGTTGGCGCCTGCGCCAGGGAGCGTGTGGGCAGGCGGGAGGGGAGGGGAGCGCAGTGAGGGGAGGGGCAGGGCTTCGGATTTCAAACAGGGGTGGAGTGCGAGAGGACGGCGGCCCTTCAGTAAATGTGAGAAGCGGAAAGGGGGGAGAGGAGCACAGTGGGGCCGGGTGGGCAGGGGAGCGCGTGCGAGCGCAGCGCCGGCGCCGCCCACCCATCAGCGCCTTGAGCTGCTCAATCTTGGCCAGGTCGGCGTCGCCATCCTCCGCCCCCTCCTTGTCCTCGGCAAACTCGTAGGCTGCAGGCGCAGGGGGGAAGGGGAGGCAGGTGGGGCAGGGGCAGGCAGGCAGGAGCAGGCAGGCAGGCAAAGCGGCGCGCGCACCTCACAGGCGCCCCCACGGCGCGCCCCGCCCAGCCCAGCCCCACGTGCTGCCCAGCCCAGCAGCGCGCCAAACCCGGCGCCCGCCCCCAGGGCGATGCAGCCAACAGGCATCGGCGGCGGCAGCGGCGGCGGCGGCAGCCCCGGGCCTGCTTTCTTTCCCCCCACCCACCCGAGATGCCTCCATCCATGGTGAACTTCATGGCATCGTTGGAGAAGTTCTGCAGCTTGTCGTTCAGCTCCTTGGTGGCGGCCTCGCCCTATAGGGCAGGGGAGGGGGCGCATGCGCGCGTATGTGTCTATGTGTGGCATGCGTGTGGCATCAGCCGGCTGTGGCACGTGTGCCCCGGCACACACGCAGGCTGGCAGCGCAGCACGCCGGCCGGCCAGCAGCGAGGGCGCAGCCACGCGTGCGCGGCAGGGAGGCGGGCGGGCCGCCACCACCCTCACCTTGGCGATCAGCGCATCCACGTCCTCATCTGTGATGTTGGCGGCCTCTGAGGAGAAGACGCGCTCGGCGCCGTACCGCACCTGCGCGCCGCAGGCGGGGGGTGCAGGGCCGCGGTGAGGAGGCGAGGCACCAGGCCGCCGGCGCAGCGCCGGCCAGCAGCGGCGAGGGCGGGCGGGGCGTGGAGGCCCAGCAGCATCGCAGCTCCAGCCCCCAGCCAATGGCAATGCCCCCAGCCAGCCGCCAGCCAGCGGCGAAGCCCCAGCCAGCCGCCAGCGGAGCCGCCAGCCACAGGCAGGCAGCCCACCATGCTGAGCAGGTCCTCTTTGTTCACGCTCTTGGTGTTCTCCACCAGGCGGCCCTGCTGGATTACCAGCGCATCCAGGCGCAGCTTCTTGTACGCCTTCTCAATCACCTGCGGGTGGCGGCGGCGGCGGCGGCGGCGGCGGCGGCGGTTGGTGGGAGGGGCATGCCACAGATGAACAGGAGGGGGGCATCCCAATGCGCGCGAGGGCAGGGCAGCGCCGCGGGATGGGCCCGGCAACTAGCTTGGCGAGCGGGTAGAAGCGGGAGGGCGGTGGTGCAGGGCAGGCTTGCAGCCGCCAACACATGCTGCGGTGCACCAGCACCACGCCCGTGCCCCGCAGCTGCCGGCACTCGCCTTCTCCTCGATGGAGTGGTCTGTGCAGAAGCGGAACACCTGCACCTCCTTCTTCTGCCCAATGCGGTGCGCCCGGTCCATGGCCTGCAGGTCCATCTGCGGGTTCCAGTCTGCAGCGGGGGGGCGGAGGAGGCGAGGGGCGGGGCAGGGGCACGCAGGCGTCAGAGAGAGCGGCAGCGTCGGTGCAGCCTCCGGCTGCGCAGGCGGCGGCCGGGCAGCGGGGCAACCCACATCAGCGGCTTGGCGCGCGGATCGCCGCAGCTGCGACTCTCCACCCGGTTCTGCAGCCAGCCAGCCAGCCAGCCAGCCCAGCCAGCCCAGGCCAGGCACCCAGGCCGGGGGCACCCACCCGAGTCGTACAGAATGACGATGTCTGCAGTGTACAGGTTGATGCCCAGGCCGCCGGCGCGGGTGGACAGCAGGAAGACAAACTTGTCGCTGCCGTCCTGCGGGGCGGGCGCAAGAGGAGCAGGCGCGTGGTTGGGGGGCATGGTTCGGGGAGCGGCATGGAGCCAGGGGTGCGGCTCGATCCAGGCGGCAAACACAGCGCCGAAGCCGAGGCCGCCAGGGGTCACACCCTGACCGCCACCTGCCCACACACACGTCGCCGCAGCCCCACATATCCACCCTGCCACCACTCGCCTTGTTGTAGTCATCGATCTGCGACTCCCGGTCCTCCCCGCTGGTGTTACCGTCGATGCGGCAGTAGCCGTACTGGCGGTACAGGCAGTAATCCTCCAGGATGTCGATCATACGCGTCATCTGCGAGAAGATGAGCACGCGCGAGCCGCGGCTCTGCAGCTTGGGCAGCAGCTTGTCCAGCAGCACCATCTTGCCTGCGGCAGGGGCGGGGCGGTTGGTGGTGGTGGTGGGTGGGTGGGGCAAGAGGACATGGGCGAGTGGATTGATTGTGTGGTGAGAGGGCACACATGGCTGGGTTGCCTGGCTTCTGGCCCCCTGGCCATGCCGCGCGCAAGGGCCCCACCCCCCGCTCACCCGCATTCTCGACCAGATGGTCCCCTGTGAGGTAGGGCGGGCCCGGCTCCGCGCCCTGGAACAGGTAACTGCAGGAGATGTGGCGGGAGGAGGGAGCAGGGGCTGGTTTAGAGGACCCTACTGATGATCACAGCTGAACGGAAGCGAGGCAGGGCCCGCAAACCAGCAGCGACACCCCCCCCTCGAGGTCCCAGCAGCGTCTCCCGGTGGCAGCAGCGGGCGGGCGCGGCGGCTCACGGGTGGTTGCAGCACTTGCGCAGCTGCATGACGATGTTGAGCAGGCGGGAGCGGTCGGCGCCGCCCGTCACCGCATCCATGTCCTTTTGCAGCAGGGCCGCATAGTACTTGCGCTGCAGGTGGGGTGGGGGTGGGGTGGGGGTGTTCAGGCGTGAGGGCAGATGAGTGTAGACTGATGGGTGATGGCGCGGGAAACAGGTGCGAGGGCTGTGAGGAGAGGAGCAGTAGGTGTGGAAGCACAGCCCTCCCGCATCTCCCCACCTGCATCTCGCTCATGCCAATCTTGAGGATGGTTTCCTTCTTGGGCGGCAGGCTCTTCTCCACGTCGCTCTTCAGGCGGCGCAGCAGGAAGGGGCGCAGCACCTTGTGCAGCTGCTGCACCACCTCCGCCTCCCCCTCCTTGCTGTCGCCCATCTGGAACCACTCGTCAAACTTCTCGGCTGCACGCAGGGGCGGGAAGGTGGTGGTGGTGGTGGTGGTGTGGATTGGTGTGGTGGTGGTGGTGGTTGCTGGGGGAGGGTGGATCAGAGGAAGCGACAATGCAGGGCAGAGCGCACACACGACACAGGCGCCCAAGGCGGCAGGGTGAGCACAGCGGTGACCGGCGCCTGCCCTGCCAGCGGCCGGCCCGGCTGCCCGCCCACCTGAGGAGAAGACCTCTGGAAGCAGGAAGTTGAGCAGCGCCCACAGCTCGTGCAGGTTGTTCTGCAGCGGCGTGCCAGTGATGAGCATGCGGTAGTTGGTCTTCAGCAGGCGCACCACCTGCGATGGGAAGGGAGGTAGGCACGGCACATGTCAGCAGGGCGGAGACCCCGGCCGCGGGCCTAGGTGCAAGGTGGGCGGATGCAACCGCAGGCTGGAGGCTGGAGGGTTGGGGAATTGGTTTGAGAGCGCTGCGCCGGCGCCCGCACCTGGGACAGGCGCGAGTTCTCGTTCTTGATGCGGTGCGCCTCGTCGATGATGATGTACCGCCAGTGGAACTTGCGCCAGTGGTTCTTTTCCTGCAGGCAGGCAGGAAGGCGGTGGCGGCAGCCGGCTAAAATCAATGCCCGGCGAGGCGAGACGTTGCCGCGACCTGCTGGCTGGTGCCACCGTGTGTCCTGACGCATCGCTGTCCCTGGACCGCCTCTCCCTCCCTCCCTCCCACACTGCCCCATCTCAGGTTTTTCTCTCCCCCCCACCTTGATGACCATCTCGTAGGAGGTGACCACCACGTCAAACTTGCCGGGCTGGCAGATGCCGTTCTTCTGGTTCTCCTGCAGGCAGCACACGCGCAGCGCGGCGCGGAGAGGGCGGCGAGGGAGGGTGACGAGTGGGCGTTGTCGATGGGTGGGGCAGGCAGGAGCAGGCGGCTGCTCCCACGGCAGGCGAGTCCAGGCGCCCCTCCCTTGGCTGCCAAGGCCAAGAAGCACTGCTGCCCGCTGGCTCTCCCTGCACCCACCCCCTTACCACCCACCCCCACGTGCCGCCACACAGCCCCGCGCCACCCACCCGCTCCTCCCTGTTGCCGTGGAACTTGACCGCCTTGATGACGGGGCACCAGCGCTTGAACTCGTTGAGCCAGTTGTGCAGCGTGGACTTGGGCACGATGACCATGTGGGGCCCAGTGATGCCGCGGAACTCGCGCAGGTAGCCCAGCAGGGATATGGTCTGCAGCGTCTTGCCCAGGCCCTGCGGGGGGTGGAGGCAGGAGGGAGGGGGGAGCGGAAGCAGGGGTGAAGGGCAGCGTGGGAGCGGGGTGAAGGGTCGCCGCTAGTGCCTGCCAAGGCAATCGCCTCTGCCACAGCCAGGCACAGCTGGGTCCCGTGCCTGTACCCCTCACCACCAGTACTCAGCACTGCCACCACCAACACACGACCACACCCAGCCACCAGGCCCAACCCTCACCATCTCGTCTGCCAGGATGCCGTTGATGCCGTTGTCGTACAGGTGGATGAGCCAGTTGAGGCCCTGCAGCTGGTACTCGCGCATCTTTCCTCCCGAGATCACGCTGGGCTGCACCTGCAGGCGGTGCCCCGCCCCCTCGCCGCCGCCCTCCTCGTCGCGCAGCAGCTCCTCATCCTCCTGCTCCTCGGTGTACCCGGCCGCGTGGCGGCCCCGCTTCTTCTTCTTCTCCTCGCCCGCGGCCGCCTTGGGCGCAAAGTGCTGGAACACCTCCGCCTGCTTGAGCAGGAACTGCAGGCGCCTGCGGCCGCGCTCCGCCTGCAGCACAGCAAAGTCGGAGAGGTGGTGCGGTGAGGACGGGCACGAGGGAATGACGTGGGGGGCGGTTGGCGGCGGGCTGCAGGAGCAACCGAGCGGCAACCGTTCCAGTGTGTGCCCAGTGCAGCTCTCCCCTTGGAGTGCCCGCTGCCGGCCAATCTGCGTGCTGCCATCAGGGATACACAGAACCGCTGCGTGGGGGGCCACAGACCTCGCCCTTGGCGGCGTCAGTGTTCTGCGTCGTCCGCATCACCTCCAGCTGCTCCCGCCGCAGCTTGTCCTGCGCCTTGAGGCGCTCCCGCTCCTTCCGCGCAATCTCGCGCGCCATGGCGGACTCCAGCTCCTGCAGGTGCGGCGGCAGAGTGAGAGCGCGGCAGCAGCAGCAGGAGGGAGCCCATGGCTGCTGCACCCCCAGCACAGCACTTGGCAAGCCCCCAGCGCCCCGATTTAAACGTCTGGGGAGATTCCCACCTCCTCGGGCGCCTCCTCCTCCGTGTCATACTCCTCCGTGGGCTCCTCATCGCCCAGCTCAGTGCTGGCCTCCTGATCGGCCTCAACGAAGTCTTCGTCGGGTGCAAAGCCCTCGCTATCAGACCCAGACATCGCCTGGTCCTTGTCCTGGGCAGACATGGCTGGCCGGGTTGATGGCTGTGTGAGACGCCTGCTCCCAACGCCGCCTGCTGGCCCCGTGCGCTGCCCTACAGGCCTCAACCAATTGGTGCACCTTGTGGGCGAATGCTGGAGCGTCGCAGAGCGCGGGAAGGGGTGGACAGGGCCTGTACTGCCTGCCGTGATGGCTTTAAATAGAAGGCCCACGTTTGGCGCCCCTTCATGCGTTTCCTCGTCACTGGGATTGCCCCGACGCTGCCACACGCCGCGCAGGTATCAGCTTCCTCTGTCAAGGCCAGTCAAAATGCGCCTGAGGCCCTCTACCTTCCCAGCACACCCTAGGCACTGCTGCCACTCTTAGGTTGGGCTGGACGTCCAGCGCCGGCAGCCGGGCTGCACAGCCTGCCCGCTCTAGATTATGGCGGCGACAGCGCCGCTGCCGGTGCCTATCGCGGACGGCACAGTTCGCGACAGATATGGCTTCCCGGTGGGTTGCATGCACAGCTGTGCTGTTAAGAGTTGACAGAGCATATATGTGAGCCATCCGCTGCCACGATGGTTGCAGGTGAAGCGTGAGCTGCAGCACCTGTACCTGCACCTTGCGCCGGTACTGGCGGAGGAGGAGGCGGAGAGGTGCGAGCGGTGGGATGAATACCTGAAGGAGCTGCGCCAGCTGGTGCCCAGGTGGGTCTGTGGGTCAGGCAGGTGGCAAGGCCATGGGCTTCCTTCCATCCTGCTTGCAGCGCTCCACCACCGTCTTGGAACCAACCCGCTCCCCTGCCTGCCTGTGCAGCGTGGAGGGCGAGGGCGAGGTGGAGCTGCTGCGTGGGGTGCTGTCGCACCTGGATCCCAGCACCAGCGAGGGCGAGCCCCCCGCGCAGGCCGCGGCGCTGCTGCAGCGCCTCAGCAGCCTGGTGCAGGCGGGGCTGCCCATGTCGAAGCGCGGGGCGCTCTGGTGCCTCTTCCTCAACGTCGACGCCAAGCGGCGGGAGGGCGAGTATCAGCGGCTGGTGGCAGAGGTGGAAGCCATCGAGGCGGCCTGCAGCGCCGACGCCAGCGGCGGTGCAGCTAGGGGCGACAAGGATCATCATCATCATCAGCAGCAGCAGCGGGTGGTCAGCGTGGTGGCGGATGCGAGCAGCGGCGCGGCCGAGGCGCAGTACCAGCACTACCGCCACCTCCAGCACAACTTCCACGCGGTGGTCGACGTCTTCTCTATCGTCCAGCTGGATGCTGACGAGTCGCCACGCTGCACGCCCGCCAAGCCAGCCGGCAGCGGCGCAGGGGCCCGCAACTCCCCCAGCCCACAACCGGCAGCGGCAGCGCAGCCTGCGGCGGCAGCCGTCGCGCCAGAAGCTGACGAGCGCTCGCCAGTGGCCACGCCGGCGTCCACGCTGCACATTCCCCATGCTTGCAGCACGCCCAGCAGCAGCAGCGGCTGCGAGGGCGACCTCGTGCCAGACGCTGCGGCGGCACGCTGGCGCCAGCAGGAGTACCTGTCGCAGATTGACAAGGACCTGCACCGCACGTTCCCGGGCCACCCGTGCATGGACCTGGGGGGCCGCGCCGCGCTGCGCCGCATCCTGTCGGCGTACGGGCAGCGCAACCCTGCTGTGGGGTACTGCCAGGGGCTGAACTTTCTGGGGGCCACCTTCCTGCTGCTGCTGCCCGAGGAGGAGGCCTTCTGGTGCCTGGCGGCGCTGGTGGAGGACCTGCTGGGCACAGCCTACTTTGATGAGCGCATGGCGGCGCCGCAGGTGGGGCTGGGGGCCGGGTTGGTGTGTGTGGGGGAGGCTTGGTGGCAACAACGCCGTCAGTCGCTGCCATCGGGTTGAGTATCGTCTTGTGGTGTGCTGTGCCTGTGCAGGTGGATGTGCTGGTGTACGGCCACCTCCTGCAGGGCCGCTTCCCCACGCTGTGGCGCCACCTGGCTGCGCTGGAGGTGGACGCCGCCTCCGTCACCCTCCACTGGTTCCTCCTCTGCTTCCTCAACTCCCTGCCCCTGGACAGCGCGCTGCGGGGTGAGGCCGGGCCAGTGCCTGCTCGCCTGCTGGAAGCCATGGATGCAGGCTGCCTGCCTGCCAGACGCCTGCACTCATGTGTACCATGCCTGCTGCCTCCCCACCTGCTGCACTCCGCCTTGCCGCAGTGTGGGACCTGCTGTTCTTTGAGCACTCGCCTGTGGTGCTGTTCCGGGTGGCGCTGGCTCTGGTGGAGATTTACGAGCAGGTCAGCACAGGCCCCTGGCGGCCCTGGGTCCCAGCCATTGCGCCCTCGTGCCACAGCCGAAAGCCCCGCCCCGCCCTCGGCCACCCTCGCACCTCGCCGCCGCCGCCGCTGCTGCCCCCTGCAGGCGCTCATGTGCAAGGAGGAGAGCAGTGACGCCTACATGCTCCTCCAGTGGTGCGCCCAGATGACCTTTGACGGCAGCCGCCTGGTGGACACGGCCACCATCGGCTACGCCCACCTGCGCCCCACTGGGCTGGATGCCCTGCGCAGCCGCTACCGCTCGGCGGTGATGGAGAACCTGAGGGTGGGTGCCCCGCCCAAGAATCAACATGCCTGGCTGGATTTGAGCCACAGGCAACCTGCCTGGAAATGCATCGCCCTGGTGGCACAACAGCTGCCTTCAACCGCACTCCGCCGCCTGCCGGGCGCTCGCAGGCCTCCTTCTCCTCAGACGACGACTACAGTCGCTACATGGACAGCCAGGGGTCGTCCCCAGCAGGCGCAGCACCACCGTTTGGGGAGACCTTCCAGCGCGTCAGCTCCGCCGTGCTGGCAGCAGAGGAGGCTGCCCAGCGTGCGGCAGCGGCTGTCGGGGCAGACAGCGGCCACCTGTCGGTGTCGGGAGGCAGCCAGCGCAGCAGCCCTGGTGCCGCCAGCGCCGGCAGCCAGCCTGCCAGCCCGCTGGTGCGCATGCGGCAGGCAGTCAGCGGGTTGACCTCACGCCTGATGCCATCAGCGCTGCCGCCCCTGCTGCCCGCCGGCGCGGTGAATGCCAGCGGGCAGGAGCAGCAGCCGCTGTGCAGGGCAGCGCCGGCTGCGGCGGCACGGCGGTCTTTGCAGCCGGCTGCGGAGCTGCCGCCTGCTGCTGCGGTGGGCGGGAGCAAGGGGAAAGGCCTTCACGTGCGGACCAGCAGCATCGGCGGGGCCAGCCATGCCAGCCCCAGCCCTACCGCCGCCCTGAGCCACTCTGCAGGCACCGGTGCAGCGCTGGGCAGGCATCCCGATGGGAAGCTGCTCACCCCATTCAGCGAATTGGAGCCTCTGGTTGCAGCTGCCCCGCTGCCGGATGGAGCTGTGTCCTGGACGCCGCCGCAGCGCCGGCCGCTTGCGGCTGCCAGCCCCGGCGGCGGCGGCGCGGCGCCCTGGCCAGCCAGCGCTGCGGCAGCGTTCCAGTCCATGCCCGCCACACCCTCTGAGCTGCTGCTGCCGCTGCCACCGCCGTCGGCCACCCACCGCCGTGCCCTGACTGCCGGCGAGCCCCACAGCCGGGCAGGCACCCACAGGCGGCGGCGCCGCCTCACAATCGACCTCCTCAACCTCGCCGACCTGCGCCCAGACCTGGCACAGCCTGGCGTGGCTGCCGCGCTGGCCATCGCCGCCAACCCGTCGCCCAGGGCTGGCGGCCAGGGGTGCGGCAGCGCAGCGCGGCTGCGCCTCAGTGCGGCGGCGGTGCCGCCGCTGGGCGTCGCAGCAGCGTGCGCTGGCGGGGACGCTGCCGATTCGTGTGGTGCTGGCAGCAGCGGCCCTGGTATCGGCGACGCGGGGGAGGATCTGGCCCTGCCCATCCGCACGCTGCACTTTGAGGATGCCGCTGATGGGCTCAGCAGCAGTGATGAGGATGATGCAGGAAGCAGTGGTGAGCGGGTGTGCTGCTCTCCCTTGCTCCGTGCTTTTGCTGGCTTCCCGTGTGGACCACATGGCCCAGCCACTCCTGGCCTGGGTGGCAACAGCGGTCGATATTGATGCCCAGCTTTGCCGATCCGATGCTGCAGGCAATCCGGGCGTGCACCGCACTACCACAGCGCCGCCCTTTGCCCTGCTGGCGGCTGCCCGCCCATCCGCAGCCACGGTTGGCAGGCGAGCAACCGACCCCGTTGAGGCTGCAGGGGTGGCCAGCGACGGCAGCGGCAGCAGCAGCAGCACACCGCCGACGGCGGCGGGAGCGGGGCTGGCGGTCTCTGAAGCATCGCTTGACCACCGCGCCGGCCCAGCGCCTACCCCTGGCGCTGGGATGCAGCTTCCCGCATGCCTGCCTGCCAGCCCCGGCCGCGGCGACCAGCAGGGCCCTGCGCTATCTGCCGTCATCGCCCAGCTGCAGGAGGAGGTGGCGCTGGCGGAGAGCCGGCGGCACGACGCCGAGGTGGCGGCGCAGCAGGCGCAGCAGACGGCGGCCGACTTGCGCCGCCAGCTGGACAAGGTGCAGCGCCAGGTGGCCGCCAAGCGGGCGCTGCTGGCGGAGCTGGAGGCGCGGCTGGAGGCCACCACCGAGGCGGAGGGCGAGGCTGCGGCCCGGCAGATGGCGGCGGAGGCGGAAGAGGCGCGGCTGGAGCGGCAGCGCCGCCAGCTGGGCGCAGCAGACACCCTCATCCAGCGGCTGATGGATGCAGTCGGCGCCGCCACGGGGCGCCGCGCCACCGCATCTTCCGCCACCAGCAGCGGCATGTCGGTCGGCAGCGGCGCCGGCTCTACCAGCAGCAGAGGGGCCGACGCCGCGAGCGCTGCCAGCAGCCAGCCGCCAGCCAGCCCGCAGTCGTCTTGCGGCAGCAAGTGCAGCGCTCCGCCCAGGGCAGGCAGCCCTCTGTCCCTCTCCTGAGCTTGTTCGTAACCCTTAACTTCGTATCCAGTTTTGCGTGTGCCCAGATTGCCGGCACCCCCGCCCTGTCATTCTACCTTTGCGCTTTAGGTGATTCTGTTTACATTGAAGACTGCAGATACTGACTTTGTTACAGCTCCAACACTTGCCTACTCGTAGCCCTGTAAAACCGGAACGTGACTGCCAGTTGCCTACAACACGAGCGGCTGCTGCTGCGGCAAGCGCTGAGGCGATGCGACCGCCGCCGCTGCCCGCCGCTGCTGCTGCTGCGCTGCTGCCGCCGGCCCTTCCAACGGCTCCACGCTGATGAAGCGTCGCTTGGTGCGGGGGTTGCGGCTGAACTGGACGTGCCCCTCGATCAGCGAATAGATGGTGTGGTCGCGGCCCTGCCGGGGCATGGGGCAGGAGGTGCGGGGGTGAGCGCCAGCCAGCAGCGGCAGGCCTGGTGATGGGGTGGGCAGTGCAAGCTGTGCACATCAGCAATGGGCGTGCAAGGCGGGCAGAGGGGCCTGCGCACCATGCCCACGTTGTCTCCCGGATGGAACTCGGTGCCGCGCTGCCGCATGATGATGTTGCCGGGGATGCACCGCTGCCCGCCAAACAGCTTGACGCCCAGGTACTTGGGGTTGGAGTCCTTGGTGTTCTGCGTGGAGCCGCCCTGCTTCTTGGAGGCAAAGCGCAGCTGCTGCCGCTGCGCGCCCGCTGCCGCCGCCGCAGGGGCCGCACCGCCGCCGCTGCACTCGGCTGCCGCGGCGCACCCCGCTGCAGCGGCAAACGTGGGGCATGCAAGGGAGTCGGGTGTGAGCACCCTTGCAGCGCAAGAGCAGCTCTGCAGCGGGCGTTGACAGCAGGGGCTCAGACTCACCCTCAGCGTCGCGGACGGCTGCCAGTTGTTGGCAGCTCCTGCCCACGTGCCTCCATGCTGCTGTCAGGCGCTGCATTGGAAGGGTTTGCCCACTGGTATTGGCGGCAGGTGGCTGGTCGAGCTCTGGCGACACTTCTTGGCGTGGAGGAAGAAGCAGGATGCAGGGATGTCCATCCTGTGCGATCGAGCGTGCTGAGTGCATTTCCTGCTGACCTGGCTAAATTGTTTCCATTCCTGCCTTGGATGCATCCAGCTTCCATTCTCAATCGCATCCACTGAAGAAGTCAATTTGCACTTGCTATCAGTCTGCACGATGGCTGCGGCGCACTGGCGGCAGGAATTGTTCTGCAAGTCCACACAGCGCGCCAGGGAGCTGATTCCCTTCCTCCTGGAGCAGCACAGGATCTGCGGGCTGAACATGCCAAACAAGGCGAGGCACTGGCCCATGGCAGCGGTCGGCGGGCGGTGGTGCGGTCGGCGGTGTGCCGGTGTCAACTGGTCTTGCTTGCTGCCTGTTTTGGCCCTGGTCTGTCGCCAATCTTGCTGATGCAAAAGTTGTGCCATCGCAAGCGAGCTTCGTCGAACCTTTCAAATGCCCCCCCCCCCCCCCCCCTTGAATGTTTTTGGGCGGTGCCCACCTCCTCGTGCGCCTCTTCCTCTGCTCCCCAAACTCCTCCCTGAAAGCATGACATCAAAAGACAGCCGCCGCCTTCCCATCATGCGTGCCTGCAGGCCCGGGGGGAGCTGCCGGGGCTGCTGGAGCGCGCCCGCCTGCTGAGCTCGGCGCTGCCGCACGCCGACATCTGCTGCCACTTCTCCATCAGCCACAACTACTCGGGGTCGGCAGCCGCCGGCTTTGCGGCGCTGACCAACTTCTGCCGGCAGCTGGCCGGCATCCAGGGGTGCAGCCTGCTGCTGGTCAGCGGCGGCGGGCGGCGCAAGCAGCTGGACTCGCTTCGGGTGGGTGGGCGGGGCCGCCTGCCAGCCTGCACCTCATGCCTCCATCCAGCGGCAAGGCTGTTTGCTGTTCTACCCTAAGCAGTGGCTCGCCAGCCTGTCCTATGCTGGCATGGCTGCTGCCGACCCTCGTCTTGGAACAACCCGGCTTGCAGGCACTGGAGCTGGCGGCTGCTAGCCCGGACTGGCAGGAGCTGCGGCTGCCCGTGGCGGTTGCCTTCAACCCGTACTTCCCAGATGCCGGGCGGCAGCAGGAGGAGCGGCGCCGCCTGCGCCGCAAGCTGATGGCCGGCAGGGGCCGGGTGGCTGCTGTGTACCTGCAGGTGGGTGTGTGGTGCATGTGATGTGGCATGCTGCACAAGAGACAATGCACCATAAGGTTGTGGGTGCGTTTGCTCACACGTGCAGGCAGGCAGCGACGTGCACCGCCTAAGAAAAGGGCTGCATCACCTGCGGCAGCTGCTGGCAGAGCTGGAGCAGCTAAACGCTGCCAGCCAAGAGCCTGGCACAGAGGCAGGGGCGCCTCCGCAGCAGCCGGCTAGCAGGCCCGCCAAGCGGCAGCGGCAACAGCAGGCAGGGAGCTCAACAGCAGCGCAATCAGCCCCACTCAGCAACCATCAAGGGCCCAGCACAGGTACAAAGATAGCCAGGACGCAGGAGCAGCGCATCCAAGTGTTTGGCTCGGTGCTGGTGCCGAGCCGCAAGCTGCTGGCAAACATGAAGTTCCGCCCGTGGGGAGGCGTATTCCTCAGGCAAGCAGGCCCGTCTGTGGTACATCAGTCGCATGTAATGTCCCCCGTACTGGCCCAGATCAGCCGGTCATTCTGACAGCCGGCTGGTTGTCTCCCTTTTTTTGTCATGCAGCCCGCAGTACCTGAGCGGCGTCCAGCAGGCAGAGGCGATCACCCGACAGGTACTGCAGGTATATGCCGAGTACTCGGTGACACCGCTGGTGGAGACGGAGGTGACGAGCGAGGCGCAGGCGGCCCATGTACAAGAGCTGCTATAGGAGGCGCTGCCAGGCTGGCTGGCTGGCATAGCTAGTTGCTCGGCGCTGCCTGGCGCCGCCACGCCGGCTCGACATCTGCCCTGTGCTGTAAGTTACACCTCAAACGATCATGCTGGGAGCTTGCGTCAATCAAAACGCTGGTGAAATCGAGATACAGGCGCGCAAACGGGGTACAGGGCACGGACTTCAAAAATGCGTAATGGCGGGAGGGGCTGCAAGGGGCCATAACATAACGGCTCCAAAGCAAAAAATGCAGCATCCACAGATGTGTGGATGCTGTGGATGAAAAGGGCTGAGTACTGCTCGCAAGTACACTACAAGGTATCAAAAGTTCATTCCATGCTCAACACTGCCGCCCATCTGTCGGTGCACAACAGACGGCGCCTGCACGGCGCCGACCTCAGGTGCCGCCGCTGATGGCAGCGGCTGTGCCTTTCTGCAGGCGTCGCGCCAGGTCGGCCGCAGTGCTGAGTGCACTGTCTAGCTGCACTTGGAGCTGCCGCATCGCGTCCTGCATCTGCGCGACATCGTGCCCCAGCGCCGCCGCCGCCAGCGCCACCTGCTGCCCACTGCTGCCCTCGGCAGAGTCTGCAGGCAGCACCAGGGCTGCGCCTTGCCCTTGCTGCTGCTGCAAGCGCGCAAGCTGGTGGTGCTGCTGCAGGATCACGGCAGCCTGAATGGCGATGATGGCAGCGCAGCAGGCCCACGCAGCAGATTGCTTGCTGCTAAACGTACGGGCGCCTGCCCGCAGCAGGCTCAGCAGCCAGCCTACTAACGCAAGCACGGTGGCTACAAGTAGAGGCCGCTTTGGCTGCTGCTGACGCTCCTGCTGCTGTTGTTGTTGTGTGGTCAGCTTTGGCTGCTCAGCCTGCTGCTCCACAAGCTGCTCCACAAGCTGCTCCAGGTTGCGGAAGCTGCAGGCAGGCGCATGGGAAAAGGGGACGATCACAGCGAGGCTTCAGACAGAGCGAGGCTTCAACCAGGAAACAACCAGGTTGGAAATGAACAGCACAGAGAGCAGCAGTGCGCACGAGAGGCGTGGTGCGGGCAGCGGCTGCCTTACCTGGCAGCTCTGCTGCTTGGCCTGGACGGGGAACCGAGATGCGTGTGGTGGCCCACCGGGCTGCCCCGCCCCGCGCCGTCGCTGCGGCTGGCGTTGCGGCGGTGCCGCGCCAGCACCGGCAGCTGGCGGCCCACGTGCACGCCGCCCTGCTGGCTGATGGAGCCGGCGCGGGAGTGGCGGCGCAGGTGCTGCACCGCGCCTCGGTAGTGGGGGTCCACCCTGCTGAGCAGCAGGTTCCACTCCGCCTCGCTGTGCGGCTCGCTGCCGCCGGGGGTCAGGCCGGTGGACGGGTCTGCCGCCAGATTCTGGCTCGCCTGCACGGCAGAGGGGCAAGGCACACACTGAGTGCTGCCATCCACGTGTTGCTTCTAAACAGCTATACGCAGGGGCGGTCTGGATCCCACTCGGCATGGGCATGCGTGTGCCGCCGGCGCCAGCTCGGCGCCGCCGCCAGCTCAGCGCCGCCTCACCATCTGGCGCCACCCCTGCACCATCTCCAGCGTGTCGTCAAAGCTGCCCTTCTCGATGAACCGCTGCCACATGGTCTTCTTGGAGAAGGGCACCTGGATGTGCACTGTTACTCTGCTGCCGCCTTTGGCCGGCGCCACATCCCACCGCGTCTCCACGCTGCAGGGGGCGGGCGGGGCACCAGGGCCGGGGGAGGGGAGCAGACGCATGACTTGTGTTGCATTCAGGTCACCAAGTGTTCAACCCTCCCACGAGCAGCCAGGCAAAGAAGGCATACATCCACATGCTCACATGAAGCCATGCGGCGCACTATATACACACGCACACGCACACACACACACACTCTGCTCACCTGAAGTGGTCTGCGTAGGGGATGTCACTCATCACCTGGCTCGTCTCCAGCACCAGGTGCCGCCGAGCAAACACCTGCCAGGCACAGTGGCGGGGCAGGGCAGGGATCGTCGGCATGCAGGCTGCGGCTCGGGACGTTTGGGCCAGTCGTCATTGCCTGTCTGCGCACTCAGTTCCGACCAACAGTCGTCGGTCAATGCGCGCTGCCACCACCAGATGAACACACACCTTGAGCCTCTGGGTCTGGTGGCACACCGCCTGCGGAGGACCGATGCGCGCCTTGACGGGGTGCACAAACTGTACGTCCCGCACCATGCCCACCTGTAGGCAGCAAGCGACAGGCGGCAAGGGGTCGGGGGGACAGCACGGCAACAACCGAAAGTCAGAAGGTCAGCAGGCGCGCCTCTGCAGGAGCCAAGTTGCCACATGCTGCCGCCACCCCAGCGCGGCCTGGCATGCAGTGCAGGCCGCCGCCGCCGCCGCGCGGCGTGCCTTGAAGTGCCGCTGCCACTTGCTGACGCGGATGCTGGAGTCGCCGCGTGAGGCGTGGAACTTGTGCAGCCAGTTGGAATGGTTGGCCAGGAAGCGGCTCCAGAACTCCAGCGGCGGGCAGGGCAGGTCAAACTCCTGCACGGGTGCACGCCGGGCGGCATTGGTGTATCTTCCCTATAACTCCAGCACAGGTGCAAGTAATCCCGCGCAGGTGCAAGTAATCCCGTGCGCAAGTAATCAGGACCGACACAGCAACACAACCTAAAGCAGCAGCAGGCGAGCCAAGCGCACCAGCACGAGCTGCATGGTGGGCGGCACCGGCGGCGCGGGCTCGCTCAGCGCCACCTCGAGCTCCAGCTCCTTCTGGCACTGCAGGTCTGTCAGCGCCTGGAACTCGTAGGTCAAGGGCCCGGCATCCCCGCCGTCGGCTGCCGCCCCTGCGTCACCATCACCGCTGGCGCCGCCACGGGACACGCCGGGGGTGGCGGGCCCCTCGCCGGCGCCGGCCGGGAACGAGGCCCACGACACAAAGCTGTTGTCTTGCAGCAGAGAGGGGTGGGAGGTCTCGGCGGTCGCCTCGCCCGCGCCAGGCACGTGCCCCGCGCCGCCCGGGTCGCCGGCCAGCGAGCTGCAGCCGCCGCTGCCGCTGGCGTCTCCCACCGACCCCTCCTCATGTAGCGCCTCCAGCGGCGCGCCCACGCCCAGCCCAAACGCCCCCGGCTCAGGCGTGTCGCGGGAGCAGCTGCCCTCGCGGTGCACCAGGCTGCTCATGCCGCGCAGCAGGCGCGACACGGACCGGCTCCTGCCCGCCACCTCGGGCACCGCATCCGGCTCGGGCGTGGGCGGCGCGTGCTCGCTGCAGTGCCGCCATTGGTTCATGATGAGCCTGCACTCAACCCGTTGGGGTGGCCACGGCATATGTTAGGGCTGTGGCTGCATGGGCAGCGGGATAGGCAGCAGCGCTGGGCTGCTGAGGCGCGGCGGGGCACTGCCAGGCTGCCGCCGCCAGCAGGCAGGCCATCCTGCTCCTGCACCCACCCACCCCTCCGCCCATCACACCGCACCCCCACCCACCCACCGGTACGCCTCCTCCCTGGCCAGGAAGCTGGTGAAGAACTCGCGCTTGCCGCTCTCCAGTGTCAGCTCGATGCTGTTTGGGAAGCCCACGTTCTTCTTCTTGCGCACCTCCACCACGCCGGCCAGCGGGATGCACTTGGTCTTCTGGTAGCCAAACAGGTTGCAGTGGAAGCAGACGTGCTCGCGGAACAGGTACATGCGCCCCTGCAGCAGCACCTTCTTCCTCAGTGCGCACATGAATTCGTCGATCAGGTGCTGCAGGCAGGGGGGCAGGGTGGAGGCGCAGGGGGCAGGGGCACGGTGTGGGGGGCACGGTGTGGGCGCTGTTGGGCAACGGCAGTGCATGGCTGTTGGCACCGACCCGGCGGGATGGCGGCAGCCTTTGGTCGCTGTCCCAGCATGCCAGCAGTGGCAGCAGCAGCAGCGGCAGAAGCCCACCTCGGTGGATGGCAGCTGGAACATGCGGCGCAGGTCGTCGGCACGATTCTGCGCCCGCCGCAGCATCGACTTGGTGTGCACCAGTTCGGCAGGCGCCGACTTGGCTGGCTGCGGCACGGCACAGGCGGGGTGCGGCGACATTGCGTCAACATGCATTTGTGCATGTATAGAGTTTGGGGGGCATGAGCAGTCAGGGGAATGACACCCCATGTTGTGTAGCGGCACCGCACTCGGCTGATAGGCCGCCAGTCACGTCTTCGGGGCCCCAAGTCTGCGCCTCATGGCAGCAGCCCCACTGCCCACCTGCATGTAGCCATCATCGGATCCATCCACCAGCGGCGACACGCGCTGTACTGTGCTCAGAACAGCACGGGGCGGCGGAGGAGCTGACGTGAGCGGGGCGGGTTGCGGGGCACCAGGTTGGAGCGCTGGCTCCCCGACGGATTCCTCGGCTGATCCAGAGCCCTGATATCCATCTCCTGCCTCTACAGGCGCCTCTGCCGGAGGCTCACGGTGCTCTGGAGCGCCTCCGGAATCGCCCACTCCCTCCATGCCAGCCGGCAGGCCACGATCGCAGCCCTAGGCTGCTGCGCTGCTGCCCAGCGGAGTGTGGGCGGCTCCTGGGCGGCTTGCTGCGCGCACGGGCCTGGATGCCGTAACTCCCCCTGAACTCGGGTGAAGCAGAACTCAACTCAGTGCAAACCCTCGAGAAAGCACTGCATCCTCGTGTAGCGGGACATTTGAGAGCAAAGCAAGCAGCAGTTTCCCCTGCCTTCTCTGCAGCTGCGGCCAGATGGCAGGCACGTCAGCAGCCACATCTCCGCCACCCTTCCATACCCACGGTGGTGGAGACTGTGCGATGCTCAAGGGATTACAGTGAACTCGGACAACAGCACAAGTGAGCCGCAGGCTAGGCCGCCTATCGGCACCAGTCCAGTAGTGCTATGGTGCGCGACAAGCAGGCCCGTGCCGCCTGCCTCAGTACACCACCTCTGTGACCTCCGTCAGCAGCGTGTTGATGGCCAGCAGCAGCGCCGCGGTGCCCGCCACGATGCCGATGACGAGGAAGGTGTTGAGCACGGCCTTGACGGGTGCGGGCCACTTGATGAGGCCCACCTCCTCCATCACGCCCTGCGCAGCAGGAGGGCTCGCAGGGTGAGGGGCCAGGGCAGGGAACAAATCAACAAGAACAGCCAGCAAGGAATGAGGAGCCAAATGTATGCCGAAGCACACATCCCACTCCACGAGACACTGCCGCACGCGGCAAGGCCTCTACCCACCTCCACCAGGCCGTCCTTGGCCTCCCCTGCCTGCTTCTGCTGCCTCATCATCGCCGCGCGCTGCTGAATGTCCTCAATCGACACAGGCTCCGCCTGCGCAAGGAGCGCGAGCACCAGCAGCAGCAGGCGTGATCCAGGCTGTGCATGTGAAGCACTGTGCCATTGATGACAGGCTGCGAAAGCACCACCAGTTGTATGTTGGCAAGTTGCTGCGCCCCAAACAAGGTGCGCTGCGCAGGGTAGCCCGCCCATGCATTACCTGCTGGCCGCTGGTCCCTGCTGCCGTCGCTGCTTGCTGCTGCTGCGCTGCTCCCGTGGGCGCTGGCGGGGTGTCTGGAACCTGGGGCTGGCCCTCCTGCTGCTGCGTGCCCTCCTTCTCAGCTGTGGCCCGGCAGAGCCGCTGCCGCCCGGTCACAAGCCTTGCCGCCAGGCGCGGCGGCTGCAGGGCACGCTGCGCCTTGGATTGCAAGCAGCGCCCTGCGCTGGATGTGCCCGCTGCGGGGTTGCGGAGGCAGGCCACAGAGGGCGGGGGAAGAAGAGCTGTGACCGGCATGCTTCGGATAAGGCGACGGCGGGGCCCAGACGAGATGGGTGACCCGCCGATTGACTCGATTGCGCTGCCGGAGGGTGTCGGCAAGGCAGGCAGAGGGCTGGGCGAGCGGGCTTTCCCGTGCAGCTGCTCTGGTGACCTCCGCGGCGATTCCGATTGCGAGCAAAGGTAGCGTGGCGACGAAGTAAAGCAGACTGGGACAGAATGGCGTTGCTGGGCGGAAATGCAGCTCTGGAAAGTGGCTGGCCAGGCTTTCCCAGCCTCTGGCTGCCGCGCCTGGCCCTTTTCGTCACGCCTGCTGCCCCCCTGGTGGCTTCTCGTGACCCCCCACAGACCAGGAAGCATGTCTTACAGGGACAGGTCCAGGAGCCCTCCTCGGGCCAGCTACGGCGCCTCTTATGGCGGTGGCAGCAGCTATGGAGGTGGTGGCGGCTACGGCGGTGGCTCCAGGTGCGCATCAGGCCCTTCCAGACTTAAAGTCCCCCGCGCGCCTGGCGGCGCGGATGCCACAAGCCTAAGGGCGCTGCTGAGCGGGCTACGTGAGCCTGAACAGCTGCAGCAGTGCAGACAGGCGGGCCGTGTGCGGCGCATCAGGGCGCCATGGCCCGGCGCCGCTGCCGCAGGGGTTGCCGCCGCTTGCCGAGGGCGTGGTAGCTGGGCTCCAGCCTGCATTCCTGGCTGGTTCTTGATTTCTGAGCTGCTAAAATGCAGATATGACTCTGGCGGCGGCTACGGCGGCGGCGGTGGCTTTGGCGGTGGTGGCTTTGGCGGCGGTGGCTTCGGCGGCGGCGGTTTTGGTGGCGGCGGCAGGGATGGCATCAACTCCACGTTTTTGCCTAAGGAGGACTTCAGCAACCTGCCCAAGTTCGAGAAGGTGGGCGTCAGGAGTGCAAGCAGCACTAGCAGGGCTGTGAAGCTGACACGTCTGTCCTTCGGTGCTTCCCGCCTCTCCTGCCTCCTGCGCCCTGGTGGAGAGGGCTGCTCACCCCCAGCGCCCCACGTCCATTACTTCTGCAGAATTTTTACTACGAGCACCCGGCTGTGACGGCACGGTCTGAGGAGGAGGTGCGGCGGTACCGCGAAATGCGCGAAATCCACGTCACCGGCGAGGGCATCCCCAAGCCCGTGAGCAACTTTGAGGAGGCCTCCTTCCCTGGTGAGCCCCTGGAGCAGAACCACGTGTTTGGCTGGGAGGGGTGGTCACCGTCCAACGCTCCTGGCTGCTGCGTGCTGCTGGCGAAGAAGCCGGCCGAGCTGCTCCGCTGCCTGCCCATGAAAAGAAAAGAAAACAAACAGCTCTGCCCGTTTTTTCCCGCACCCCTCGATTGATGCTCGCATCTTCATCGCCCCCCCCACCCCCACCTCCACCCCATCCCACCTGCCCCGCCGCCTGCCCCGCCTGCAGAGTATGTGCTGGCGGAGATCCAGCGCGCGGGCTTCACGGAGCCCTCGCCCATCCAGGCGCAGGGCTGGCCCATGGCGCTGCTGGGGCGCGACCTGGTGGGCATTGCAGAGACGGGGTCGGGCAAGACGCTGGCCTACCTGCTGCCCGGCGTGGTGCACATCAACGCACAGGTGAGGCAGGGGGGGCACCGCCGGGGAGGCGAGGCCGGCCAGCGCCATGCCTGCGCCGGCGGCCCTGCCTCGATCCGGGCCCCGCTCCCTTGCCCGACCTCCCCTGCTGGTCCTCCCCTGACCGCCTTCACCCGCTGGTCCTTGTCACCCGTGCCGCAGGCGCACCTGTCCCCCGGCGACGGCCCCATTGTGCTGTGCCTGGCGCCCACCCGCGAGCTGGCGGTGCAGATCCAGAACGAGTGCGCCCGCTTCGGATCCACCTCCCGCATCAAGTCCACCTGCGTGTACGGCGGCGCGCCCAAGGGCCCGCAGGCCAAGTGAGCGCCGCAGCGCCGCCTGCTGGAGGCCGCGGCCGTTGCTTTGCGCACGTGCCGTTTGCCAAACTTGAAGCAGCAGCTGTAGCCCACATGGCCAGCCCCATGGCCAGCGTTCCTCCCCTCCCCACGCCTGACCCTTCCCCCCACCCTCCTGCTGCGCCCTGCCCCTCCCTCCTGCGCCCGCCTGCAGCGACCTGCGCCGCGGCGTGGAGATTGTGATTGCCACCCCCGGGCGCCTCATCGACTTCCTGGAGTCCCGCACCACCAACCTGCGCCGCGTGACCTACCTGGTGTTGGACGAGGCGGACCGCATGCTGGATATGGGCTTCGAGCCCCAGATCCGCAAGATTGTGGGCCAGGTGGGCTGCGCTGGCGCCGGCGCCGGGCGGGGCGGGCTGTCGTCTTCATGGCTGTGCGGGTGGCCTCAGTAGCCTTGGTGGCTGTGTGGCTGTACAAAGGGAATGGCGCCCAGGCCCTCGACGCGCACCATCGGCTGCTCTGTTCGACCCTGCCCCGCGCCCCGCGCTCGCCCTCGCCCCTGCCGCAGATCCGCCCCGACCGCCAGACGCTGCTGTGGAGCGCCACCTGGCCGAAGGAGATCCAGACGCTGGCCCGCGAGTTCCTGAACAACCCCTACCAGGTCCTCATCGGCTCGCCAGACCTCAAGGCCAACCACCGCATCACCCAGATCTTCGACTTCCCCGCAGAGCACGAGAAGTATCAGAAGCTCGTGCGGGTGCTGGAGAAGGTGTGTGTGGGGCCGCGCGGGGGGGGGTGTGTGTGGAAGAGCCGCGGCAGGCTGGGGCAGGGGCCGGCCGGGCGGCAGGCGCAGGCGCGGCATGTGCAGCGGTTGGACCAGGCGTATGGACGGCGGTTGGCTGAGGCGTTGCGTGCCTGTGGGGGCCCTGCCTGTACCCCTGCTCTCTCGCTCGCTCGTCCCCACATCACATCACACCACCCTCTGTACCGCCGCCGTGGGCGCAGGAGATGGACGGCCGCCGCATCCTGATCTTCCTGGAGACGAAGAAGGGGTGCGACGCGGTGACGCGCCAGCTTCGCATGGATGGCTGGCCCGCGCTGTCCATCCACGGAGACAAGTCGCAGCACGAGCGCGACTGGGTGCTGGCTGAGTTCAAGGCGGGCAAGCACCCCATCATGATTGCCACAGACGTAGCCGCGCGTGGCCTAGGTAGGTCGGCGCCCCCGCAGGGCCCCTCGCCGCGGGCAGCGCTGGCGGTGGTCTGCCCGCCGCCGGCTCCCGCGGCCCTGTGTGTGCTCGAGCGCGTGCGCTGCTGGCCCAGCCTGGCTGTAGCGCGCGGTCAGCTGCCTGCGTGCGTGTGCGAATGTGCCTGTGCTGTCAGCAGCGCCGCCTGCTACCGTGCCCGCTGCCCTGCCCTGCCTGGATGCGTTGCCTTGCTTGGGCGCCTGCGTGTGGCTGCGATGGCGAGCGGGGCGTGTTGCGCGCCTGGCGCTGCCGGCGGTGGCAGCGGCCGAGGCAACGCGGCGACGCGGCCTGGCTGGGAGCGGTTCCATGGGAGCACCATGCACGGGCGCCCGCCTCGCGGCGCTGCTGCGGCCTCACCCGCCGCGGCTCGCCGCGGCAGTGCGGCCGCGCCTGTTGCCTGGTGTGCAGGGCACCTGCGAGCTTGCACAGCCACCCACCCTGTCCCTTTTGTTTGGGGAGATGGCAAAAAGGAGCCGCATGTCGCGCCGCGTTCTTGGCCTGCCGCCTCCCACTCACTGGGAGCCGCGGCGGCTGGGCGCTGCGCAGGCAAATGCTGGCCACCCATCCACCCCCCTTGCATGCCCCCTAGCTCCCTCTCTGCTTGCCCCAGGTAAGTCGTGGGTGGCCCGTGCAAGCTCACCGCAGCGCGGCTTCACCGCCGCCGCTGCGGCAAGGACCGCCGCCTTCAGGCGTGAGGAGCCGGCGCGGCGCGGCACCCCCGCCCGCCGTCGCCACCTCACCCGCTGAGGCCCCTGCGTGCCGACCACCGCCTCCGCCACCCGCCGCGGCGCCCCTCCGCCAAGCCACCTGCGCCGCCTCGGCGGCCAGGCCTGCTGCCCCCGCCTTGTCTGCCGCGCCACCGGCACGCCCACCCGGCCCCGTCCCCTCCTCTGGGCACACACGCTCGGCCCCTTGCCCCAGTCACATGGGTTGCTGACAGCCACCCCACCATGCTGTGTGCCCCCGCCCCCGCGCGTGTGTCGCGCCCCTCCCGCGCGTCCCTCGCCCCGCCCCCGTGCTGGCGGCTGCAGACGTCAAGGACATCAAGATGGTCATCAATTACGACATGCCCTCATGCGCCGAGGACTATGTGCACCGCATCGGGCGCACGGGGCGCGCCGGAGCCTCGGGTGAGTGCCGCAGCCGGGGCCAGGGCCCGAGTGGTAGAGGGCCGGGTGGTGGGGGCGCAGCTGGGGCGGCCAGCAGCTTCGCCCTGCCGCACTTGGATGCTCCCCACACCAGCCTGCCTCCTCGCCGTTGTGTTCATGCCTGCCTGCCTGGGCTCGGCCGGCTGCTGACCCTTTGGCCCCCCCTGCGGCGGCGCACCCGTGCTGCCCTCCTCTGTACCGCAGGCGCCGCGTACAGCTTCTTCACCGCCGCCAACGGCCGCATGGCGCGCCAGCTGGTGCAGATCCTGGAGGAGGCATCGCAGGCGGTGCCCCCCGAGCTGCGCCAGTTTGCCATGACCAGTGGCGGCCCCACCAGTGAGTCGGCTGGCCGGGCTGCTGCCCAGGCCTGTGTAGGCCCTGCGCCTGCTGCTGGTGCAGCCTGTGCCATCACTGGCACGTCCTGCGTTGCTCGCCGCTGTCGCTGCCTGAACCCCGCTGCTTGCTTTCGCTTGCAGGCTTCCGCTCGCGCGGTGCCGGCGGCGGCCGCGGCGGCCGCGGTGCCGGCGGCGGCGGCTTTGGCGGCGGCGGCTACACCGGCTCCAATGCACTGCCCATCGGATCCAGGGGCGGCGGCGGCTACTACTGAGAGCGCCCAAACCCGTTTCCCGGCTCACCCCTGCCTCAATCTGTGCCTCTACCCCTTTGTACCGCGTTCCTGCCATCCCTTCCCTCTTTTGTTGCGGCTAGTCGCCCCGCCATCGCTTGCCAATGAGCAGAGCCATTTGTGAAATCCAGTATTCAATCAGTTGAGCTCGCAGCTCGCGCAGTGCCGGGTGAGGCGGTTGGGGTGGTTGGGGGCGAAGGCGCCCGAGCACACCGGCGAGCAGTGCGGCTAGGGACTGTGTGCTTTGCCCTTTTACTTCCAGGGATGATCGCCCTTTTACTTCCAGGGATGATCGGGGTTTGACATCGGGGGTTGACCTCTTCCAGGGGTGACAGAGACGGCCAGCGAGGGGTTGGCAGGGGCAAGGGGCAGGTGCGGGGGGGGGGTGCGGAGAGGGGCCGACGCCCAGCTCGCCTGGTGCTCGCAAGCTTGCGGCCCTTCCCTGATCGGTGCGTTGCCATCATGAGCTCACACGAACCAGTCCTGTCCCCTTCCCATCCGACGCATCGGTGGCTGCCACCTGCTGCCGTGCTGAGCGCCACCCTCATTTTGTCTTGGCCATCCCCTCTCGTCCCTCTTTGCCCTCTCCACGGTCCAACCTTCAGCCTGCACCCAGTGCAGCCTCATTCGCCTCGTCTGTTTGCGTTCTTGGGCTGAGCACTATGACTGCCGAGAATGGGCACAGGGATGAGGTCTACCAGCCCAAGAACATCCTTATTACGGGCGGTGCAGGTGCTTTAGGCTTCTGAACAGGGCCAACGGGCACTGTGGGCTGGTGCAGGATTGCTTGAAACGGGGCTGGCCTGCCGAACGCTCCCCGCCGCGCCCTCGTGCCCCGCATGCAGGGTTCATTGCTAGCTGGGTGGTCATCAAGCTGGTGAAGCAGCGGCCGGAGTGCAAGGTGGGCAGCCGCGTGACGCTGGGGGTGGTTGGCGCGGTGCGGGCCCTTGCACGGCGCCGTGGTGGGCTGCATTGAGGCTGCATCAGGCGTAGCATCGACCACCACGGCTTGCAAGCGCCGCCAGCTACCAGCGCGGCGCAACTGCCAGTCGGGCTGCCGCCGCCGCTGCGTCACCCATCCATTAATGGTGGTGCCACGCAGGTGATAGTGCTGGACAAGCTCGATTACTGTGCCACCCTGAACAACCTGGCGGCAGTGCGTGACCTGCCCAACTTCAAGTGAGCGGGCAGGGCAGGCAGGGGGGTGGCGATTCGGGAGCGGTCAACAGAAAAAAAAATAAAAGCTGAGCTGCCCTGCTGCCAGTGGAGTGGAGGACTCACCGCGCCGCTGCCTGCTGCCCCGCAGGTTCATCAAGGGCGACATCCAGTCCTCGGACCTGGTGGTGCACATCCTGGAGCAGGAGCAGATCGACACGGTGATGCACTTTGCGGCGCAGACGCACGTGGACAACAGCTTTGGCAACTCCATGGCCTTCACCATGAACAACACGTCAGTGTGCCCGCCGGGTGCTGCCCGCACGACCTGGGTGCTGCCCGCTGCTGCCCGCACGACCTGGGTGCTGCGCAGCCGGCCTTGCTAGGGCTTGCCATGAGCTGGGTGCTGCGCAGGTTGGTGCTGGCTAGGCGGCCTGTCCGCCAGTGCAGCCTTTGCCGGCGGCGGCGCATGTGGAGCTGGCAGCTGCCCTGCCCCAACGCCGCTCGCCTCCCTGCTCGCGCCGCCGCCTGCAGCTACGGCACGCACGTGCTGCTGGAGTGCTCGCGGCTGTACGGCAAGGTCCAGCGCTTCATCAACGTGTCCACCGATGAGGTCAGCAGCACCCGCTGGCTGCACACACCCCGAAAATCGACCACACCCCGACCTGCGCTGGTGCTGGTTGTTGTGTCGGGGGCTGTTGCGCTGCCTCTGACGCGGCCTGGCTCACGCCACATCAGCACCCCGACACCCTCCCTGCACCCTGGCACCGCCCGCCTGCCCGCAGGTGTACGGCGAGAGCAGCCTGGGCAAGACGGAGGGCCTGAAGGAGCACAGCCCGCTGGAGCCCACCAACCCCTACTCGGCGGCCAAGGCGGGGGCGGAGATGATGGCGCGCGCCTACCACACCTCCTACAAGCTCCCCGTCATCGTGACGCGCGGCAACAACGTGTACGGCCCGCACCAGTTCCCCGAGAAGATGATGTGAGGGCGGGGGGTTGGCGCCGCGGGGGGGGGCAGCGCCAGCAACCGCGCAGGGAGGAGGGCGCCCGGCTCCCTGCCTGCGACCTGCGCGCTGCGCCGTGCTCCACGCCCCTGCGCCTCACCTGCCTGCTCGCCCCCCGCCCGCTGCCGCCCGCGCGCAGCCCCAAGTTCACGCTGCGCGCCAACCGCGGCCTGGATCTGCCCATCCACGGCGACGGCCTGGCTGTGCGGTCGTACCTGTATGTGGAGGATGTGGCGGACGCGTACATCACCGTACTGCTCAAGGGCGTGGTGGGGGAGACGTACAACATCGGCACGCAGAAGGAGCGCAGCGTGGTGGACGTGGCCGCCGACATCTGCAAGATGTTCAGCCTGGACCCCGCCACGCACATCAAGCACGTCAAGGACCGCGCATTCAACGACCGCCGCTACTTCATGTGCGCGGCCGCGGCGGCGGGGTGGTGGCAGGGCAGGCTGGCGGCGGCAGGGGCGGCGGCGGCGGCGGCGGCGGCGGCCGGCGCGTTGCACTACGCATGCGCTTGCTGCGGCTGGCCGGCCCTCCGCCTTGGGCCAGGCTGGCCCCGGTGCTCACCGCGTCGCCCGTGCCCTTTGCCTGTGCAGCTGCGACCAGAAGCTGCTTGCCCTGGGGTGGCAGGAGACGACCCCCTGGGAGGAGGGCCTGCGCAAGACCATCGACTGGTACCTCAAGCACGCCAACCGGGAATACTGGTGCGCGGCGGCGCCCGGGCGGCTGGGGGTGGCTGCAGGCCAGCCGTGTGTGCTGCCAGATGTGGGGGCAGCGGGTGGCTTGGCTGCCAGGTGGATTCGCGCTGGCCCGCGCTGCTGGCGCCCACCGGCCCGTTGCCCTGCCCCGCCGCAGGAGCCACGGCGACATGGAGCTGGCGCTGGATGCGCACCCCACGCTGCAGCTGCCCTCCTTTGGCAGCACCGTGTTCCCCTCGGCGCACTAGGGGAGGCGCCCCGGAGGACGCGCCCCGCTGCGGCGGGCCGCCGCCGCCGCGCCAGCCCCGGCTCAGATCTGTTGTACCCGCTCTGTGTGTACTGCTCCTGCTCCCCCCCCCCCCCCCGCGATGCTGCAGCCCGGCATCTTCCTTTTTATTTCCTTTACTCCAGCATCCCTCCTGCTTAAGTTATACGTGACCCAACACACAACTGCCAACTGCGGCCCATGCACGGGCACTAGTCAGACGCGAGTGCCTTTGCTCCAGGTGTAACACACAGCACTCCCAACTAGGATACAGGGGGCCAATGAATGGCAGGGTGTAGAGGGAGGGAGAGGGTGACCAGTGCCTCAGGGCTGCGCCGCCGCCTGCAGCAGCTCCTCGGCCGCCGCCTCGGGCAGCTGCCCCAGCATCGCGCTGATCTCGGCCAGCCGCTCCTGCCGCTGCCGCAGGGTGTCAAAGCGGGTGGTCACGCGGTCGTCTGGCCCCACCCCCTTGCGCACCACAAGGTGGTGCTCGGCGTGGGCAGCCACCTGCAGAGGCGGCAGGCATAGGCCGACGGGGCCAAGGGTGCCGTCAGCGCGCCAGGCGGCGGCGGCGAGGGCTGTGCATGCCCAGCAAGCGGCGTCGAGTGCATGTGTGCCCCCGGGCGCGCACTATCCACAGGCGCCGGCAGCGAGCGCGGCGCACCGCAGCGCACCTGCGGCAGGTGCGACACGCACAGGATCTGGCCCGTGTTGAGGCCTGCGGCGCCCGCCATGCGGCGCAGGATGCGTCCGATGGGCTGGCCCAGCCGGCTGCCGATGCCAGAGTCGATCTCGTCCAGCACCAGGATCTGGCTGGCGGCCGCCGGGGCCTCGCTGACGCCCGCTGCACCGCCCCGGCTGCCGCCCTCGGTGCTGGCGCCTGCCACGCTGTCGCCGCCGCCGCCGCCGCCACCGCTGCTGCTGCTGCCTGCTGCGACAAACGCGGGCGCGGCTTTGAGGGCCAGCATGATGCGGGCGTTCTCGCCGCCAGAGGCTACCGCCGACAGCGGGCGCAGCGGCTCGCTGGGTCCCGCCGCAAACAGGAACTCGGCAGCATCCAGGCCGGCGCCGCCGGGGCGCACGCGGTACCGCCCCGCCTGCTGCGAGCAGCTGGCGGCGTCGCCGGCGCCGATGGCGATGCTGCTGCCCGCGGCAGCGCTGGGGGCCACCGCGGTGGAGAGCGGCGTCCAGCTGACCCGCACCTCAAAGCGGCTGCCCTGCATGGCCAGGTCGCCAAGCACCGCCTCCACCGCTGCCTGCAGCTGCCCGGCCGCCTCCCGCCGCAGTCGGCTGCAAAGTCCAGGGCGGAGAGCAGCGGCAGATCAGTCGGCCAACGTCAAACAGCATTGGAGCGCTGCTGCACCCACCCAGCAGCACTGCCTGCGTTTGCCACCGCTCTGTCAGGCGTGCAGACGTGGCCAGCCAGCTGGATGCCCGGGCCCACCTGAGTGCCACCGCCTGCTGCTGCACCTGCCCCAGCAGCTGCTCGGCATCTGCCTCCAGCTGGTTCCGCTGCCCCTCCAGGGCAAAGTACATGTCCAGGGCAGATTCCTGCGGTACCAAGTGCAGTGCAGGCATGGACAGGGGTCGGGTTAGGGCATGCCATGCCTGCGCAGGCAATCAAGTTGTAAGCTAAACCCCCGCCAGGCTGCCAGGCATGGGCATGGTTGGCAGTGGAGGAGGAGGGCGGCGGTTGGCGTGTGTGCAGCAGCTGCGGGGCAGAGCGCGCGTGCCTGCTTCTCGGCCATCTCCAGGAGCTCATCGGCCGACGAGGCATCGTGCTGCTTCATCAGGCGCTCGAGCTGCAGGCGGGCGGGGCGGGCCGAGCAGGGCAGCCACTCGCATTGGGCCGGCGACAAGCAGAGCGGCAGGACCAGCAACAGGCATAGCGGCAGTACGCAGTACGGGCACCCCTGGCAGGGCAGCCTTGTGGCAAGCTGCGCCTCACACCTGCTGCAGGCGGGCCGACAGCTCGTCGTATTCAGCTTGGGAGAAGCGGTGGAGCCTGGCGTACGACACAACCCGGCCCTCCGCCTCCTCCAGCAGCACCTGTGCCTGGTCCAGCAGAGCCATGGAGGCCTGCAGCATGCCCGCCGCCGACCCGACGCCCTCCTCCGCCTCCTCTGCCTGCAGCTCACCGTCACTGTCCCCTGCGCCTGCCTCCTCTGCCCCCGACGGCTGCCCCCGCTGCTCCTCCTTGCGCTCCGCTGCCACCGCCGCCGCTAGCCGCTCCTCCTGAGACAGCAGCTGCTTCACTTGAAGCTGCACCTCGCGCATCGCCTCTGCAATGCCGCCCCCGCCGTCGCCGCTGCGTCCAGCCAAGGCCGCAGGGAGGCCGGTCAGTCAGCCAGCCAGCGGCGAGGGGCACACCAGTGCGGGTGCCTCTATGCGCTGGCATGCTGGGCAGCGAGCACAGCTCAGCACGGCACAGCACAGCACAGCGTGGCATGTGTGTCCCCAGCAGCGCAGCACCCGCACACCTGAGCCCCAGGGACACGAGGCGGCACCGCTCCGCCGCCGCCCGCCGGCCATCCAGCTGGCGCAGCTGCTGCCGCAGGAGGCGGTCCTCCCCCGGCTCGACGCCCGCCGCCTGCACCTGCAGGCCAGGTGGGAGCGCCGGTGAGCCCGGCGGGCCACAGCTGTAGCCTCCAGAAAGGCATAAGCCGACCCTGCCAGCCAGCCAGCGAAGCTGGCACGGCAGCGCTGCCGCTGCAGGGCTCACCTCATCCACCAGCCGCTGCATGGCCTCCCGCTGCTGCTCATCCGACAGCGCATCCAGCTCCTTCAGCTGTTCCTGCGCCTGCTGCCACTCCGCCAGGCTGGCGCCCAGCTGGTCGGCAGCAGCACAGGTGCCTGCCAGCCGGTCCAGCAGGCGGAGCTGCGCAGCACGGGTGGGCAAGCAGCCAAGGTGGCAGTCAGGGTGCAAGCAACCTGTGCATCCCGACCCTGGCCCCTCCAGCAGTGATGGTGGCAAGGCTGTCCTGCCACCATCGCCTCCAACCCCTCATCCCACATCCACATCCACATCCACAGCCAGCGCTGCTGCTGTTGCACGGCAGGGGCTGCCGCGGCGCATGGGCGCGCACCCGTGTGGCGCCATCCCGCAGCTCCAGCGCCGCATGCTGGCCGTTGACGTCGACGAGCAGCGAGCCGACCTGCCGCAGCACGCGCACTGCACACATCGCAAGATGCGCGGAGTGATGGGGCGGGGCACAGGGAGGGGAGACAGGGAGGGGTGGCAGGGAAAACCCAAGCTCTTCGTGGAAAGGAGGAGGGAGGCGGGGGGACACACCGCCCCCCGTGCCAGCGCCGACTGACCCGAGGTGGGGCTGCCGTTGATGGAGCAGCGGCTTCGCACGCTGCCATCGGGGCCCGCGGTCAGCTCGCGGCGCAGCACCAGGGTCCCCAGCTCGCGCTGAGCCCGCTGCGTCACCCCCAGCTGCCGCAACAGCCGCCCCAGCAGCGCCTGGTCGCCAGACGCCACCGCCACGGTGGCTTCCAGCACCGCGGTGCTGGCAGGCGGCCGCACAGCCTCCTCGAATGCCGGCGCACCCAGCAGCTGGCCCAGAGCTTCCACCAGCACAGACTTGCCAGAGCCAGACTCGCCTGTAGGGTGCACCAGATAGGCAAAGTAGGCAGACAGCGAGCGACAAGGATGGGAATTTGTACTGCGCAGGCCCACCTGTGATGACTGTCAGCCCTGGGCGCAGCTGCACCCGCTGCTCCTTGATCAGGGCAAAGTCGAAGATCCGGAGCTCTTGGAAGTGGGTTCGGGCTGCGGCGGCGTCCGGCGCCCAGCTGGGCGGTGCCGTCACCGCCGCTGCCGCCGGCGATCCTGCTGCAGCGCTCAGCGCTCGACAAATGCTGCTGGGCCCAGCTCGCCAATTGCGATGAGTGTGAGATCCAGGGAAGGGTTTGGAGCGCTGAGTTGCCTTCGGGGGAGGAACGAGCAGACCCGAGCGCTCCGCCAGTCCAGGCGCTGCCAAAACCATGGTTGCGCGCGGTAAGTTTGTTCCAGACGCTAGCAGAGGCAGGCTGCTCGCCCGAGGTTGGCTTGCAGTGCACACTCGAGCTGAAGGGGCCTTGCACGCTGCTATCAAGCGTGCCCACATGCGGCAGATGAGAAAGTGGCGTACCCGCCATGTGTGCGGCGTGCCAGGACAACTTTGCAGCCGGCCGCTGCCAGCGGGGCACAGCGCAGCGCGCCGCCGCCGCCGCTGCTTTGGTTCTAATGACCTCTTAAGATCTATCAATTATCGTTGCTAAGCGGGAACAGCACGACTTGAAAGGAAAAAAAACAGCTAGCACATCAGGGGGCAACATGTGAATGAACAAAAAGTCCAGCCCCCTTCCGCTTGAGGGCCTTCACCCAGCCACCTTGCGCTTGGCTCCTTCCTGCCTTTGCTGTGCTGCCGAAGGGGGCGCGTCAACGTAGTACACAACCTCCTCGTAGTAGTACTGCAGCGCATCAAAGAGGGGAAGGCATCAGCATGTGTGGCAGGAGCGGACGTGTTACACCGCCCCAGCCTCACCTCGTATTTAGGTGGCGGCGGCGCCTTTGGCATTCCTCTGGGCAGCGGGGGTCGCCGCGGGAGCGGCGGCGGTGGCGGCGGCGGCGGCAACGGGGGAGGAGGTGGCCAGGGGGGCGGCGGAGGCGGCGCCCTCCAGATGCACACCCCCACCACCCACACCGCCTCGAGCGTCCTGAGACCGCCCCGCGTCTGGGGCCTGCCTCGAAACCCAAGGTCAGTGCAGTTGGGGGGGCGGTTGACCAGCTGCTCGCAGACGCGGCGGACAAGCGGGTGGTCCTCATAATTTTGATAGACTGTTGTGTTGCAGTCCCGGCGTAGGTCAGCGCAGATGTTCTGTGCCGCAGCAGGGGGACAGGTGAGGCAAGAGATCAGCACAGCGGCGCAGCCAGCCCCTGTGGCCAGCAGCTGACGGCGCATGCCTGTCGCTGCCGCATCCGTGCGCACCTGGCAGAAGGCTCGGGCGGCCCCGGGGTCGGCGTTGCAGGCAGTGTCGTTTGGGGGGCAGGTGTAGGTGGCCGTCACCGTCACGTTGCAATACCTGGGCCTGCTGCCGTCGTAGAAGGGAGGCGCATCCTGCGGCAGCCTGGTGTCATTCTCCAGGTGCTTCTGGTAGTAGCGCTCGCTCTGCAGGCAAGGCAGGGTTGGCAGGTGAGCAGGATTCACAGCGGCACAGGCTCCAACAGCAAACGAGTGGGCGGCTGCCTGGAAGCGGCACCTTTGGAAAGTCCACCTCTGTTGCATTGTAGCGGTCGGCCCGCATGTTGGGGGGCGCCACAGAGCAGAAGGGAGGCGGCGCCGGGGGCCGTGGCGGCGGCCATGGCGGGGAAGGCGGCGGCGGGTGTGGGGAGGGTGGCGGTGGGTGTGGAGGAAACGGAGATGGCGGGGGGCTGGAGGGCCGCCGTCGCCTCACCCGCCGCTTCACCAGCTGGCCTGTTGTCTGGTCCACCACGTACTCGTACTCTGCTGGCTCTGGTGGCGGTGTCAATGCTGGCGGCGGCTCCAGCGGCAGCGGTGGGGGTGGCTGCCGAGGTGGTGCCAGTCCGGGCAGCAGCGGTGGCCACGCCCACAAGGCCGGCCGTGCCGCCTGCTTGCTCTGGTGGCTGGCTATGGAGGTTGCGGTTAGTACCAGCGAGGACAGGAAGATGCCGACGATCCAGGATGCCACCCAGCCCTCGGCGTGGCGCCACAGGCTTGCACGCCGATCGGCGCCATATAGGGCCGTTGACCCTGCCGGCGACAGCTGCGGGAGGTCGATGGGCAGGGCCCCTGCCAGCTCGTCGGAACCCTTCTCGGAGCCAGCATCCACGGGCTCTATACGCCGCCTCATTAATTGCGTGCCACCGCCTCAGCAAGACGGGACGCGGGCAACCCGCATCAGCAGATGCGGGCGGTGGTTGGGCCTCCCGCCACGGTTTAGTGCGTTAGATCACTCTGGTAAGGCAGAAACAGCAGCAAGGCGGCGCCCTGTCCCCAGCTGCGCAGAGGGCGCCAAGGCGGGATGGGCAACCGTGCTGGCACCAGGCGGGCTTTATTAGCATATGTATGAACCTAGATCAGCAGACGGTCAGTTAACATACGGAATTGGCGTCCAAAAAGCCTTGCAAAGCATGGGCGGCCATCCTCCCCCCGCCCGCCTGGCGCTGACGGGCCTTTGCGCACGTTCTGCTCAATCTGTTGATACATTCCGTTGTGCTGAATATGCTGATCTGTAGATAACCAAAGGTGTAGAACATGAAATGAAAGAAAGGTGATGAGATTGCACAGGGCGCTCGGCACAGAGTGCCTGCAACGCTGGCGCCATTCACGCAGCCACCTTGCGCTTGCTTCCTCCCTGCCCTTGTTGTGCAGCCGAAGGGGGCGCGTCAACGTAGTACACAACCTCCTCGTAGTAGTACTGCACGAAGAGGGGGAGGCATCACCATGTGTGGCATGAGCAGGCGGTGGCAGCTCCTGCACCACGCACCCCACCACATCACTAGACCCCAGCCTCACCTCGTATCTGGGCGGCGGCGGCGGCGGCGGCGGGCTGGATGGCAGGGGAGGCGTGAACGGCAGCGGTGGCGGCGGGGGAGGCGGCGGCGGCGGCGAAGGGGAGGGGGGCGTCGGGAATGGCGGCGGCGGAGCACGGTACTGGCACACGCCGACCTGCGCTCGGCACGCGTGGGGCGCAGCAACGCACTGAGCAGCATGTGGGGGTGGGGTCCTGCTTGCCTCGCTAATGCAGTCTGCCCCAAGCTACGCCGCCGCTGCCACCCTCCTCCGCCACAACAGCACTGCCCGACTCACCACATAAGTTGCGTCCATGGTCCTGACTCCTCCCTCTTCCAGGGGCACATCCTCAAACCCACGGTCACTGCAGGCAACGAGCATGCCAGCCGCGATGGGTTGCAGGCAGACCGGAGCTGCCAGGACTGCACCCGCAAGGCTGCCTGCCCGCCAGCCTGCCTGCCCCGTGGCGAAAGCGTCAGATCCCGTCGGGCGCAGCATGGTGCAGCATGGCGCAGCATGGCACCACCCGACGCGCCTGCACTCGGGCATCAAGTTGATCAGCTGCTGGCAGACACGGGGGGCCAGCACGTGCTCGCCGATGGTGGCATTGCAGTCTGCGCGCAGATCGGCGCAGGCGTTCTGCACGGGTGGCGGGGGCGAGAGACAGCACGGCAGTGCGGTGAGATACTGCGTGATCAGCTAGCTGCTCACACAGTGTTTTCCAGTGGGTCTGAGCAACAGCCACTGGCAGCCGCTGGGCGCACCTGGCAGAAGGCTTGGGCGGCCCCGGGGTCGGCGTTGCAGGCGGCATCGTCCGGGGGGCAGGTGTAGGTGGCCGTCACCGTCACGTTGCAGTTCTTGCGGTTGGTTGCATCGTAGTATGGCGGGGCCTCCACGCCTCTGGTGTCGTTCTCCAGGTGCTTCTGGTAGTATCGCTCGCCCTGCAGGCAAGGCAGGCTGGTGCCCGCAGGTGAGGGGCAGGCAGCATGCCGGCTGGCGGGGCGCACAGCGGCAGCGGGCGGCAGCTGCATGCAATGATCCGGCAGCCAGGTGGGCTGGCTGCTGCTGCCGGCGATCCTCGGCCATCTCTACCGCTAGCCCTCTACAGCAGCCCAGCAGCAGGCAGCAGGCATGGAGGCACCTTTGGAAAGTCCACTTCTGTCGAAGTGTATCGGTCGGCCCGCATGTTGGCAGGCGCCACAGAGCAGAAGGGGGGCGGGAGAGGCGGGCTGGGTGGCGGCGGCGGCGGGCTGGGTGGCGGCGGTGGCAGAGCGGGAGATGGCGGCGGCGGCGGAAAGGGGAAAGGAGGCGGCCTGGAGGGCCGCCGTCGCCTGACCCTCCGCTTCACCAGCTGACCTGTTGCCTGGTCCACCACATACTCGTACTCTGCTGGCTCTGGTGGCGGCAGCACCACCGGTGGCGGCTCCCGCGGCAGCGGCGGGAGCGGGGGCGGTCTCCTCGGTGGCGGCTTGGGTGGTGGCGGCGGAGGTGGGCGCGGTAGCGGAGGCTTAGGGGAAGGTGGTGGCGGCTTGGGGGAAGGGGGAGGGGGCTTGGGCGGTGGTGGGCTGGGAGGCGGTGGGGCGGGAGGTAGTGGGCTAGGCGGCGGCGGTTGAGGGGGTGGGGGCGCTGGGCTAGGAGGCGGGGGACGAGGTGGAGTGGGTGGTGGGGGGTTGGGCGGTGGTGGGCTGGGAGGCGGCGGGGCGGGAGGTAGTGGGCTAGGCGGCGGCCGAGGAGGCGGGGGCCGAGGTGGTCTGGGTGGTGGGGGCCGAGGAGGCGGGGGTGACGGCGGCGGCGGAGACGGCGGCGGTGGAAGCAATCGCCAATTTGCCGGTTGCGCAGCTTGCTGCTGCTTGTAGTTGAACACAGATGCTGCGGTGATGACCATCGAGGAAAGCAGGACGCCGATGATCCAGGATGCCACCCAGCCCTCGGCGTGGCGCCACTGATGACCCCACGGCCTGTCGATGCCGTACAACGGAGCGGCGGCGGAGGCGGTGGCGGCACCCGCTGCCGTGCTCGGGAGCGGCGACGGCGATGGCCCGCCTGCATCCACCTCGCCGGCACCCTTCTCCAGTCCAATCCCGGCCTTCTCCTCCACTGCGGAGTGCGGTGCCCTCCTCATACTATCAAGTGTAGCCTCGCCACATGCGGCCCATGGCACCCTCCGTGTTACCGCCGGCCGCCGGCAGCTTTGAAATCGTTGCCAACAGCGCTATGTGCACAAGGCAGCCACGGGACGACAGCCGAGGGGCAGCGCGAACACGACGTTGGCAGGGGCGTGGGGCCAGGGCAATTTCGGCTACCGGGCGGCCTGGTGCGACCACAGGAGAATTATGAGGTCCCCGCACTGTTGCACCACAGAACCCGCCGTTTCCATCCGCGCCATGGAGTGCGGGCGCCAGCGGGGCAGGCGCAAGCGCTCTGCCGATGTACTCTTCTGATGCATGGTGCTCAGTGGTGTAAACAGTAGTAGAGGACAAGTGCAGTGGTAACCGTGATAAAAGGTCTCACGAAGCAGGCTTTCGCCCCGACTGGCGTGCCAGCCCCGACTTGCGCCACAGCGGCGGCATGGGGCCCAAGCTCGACCGCCAGCTGTCTGGCGATCGCCGGCTGTCTGCCCCGCCGGTGCTAGCGGTGGAGGCGGACTGGAAGGAGTCGGGGTGGAAGAAGCGGGGCACCCGGGAGGCGGCGTCGGTGAGGTGTCCCGCCGCGCCGGTGGCGGCGCCGGCAACGTGCCCCGCGGCATCGGCGACGTGCCCTGCCGGGTCGATGTTTGTGACCTGGTCGGCCATTGTTGCGGCCAGCTTGCGGGCGAAGCTGATGGCGCGGAAGAGGTCGAGGCGGGAGGAGGGGGAGTGGAGGGGGGCGCGCTTGCGCGAGGGGGAGGCCGACGGCCGCAGGCAGCTGGCGATGTTTTCAAGCGACTCCAGCTGCAGGATCTCGGCCCGCCCCTTGGACAGCGTCAGCCGCAGGTAGACCTGCAGGGGAGAGGGTGGCCGGGTGGCGGTGGTGGTGCGGTGTGGAGGGGCGCAAGGTACGGGCGCGGGACTCCACCAGCGCGCAGCAGCAGCACCAGCATGGGAGCTTGGCGAACTCCCACGCCGCCTGCTGCCGTGCGCGCGACAGCGGGGCATGGCATGCGCCAGGCCTGCGGCCCCCACCGTGCGCCGCTCCCCCTCACCTGCGCCAGCGGGTAGTGCTGCAGCACCAGCTCCACCGCCTGCCGCGACAGCACCACGGCGTGCACCTCGGTGCGAGCCACGAAGAACGCCTTCCACCGCGTGTACAGCTGCTGGCACGAGGGGGTGCCGCAGCGGCAGGGGACTCCTGGTCAGCCCATACACCAGCCAGGGGGCAGGCAGCGGCAGCCAGCTAGGCATCCCATGCAGCGGCACCCACGCCGCCGGCCCAGCGGACGGCACTGCACTGCTCGCCTTCTTGTGCTGAGCTGGATCCAGCATGGAGCTGATCCCCAGGAAGTCGTTGGGGCCGCGTGTGGTGGAAAGCATGTTGGTCTCTGAGTTGGAGCTGCGGCAGCACAAGTGTGAGCAGGCAGGGGCAAGTCAGGCTGGCTTGCTGGCTTGGCTCGCCCAACGATCGGCTTGACGGCAAAAGGCAGCCAGCCAGCCGATGCCACGTGCGAGCAGGCAGGCCAAGCCAAGGCTCACAGGGCGGAGCTCAGCACGCGCTGCGCCCGAGCCAGCACTCGGTCCACCGTGTCTTGGAGCGAGGGTGAGGGCGCCAGGCCGCGGTGCTTCTTGCTGGGCGCTGCAGCGCACAAGCGTCGGGAGGCCAGCAAGCGGGCGTTGGTGTGGGCCAGTGGATAGCCAACAGCGGTTGCAATCAAGCATGCTGCTGCCTCCTTCAGAAAACCAGCCGCAAAAGCAGGGCACCAAGCCCTGCCATCGGCTAGCACAAAGGGCGGACACCAGGCTTCCCCAGGGCGCACCATAGGCCTGCGCCTCTGGCCCCCTCGCCACCGAGTCGCGCCGCTCAAGCCGCCCCTCCTCGTCGTCGCTGTCGCTGCTGGCGCCGCTGGTGCCGCTGGCGCGCGAGGCGCCGGACGGCGGCTGCGCCTGCTGGGACAGGTTATAGGGCAGTACAGCGACGTATCGCAGATCAATGATGCCTGCGCAGAGGGGAACACAAGGAGGCCAGCAGACGGAGTTGGAACTTGAGGGCCAGGGAGGCAGCCGGTGCATTGGAAGGGCCCAGCTGCCACAGTTTATGGGAAGGCAGCGCCGCTCTGACGCCATGGCTGATTACCGGCACGGCTTCCCCAGCCGGGCAGGTGCCGGTCCGGCGGCGGCGGCGCCTCACCGCTCTCGATCAGCAGGCAGTAGTTGCCGGTGGCCTTCTCGGGGATGGTGAGCTCCGCGCCCGCCGGGAACTGCACAAACTTGACCCCCGGCACCTTGTTGCGCAGAGCCTTGCTGCGCATCGCGTCCCACACCTCCCCCGTGCTCTCCAGGCGCCGCCCCCCCGCAGCCACCAAGTTGCCAGCCATGCTGGCCCGCTCCAGGGACGGCGCGTCGCGCTCGCTGTGGGGCGCCTGCAGGCTCAGGTGGTGGCCCAGCGGCAGCGAGTGGGCGCCGTCGGGCATGCTGGCGGAGCCCACGGGGTTGCTCTCAAAGGGGCTGATGGGCAGCGAGGTGAGCGCGGCGCCGGGGATGGACAGCGGGGAGGAGTGCGCCTGGCCCGAGGGCTGCCACGAGGGCCTGCCCGAAGACGTCGACCCCAGCCTGGCCTTGCTGGAGCCGCCAAACCGTCCCACCGCGCCCGGCGCTGCAAAGGGCGTCAGGGAGGGCTGCTGCCTGCCGCTGGGCATCGTCTGCTCGGCGGCGACGGGCTCGTGGAACCTCGAGCGCCGGTCGCCCCGGCGCTCGTCTCCAGCTGCTGCTGCGGGGGCAGCCGCGCCGCCTGCCGCCCCGCCCGCCGCTGCGCCCGCATCTGCTGCTGCTTGGGCGGGCTGCCCCTGCTGCACCGCAAGGTCTGCCAGGGACACCTCATCCCCTAGCGACATCCTCCCCAGCAGGCTGTCCAGAGCCGCCGCCATCTGCTCCATGGGGCTGCTGTCCTGGCTGTCCAGCCGCTCCGCGCTGCCCTGGCTACCTGGTGCCGCTCCTGCCGCCGTGGGATCCAGCCCGCGCACCGCGCCGCCGTTCTCCAGCGGCTGCGAGTCCGAGGCGGCCGCGCTGCCCAGCTGCTGCTCCGCCATCCACGCGTCGGCCACCGCGCCGCTGTCGCTGCCGCGCAGGGTGCTGCTGCGCAGGGAGGGGTCGCCCCACGGCGCGTCCGCGCCCGTCATGCCAGACAGCAGCGGGAAGGCGGAAGCTTCTGTGTTGGACTCCTGGATCACGCCCATGATGTTCTGAGCGGTGATGGGCTCCGCATTCTCCAGCATGCCCCTCCCAAACACAGAGATGGCCACCTCGTTTGCCAGCGGCAGCCGCCCCACAGGCTGTGGCTCCTCCACCGCCTGCGGGCGCAGGCCACGGGGCGCAGCGGAGGGCGAGCGGCGGGGTGGGCACGCGATGGCGGCAGACGCAGGCGTCCCGGCCAGCCCATCGGCAGGCAGGCAGGCACGCAAGCAGCGTGTGGCACGGCCAGCACGTCCGCCCCGGCCCCACATGCAGAGGCCCTTGCTGCTCGGCCATGCCCCCCTCACCCACCCACACACCCACCCACACCACACACAACAAGCCCTCCCCACCCTCAGCCCACCAGGTCGTTCATCCACTTCTCTAGGGACGGCGCATCATCCATGCGGGTCAGCTCCAGAGGCTCATCCAGCCCCACCGCCTGCCGCCCCTCCTCCGGCTCCGCCACCCAGGGGTGGTGCAGCAGCTGCGCCACGCAGCGCATATCCACAGGAGGCCAGGTGGGGGAGGGGTAGCGGCAATCAGGCGGGGGCGTGTTGCTCACAGGCGGGTGGGGTGGCTGGGCGCCTGGGGCTGGGCATCCTGGGCTGGGCCAGATCCATCCAGATACCGCCCCACCACACACAGCCCCGCCACCCACCTCGAGGCTGCTTGGCCGCCGCGCTGGGTCCTTGCTCAGCAGCCCATCCAGCACAGAGCGAAGGCCATCGCTGCACCGGGAACACAAAAAGCACAGGCGAGGTAAGCGCAGGCCAGGTTAATTGCAGGTGCGCATCTCCACGCAAGCCGCTTTGTAGCCTGCTGCCGTTGAGCCTGAGCCCCGCTGCTGCTGAGAGCCTGAGAGCCTGCTAGCTGGCGAGAGAGTACCGTACCGCACCTGATGGGTGTGTTGGCGGGATACTGCACCTCCTGCCGCTGTATCGCCGTGTACAGCTCATCCAGGCTGGCGCCCTGTACGCACACGGGCAGCGCATGGGGATGGTGCAGGGTGGCTCAGCTCCTGGCAAGGCTGGCGCAGCGAGATGGCAGGCTGACAAACAGGTCGGGACGCGATGAGGAGGTTTACACACCCGACAGAGCAGCCCGCCCCGACCACCACACTTCCCAATCCACAACACCCTCGCCCACCAAACCAAGCCGCCCACACACCTTGAAGGGAAGGTCCCCAAACACGAAGCAGTAGAGCGTGATGCCCAGCGCCCACATGTCAGCGGGCTTGGCGTGGTAGGCGTCGCCAGAGCGCATCTCGGGGGCTGCGGCAGCAGCCAGGAGACGAAAGCATGGCAAGCGTGAGGGGAGAACCGTGTTGAGCATGCGAGGGGGAGGGGTTGGGGCAATGAACCCTCCCGGAAGCGTGCATGGCACACACAGTGCATGCAAAGCGGCCGTGCCGCCTGCCCACCCACCCACCCACCCATGAATGCGGGTGTGCCCAGCGTCTTGTCAAACACGTCAGCGCCCTCATTGAAAAACTGGGCCTGCAGGCAGGAGGGTGTGCGCGCGTGTGTCTGCTGAGCGGCGGACGGGTCGGGTGCGGGTTGTGGCGGGCGTGGGGCGCGACAGCGTAAGCGGGGCGCTGCCTTCGACGGGCAAACTCTCGCCACCACATCAAGACCTTCCCTTGCCTCGTGCTGCCCTGGTTGCTGCCTGCCGGCCCACCGCCAGCATCACTCACACACACACACACACACACAAACACACCTGCCCAAAGTCTGCAATCTTGACCAGGCCGCTGCCGCTGAGCAGCACGTTGTCGGGCTTCATGTCTCCGTGCACCACGTTCTGGGCGTGCAGGCAGTGCAG